TTGTTCTAAGTATTTGTTACGCAATTCCACTATTATTCTGCGTTCCATAACTGCTTGACATTTGTTTATTATTTTAAATCAAAATCCTAGTGTCTTTATCCAATTCTGAAGAGTTTTGTCGCGTTATAGGCGGAAGTATTCAATTTCTTCCTTCTGATTTCAGTTGTAAGAATCTCATTGCTTTTGTAACATACGTATATTGTTTTTTCAATGATTTTATAAGATGCACATCTAAATATTTTGGTAATCCTGCATCACATTGTCGTCTTGCGTCATAAGGTTTGTTTTTGACTATTTTATGTACAGTTGACAAAGGAATTTCAGTCAAATCTGCTAGTAATAGTTTTTTTTGTCGAAACCAAACTTGGGATGTAGATTTTTATATAAATTGAAACATACTCTCTGTGTTTCAAAGTGCAAATGTATCCGAATGTTATCACACTCGTTATTACTATTACTACTTGTCCAAGGACGCCACATTTTAAACAAATAACAAAATTTTCAAGTAATTATAACTGCACCAATATCAAATTTCAACACTCAATTCGCGATAGATTCCTGAATTAAACATTGACGACACTACAGCGTTACTCATCCCCACATTCTATTCATCACCGTAACATGATTTCAAATTTAATTTTATGACTATTCAGCCAATCATAAAACTCGGTTAGTAAAAATTATCCAATACGAACCGCCAATTCTACAGTCCACGTAGACTAGTTGGCAGCGACATTATTTCTATGTATTGGTTTTGTTGGCCTTTGAGATGCCAATAGCTTTTAATAATAATAATAATAATAAATCGGCTTTATTGATAATACAAAAAAAAATACAAAGATATATTTGAAAATGAAAATAGTTTACAGTTGATTCTGGTACTCCTTGGCGAAGTCTAGCTCAAAGCTACTCTAACTCAACCAACAAGCACCACTCCATAATGCACGCAAACATACAAAAATAAAATTAATAGATTATTGTTATTGAAATATTCATTAATTTGTAAATAAATAACTCTTTCAAAAATTTCACTCATGGTTGGAAGTATACTGATAATTCTGAGATCAGAATAACTAGCTGGATCATTATTTTTGGGAATGGGTTTCCCAATGGCCATTTTCCACAAGTCTGGAAAATATGAACGTTCAAAACAACAATTGATGATATGCGTAATATATTTAACTATAAACGGGCTACAAAGTTTCAACATTCTGATTGAAATATTATCAACCCCTGAAGCTTGACTTTTAATATCATTCAGGATTTCATGAATAGCTTCTTCAGTAGCGAATCGAAATGAGAAGTTATCTTGCCTGATTAAATAATTATTGCTATAAAATTCAATATTTTCATCACAATTATTAGAAATGTTTTGTACGAATTGGGCAAAATAGTTGTTTATTTCATCGGGATTCGAGAGGTGATTGGGTCGAAGTAACCTGTATTCATAATACAGGTTACTTCGACTATACCTGAACTAAGAGAAAATTTAGTGGCAAACACGTTTGCCTGCAGTGCAGTGCATTCAATTTTCCGTGTCAAATTTATAGTGAAGATGGTTACTTTCACAAATGTTTTTCGAATGTCAAATCGGCCGCAGTCACATGCCAAATTTTAGCCCGCGATTAACACCAATTCCAATAATTTCTGAAACATATGAAATTCGGGTGTTATTTTTGGAAATCATTCTAAATTTATTCATTGTATAAACACATTGAAACAAACGCGTTTCACCGTGACCCTCGATTCCGATTCATGTAACATTGTATTCTCCATGAATAATATTCTGCTTGAGTGCGAATCGCGATTAGGTATACTAAGAATGATATTCAATACATTCATGTTTTTGCTTTGGTAATGTGGCACGCATCATTTCTTCATGAATAATTCATTAATAATTTTATTGATTGCAAATTTCGAACTCGGATATTTTTTATTTCGACTCTCCACTCGGAATTCTATTTTGAAGGAAAATTGTAGCTCTTCTCTGTTTTTCGCATTGTTCACCATCGCTATTGGAGTCATTACACTGGAAAAAGTCTGCGTTGTCTAAAGACGCCACATTTTAAACAGATAACAAACATTTTTAAGTAATTCGCATTCGCAAGTAATTATAACTAGACCAATATCAAATTTCAACACTCAAATCGCGATCAGTTCCTGAACTGAACATTAATGACACGACGGCGATAACCACCCCCGCATTCCCCGATTTCTATTCGTCAGCGTAACATGACTTCAAATGCCGCCAACTTTAAGAGTGCGTATCGTTTACTTCGACTGTACTCGAAATTTTGTGCAGGCAAACATCCTGAGTTGGCTCTTCTTTTAAAAGATCTTCTAACGGGGACTTCTAAACTCTAACAATTGATAACGGTCATCTTGTCGCAACTATATTTGTTAAATTAGTTAACATTTATTCAGTATGTTTTGCCAAATCACCATGGACGGATATAGTATTCAACAACATGTGCAAGCACTGGTTGTGACGGCTTCTCTTCCTTGCGAGGCTCCTGCTGTTTTTCAGCCAAAGTCTGTTCCACCATCGCTTTTGAGTAGCCATTCCGTTGAAAATCATTTTTGACAATGCCAAGTTCCTTCTCGAGACCTTCCTTCGTAATACAAAGCCCGAAAACAGGGTCTAATAGTTTCTTGATTCCTCTTTTAGTTGATTGATGGTGGTTGGATTCGTGGTTCAGATATTGTCCCGTGTGAGTGGGTTTTCGGTACAGATGTTTCCCACTGCTGTAAAGGCTTTCGACGTCGAAACTGATTAACTGATCTTCCTCGGTGACAAAAATGGCCAACTCCAGTAAAACGGTCATCTCCCACTAAACCGTTGAAGCGGAATAGTCATCTCTCCGAGGAATTAGTCCAGTCATCACCCCATCGAAACGTCGCGTCGTGAAGTAACTTGACTTAGAATCTCTGAACTTTTTATTTTCATTTTTTGTTCAATTTTTCTATTTCTACTTGTATTTTATTTCACTATTATTTCATTTCAGGTTTTTTTGCCTAATATAATTGTTATTTTCAGCTATTCATTTTTAATTCTTCTTTTTTAGTAGTTTTTCAGGGATTTCAAATTCATTTTATAAAATATCAGACAATGGGAAGTCCGAACTAATGAAATTCATCATGAAACATTGTCTATCATCTTCAAACAAAGTACGCACGTTTTGTTATATTTTAATTTAAATATAGGAAGCCCTTAATGAAAGAACCTATAGAAAGTCAGCGTTGAGGGACATTTGAGGAGTCTAAAATGAGCCAAAAAATCTCAATATATTTATATCTTCCCCACACAGGAAGAATTATTCCAAAGTTATTTCCGCTTCTAACACTTGTGCTGAGTTAATCACCCAAATATTCAATTTGAATTGGGAGAAAGAAATTGATCAATAGCATAATAAGCTAGCAAATAATGAGCTCAAAATTATTGCAAGATCAAAATTTCCAAAAAGTGAAGCTCTAGCAAAATCCACTGGTTAAAAATAACAACAGATGGAAAATCGGCGATGGAGAGCTATAGAAGCCCAAAATGAACCTACAATTCTCATTATATTTCAATCTAACCCATAGTTGAAGAATGTTTTCGAAAAATCATTTCCGTTTTGATCGCGTATGTCTGAGGGTAATCAACCAAATATTCAACTCAAATGAGCAGCAAAAAAGGCCAATATCCTAATGAAGGAGCCTGCAAATATTACAATTCCAAATTTTTCGAAAAGTGAAGGATTTCAATTTGGTTTTGCCAGTTCGACGGTAAAACTAGCAGAACCCCCTTATTGATTTGTTCATCTTTTATTAGTTAGCCTTGAATTGTTTATAATACGACCCTGTAGATAACAAAACAAAAATGTTTTGGATAGTTACTGATAATTTGTCAAAGAAAAGTCGATAAAAGTTAATCCCGACTAAAAATTGGATTTATTGGGCATTTTCGAGTTTGATAATTATCAAGGAAACAACACCCCTGATTTTAAAAAACAATACATCGGCAATAGATGCCTAAATTTAAGACGTATTCGGATTCAAAAAAATGTTTTTTTCTGCAAGCTTAACGTTGAGCTAACAAAACCCACGATATCTCCTATAAATGAAGAGCCACAAATTATGTGATAGAGTACAGAATTAGCCTAACATTATGTCCTGAAAATAAATATAAAATGGCTCTGCTAGCTTAACTATAAAGAAAGCCAAAACCCGTCTTTCCCAAAAAACTAATATTTCCTAAAAATATACCCCTTTCAGTTTAAACCATTTTTGTATTTTGGATTTAGTGCAATAAGCATCCATATGTACCTAAGTATTCCTTTAATTTGTATGTACAATTCTTGAAAATTGTTTATAAACAAAAATTCATTACATTAAACGTAAAATATCTGAAGAAATCTGTGTCCTTTTGGCAACATCGCTCATATCACAATAAGTCATTGAAAGCTCAAGCAAAACGTAAAAGCCTTGCTGATAGTAAAAACAATATATAATGAACTTTATAATAATCTGAATGGATGGTTTTATAAAATGTTATGTAGGTGTTACTGACACGATTCGGAATGGAGCCAGGTTTGGGCTCTTCAGTTATCCACTGAAGCTATCAATGGACAGTGTGCATTCCCACTTAAATGTAGTTCAAGAGTTTTGAATGACCTCGTAATTTCGGATATTAGACACGTCAGAAATTTACAAATTCTAATTCATGTTTTTCCATCATTCATTTTTTTTTCTTTGCAGTTTCACAAAAAATGTTTTGAAAATTAGTCTGTTGAATAGTGTTGAATAAACATTTTCAATTAATGAATAGAATTAGATTTTATAAGGTATTCCTTTATTTGAAGATTTTCCTGAAAAAGAACTTTAAGAAACTTGAAATATTTGGAATGATGATTATTATGTTTCACGCTGAGTATAAATTAATCACTGAGACCAAAGTTCAATAAACAATAAAGTAATTAAGTAATCAAAAGTTAATAAATTATTTGATAGAAAAATCCTACCTGATTTCAGGTCTTGGAATGCCTCCTCTGCAGTGGTCCATTTGGGTTCCTTTCCTTTAATAGGTTGTGAGGGCTCATTTACATACGTGAAGTAATTTCTTGGAGTTGAAATTGTTCTGAGAGAGGATAAAACTCCAAAGTTCCCGATTTTATGACCAACACTTCTCACTGACGCTGCCATTTCACTTAGTAAAAGAGAAAATATTAGATTTTCCGACTGTAATATTTCCGGTAGAATCCCTAAACAACTAAATTCCTACTACCACTTCCTATTCCACGAAGAGAACCTTCTCCCCTTCAACCTCAAAATAATGTGTACAATTTCTGATAAATATGTAACATAAACAGCGTTGCCAGCGTTAATCTCAAATTACCAAAGCTAAAGAATGTATCGGTTTCATTAATCAGTGTGTACTCTATTCTTATTGAATAATAGCTATTTCCAAAATTCATTCATAATCATGATAGGTGACAGTGATGAATGAATATGTCAGTGATATTTTACATGAAAACAATTGTTACAATTTTATGTCACACCTACATTACAGAATCACTCTTTTGTGCCTACACATACTACATACTCTCCCTGTTTTGTTGGTTTGTGAGCATAGACTTATACTATTTTGAAAACTCCATGTATGGCAGAAGGAAAATTGAATAATGTCAAATGGAATGAAGAAAATACACCACACATTTGGAATTGACCTGAAGAGAAAACGTAACCTTGCTCCAATTACCAGTCCCATTAATATTTGGGTCTGATAATGTAAATACGAACCATACCTCGGGTTTGAATTTAAATATTCTGACTGATTTTAAATGTGATATCCACCCCTAGTGCATTAGAAAATTTTATGTGTCTTCAAGAACTTTTCAATTGATAAAACTGAAATGCTATCCTTAGTTTCAAATAGGCCGCTAGGGGTCTAATTCTCAAGTCATGGAAATCTTTTTCCAAGAATCATAGCAAACTTTTTTCCATAAAAAATTATGTTATATTCAGCTATCCGTAATCATCAGTCCATACCCTAGAATATCGAATTACGTCTTTTCGACATTATTTTTTTACTGAAAAATGTTGCCCACGATTCTCAAGTCAGGGGATGCTTCTTGCTATGGAAACTAATCATATTCGCATTGATCAACATTTGCCTTAGAATGTCAGTTTATGACATTTTTTATTACAATATTTCAGACGTAAGACTCGGATTTCAGTTTTCCCACATTCAACTCAAAAATTCAATTTCTTAACTCGAACTAATGTGAATTGTGGCTAAGGTCAATTCGGGTTGAATGATAAACAAGCCTGAATTTTGAATTTTTAAATTACTTTATAGAAAGTTGTGTGATATTTTTCCCCTCTTAAACATGGTACCCAAGTTCCAACTGTCATTAGTTATGACACGCGTATGGCAAAGGGGTAAAATTTAATGTAGGATTGACGTATGGCAAAACAAAGCACGTCAGACAAAAAGATGTGAATATAAAATGGTCCCAGAACTCTCTCCACGTATTCATGGGCTTTGCTTCAATATAAGCACATTTGGCCAAACATTCCAGAACAGTTTCAAGATTGTAGGTAAACAAAGTGGCTCTGTCAGTGTTAACCATAGAATCATCTCGATCTGATTTTTAACAACACCACTCTATTGACATGAAAATGAAAATGTCTTTTTATGACTTCTCCTTTACCATCACCCTCCAAGAATAGAACCTTAGAAAATGCGCTTTCTGGTTGTGAGATATAAGTTTTGTGGTCCCATGTCACGAAAGTTTGAAACAGACATGGGACATATGTGTGTGTGATAATTTCCAGACATTTTTGGTGGGAATGACCCAATTTGAATCAAAATTAGTGCCAACAGCTAAAAATAAAAAATTCAAAACACCACAAAGACTTATTTGAGGTTATGTTGTGAAATCTTGATATTATTTTAAAAAATATAGGTTTATTTTGGTTTCATATTTTAAGTTACAAAAATGCGCTCATTACAATCGCCCCACTCCAGCTATAAAAACTCCCAGAGCTGGACAGACGATTTACCAGTATGTAAAAACACAGGAATAGGCTTCTCCACCAATCAAGTATACCGAGAAGACGGACATCCGCAAGAACAACACCAATATGAAGATTGCAGTTCTCACTTCAAGTTCAACGACAAGTTTTACTGGTATGCTGTCTTCGACGGTCATGGAGGAAAAAGAGCAGCAGATTTCTGTTCGCAGCGAATGATAGCTGAAATATATTTCTCTCATCTGAATGAAAACAAATCGGACGACGATGAAGTAAAAAACCTTTTGCGACAAGCATTTGTGACTGTCGAGAAGGCTTACATGGAGAGTTTGGAAGATTTGCTCGCAGAAAGAACAAGTTTTATGTACGACATTCCAGAAGGTCTATCCCCCTATGAAGCTTACCAAAAAGTACCGCACGTCGTTGAAAATATCAGTAGGTTAAATCAAGAACTTTCATCTGGGACAGCAGCAGCAGTTGCACTTATTTTCAATGACAAACTTTACGTCGCCAATGTAGGTAACTGCCGGGTGCTGTTGTGTCAGACGGATCAGAATTCAGTGCTGAAAGTCCTGCAGCTTAGCGTAGATCACGATTTGAAGAACGAAGATGAACTCCTAAGGCTGTCTCAGATTGGGATCAATACAAAGAACTTGAAACATGGTAAGAATTTTACTTATTTTGAATAGCATAGCAGAGATACAAATCAATATAAGTATTTTGATGGAAATCTTCAATGCTGTTTATAATCTCTCTGAATAATACATTTGAAATTTTTTGGGAAGGCAATCAGGATTCGGTTCTTGTCGAATCCTCCTGCGTTTGCTAGTGTACGAATTATTAAATATTGATATGTCCTAAACTTTTTTTGCGGACAATACCACAAGTTTGTGGTTTAACGAACAGCCTGTAGGAGAAAATATGTAGAAACACTAAAAATATCAATTATATATGTCATCTGCTCTTCAAAGTATTTATTTATATCCAGCAACAAAAATGGAAATTGAACAAGTTATCAAAAAAGTTTGCAAGAAAAAATTGTCCGGTATTGATGAAATTCAAGGTTATGTTATTAAAAAGGTTGCCAATGTGATTTCTGAGCCTTTGACTCATTTAGATAACTCCACTTTAATTGAGGAGATGTTTCCTGATATACTGAAAATGTCAAAGGTTTTGCCAATATACAAAAATAAGGGCTCTCAATCTGACTGTGCATCTTACAGGCCTATATCGCTACTTAGTCAGTTTTCTAAGATTATTGAATACTGTTTCTGTCAAAGATTTTATATGATTACTTTGAATCATTCAGATTATTTTCTTCTAGTCAGAATGCTTCTAGAAGAAATAAATCTACAGTTGGTGCAATTGATCAACTCATTAAACATGCGCTGGAAATCTTGGAAAACAAACAGCTCAGTACTGTTATTTATACGGACGACACTAACATCTCAGTATCTGCAGAAACTATATTTATGATGCACTGTTTGGAACCTTTGGTGTAGTAATGAATATAACTGGAGTTTTTTTCCAACACCAAATCGTAATTTTCAACACCTCGACACATGTTTCGATCACCAAGTGATCATCTTTGTAGTAGTATCACACCCGAAGTATGGAATACTTTTTACGAGACTATGTTGTTCAAGCTTACTGAAGTCAGGTTTCAAATCACAGAAAAAGGTATTAGATATATGTACAAGATTAATTAATACAATAATATATTATATTAATACAAGATTAATTGATGTGACTCATACAAAAGTAGTTCAATACCTCTATAGGTGTTTCCCCCCCTAAAAATCGAACGACAAAAGGTAAGACCTCGTTAATCCTTGCCTCGCAAGGGTTGTCATTCGTAGTGGGGTGTCAGCTGGTTAACGGAAAAACATTTCAAGTTTTTTTCAACAGATATGAGATGCTTTTTTATTTATCATGAAGCTGAATACAAATTAATCACCAGAGAAATTTTCAGGTTCTCGTCTGGGCAATCAAGAGAACACTCGTTGCCTGGGAAATTACATGGTTAAGTGTGGATATTCCGATTTCGACGACCTTTCAATGGCATCACAGGAACCAATCATTTCTGAGCCAGACATTCATGGAGGCATTGTTCTGGACGAATCATCCCGGTTCCTTTTGCTCATGTCTGCTGGTCTATATAAGTCTATCGAAGAAGCAACTGGGACTGATCAAGTCAATAAATACATCGCTCAGTTTGTGGTTGAACAGGTATTAAACATTCATAAAATATGACTTGTGTGTAACAGGGACGATGTTACAAAAACACATTTGATCAAAAACATATCTGGAATGGGCAAATAAGTTGAATCTATTAAAAAACACTTCTTTTTAGTTTTTCTTGAATTACATTTGGTGATATAGGAATGTTGTTATATAACAACATCGTGTACAGGGAGTTGGATGAAGGTAAAAAGACGCTAGAGATTTTCATAGACTTAAGTAAGGCATTTGACCTGGTAGATCACAAAATTCTTCTATCAAAGCTTGAAATGTATAGAATCAGGGGAATAACCCACAAATGGTTTGTAAGTTATTTAGAGGGTAGATACTACTATGTAGAGATTATCATAAGTAAATCAGAATCTAAAATTGTTTTCTCGGGGTTCTTCAGTATTCTATATTAGTTCCACTCTTATATATAATATATGTCAATGATTTTTATAGTGATCAGTTCGTTATGTACGCTGATGACACAACTTTATTGATAACTCAGGAAAATATTAAAACCACAGCTAATAAAGCATCTGATGAAATAAAAAGAACCAAAAAGTGGTTCTCAGACAATGGTCTCTTGTTAAATGAAAGAAAAACTGTGCTTTTACGTTTCAATCATTCAAGAACCACCCCAGATGACAGTTTACTAGTAACGTCAATTAATTGATCAATTCAACAACAAGAGGAGACAAAATTTTTGGGTTTGAAGATAACAGAAAATCTCAAATGGAACAAGCATATTGATACGATTCATAAAAAGATATCCTCAATATCTTATTGTATTTAACAACTATGCTGGAATGTAAATAGATCACTCTCATTAATGTACTAACATGCGTACTTTCATTGTAACATTTCCTATGGTATTATAGCTTGGGGAGCATCTAGTGATTGTTCCAGAATACTCAAAATTAAAAAAAGAACCATAAGGTATATAGCAAGACTTACTAGAAGGACAAGTTGCAAATTCATCTTCCAAAATCTCAGAATATTGACTGTTACAAGTATATAAGTGGTCCAACGAAAAGTATGCACCTTGCTTTTCTCCTTTTTTTGTAACTTAACGCAAAAATGCTCGGACAGGTCAATTTTGCTTTTGAGGGGGACACATTTAAGATGTATTCTACCTGTGCCTTCAACCCTCTAGCGAGGGTGAGTAACAACCCTAAAATTTTAAATGGAAAGTGGGGTCGAGTGATATATCATTTGAAAGGGCACAAAATTTTCTTTCCAATGATACCTAATTTGTTGTATTTACTTGAATAGTTATAAAAAAAGCAAGAACATTTACTCAATATTTTTGGTGTTAATGAAAATACGGAAAAAACGGCATTTCATCACTACTACATTCCTCAATTTCTCTCGTGCGTTTTTTGGTTCAAATAACAACAGCAGATAAGTGTACAAAAAGAATTTAGGTAAACGTTCATTGATTCAGTTCGGTTGCTTTTGAAATTATTTCAACTTTACTGTAAAAATGGTTTATTCCATTCCTGAACGAGTTGAAATTGTTAAACTTTATTATCAACATAATAGTTGTGCTAGACTTACTGCTCGCCTCTTTAATAACAGTCATCCCGGGAAAAATGTGAATGATTCGTACGTTGCCAAGTTAGTCCAAAAGTTTGTCGATACTGGATCTGTCTATAATGTGAAAGACCAGCCACAGAAACCGATCAGAAATGAAGCAGTGGAAGTCGCTGTTTTGGGACATGTTGAATTGGATCATACTCAAAGTACCTGTCAGCTTGCTGCAGCCTCAGGTGTCTCCCGTTCGTCCATAATACGGATATTAAAAGCCTATAAATTTCATCCGTACAAAATTAAATTAGTACAGGAACTCAATGAAGATGATCCTGATAGAAGGCTGCAATTTTGTGAACAACTGAGCCAGCTACTAATTGATGATCCGCACCTATCATTCAACAAGTACTTTTCCGATGAGAGTACATTTTTTTTGAACGGAGCTGTGAATAGGCATAATTGCCGTTACTGGGATGACAGTAACCCACACTTATTCCGAGAGGTCCATACCCAGTACCCTCAAAAAATCAATGTTTGGTGTGGCATATTAGGTAGTCATATCGTAGGGCCACTTTTTATTCCTGGGAATTTAACTGGTGAGGTCTACCTGGACATGCTTGAAGATACAATTGATCCTCTCATAATAGAAATAATGGCCTGCCATCGAATGGTCTGCCAGGTCACCTGATTTATCGCCTTTAGACTTTTTCCTTTGGGGACACTTGAAAAATAAATATTTTGCTACACAGCCCGAGTCCATAGAAGATCTTCACTAACGAATTACAGCAGAGTGCAGAAGTATAACACCTGATATGCTACAGAATGTTAGGAATAGATTTGAACAAAATCTGTATTATTGTATGGAAGTAAATGGGTCACATTTTCAGCACTTGCTGAAGTAGGATTCTACTAAGTCAATTACACATTTCAAAGTACTGGGTTGTAGTTGTTTTTCTTCATAATACCTACATGTTTGAGTGAAATACAACAAATTAGGTATCATTGGAAAGATAATTTTGTGCCCTTTCAAATGATATATCACTCGACCCCACTTTCTATTTAGAATTTTAGGGTTGTTACTCACCTTCGTTAGGGGGTTGAAGGCACAGGTAAAAAAATACATCTAAAATGTGTCCCCCTCAAAAGCAAAATTGACCTGTCCGAGCATTTTTGCGTTAAGTTACAAAAAAAGGAGAAAAGCAAGGTGCATACTTTTCGTTGGACCACTCTGTATACATTTATGGGATATTAAAATATGTAAAATCGCACATAACCAGTGTTCCTACTCTTAATGGTAATAAGAATTATAATACTAGAAATTCCCTACAGTTGGAAGTGCCAACACACAACTTAGTTGTATCGGAATCATGTCCAAGGCTTATGGCCATCAAATTGTACAATAAACATCCAAGTACAATAAAAAATCTGGCTCTAAAACAGTATAACTATCAAATCAAAGAGTTGCTCCTGGATAAATCCTATTATTCTCTCAAAGAATATATGCATGATTACTTATGACCCTGTACATGTGTAACATTTTAGGAAGATTTTAATAACGATGCTGTTGCATAAATAGCAGATTACACAACACAACAAAAAAATATTTTTTGAATGTTTCCTACACTAAATTAGTCAATTTCTACTAATTTTGGGGTGATAAAAACGAAAATAACAATGAAAAATTTTTATTAGCTCTGGTTTTTGAGATACACAGTACTCAATCTTAAAGAGTAGTTATACTATACGTGAAAAGTGAAAGTACNAGCTACATCATTTTGTCGCATGCCACCTTGAAGAAGCCCTACAGCTCTATTCATCTCAGCCAATGGTAAGTGATGGCGTTCCATGTTAAAGCACAATATTTCCAGTTTATTTGCTGAGCAAGAACTGCATAGAATGTACAAACTTGACACTTTCAGATTATTTATTTTAGCCGAAAACCTACAGTTTGTAGAAAACTTGATAAAAGATTAGTTACCGTTTTTGCAGGGTTTGTTCAACCCATAGAAATCTACAGGGTGGTCGAGTGTACCAATTTAATTGAAATTAAACGACCTCATGCATTTATTTTTATGATATTTAGTATGTTATAAAAACATCCCTAGACTTTTTCGATGTGTGTATATACATTTATGAGATATTGAAATATGTAAAATCGCACATAACCAGTTTTCCTACTCTTAATGGTAACAAGAATTATAATACTAGAAATTCCCTACAGTTGGAAGTGCCAATACACAGATAACTTGTATCTGAATTATGTCCCAGGCTTATGGCCATTAAATTGTACAACAAACTTCCGAGTACAATAAAAAATCTGGCTGTAAAACAGTATAACTATCAAATCAAAGAGTTACTCCTGGATAAATCATATTATTCCCTCGAAGAATATATGGATGATAACTTATGACCCTGTACATGTGTAACATTTTAGGAAGATTTTAATAACGATGCTGTTGCATAAATCGCAGATCATTTTAGGTTTTGACTATTATACATTATATTATATTATCTATGTAAATTGTATATTGTGCCTCTAAGTGCAGGGAGTTTGTATTTTTAATTTTGTATTTGTACACATTTTGACATACTCAATGTCATTTATAGATGATCCAACCGAATAAATATTATTATTATTAATAAAAGAGTGTTACCAAAAATCAATTAATATTCAGTGGAATATATGTCGAAGCTTTGAAAAAATGAATTTTTTGCTCTAAAGGATAATTAAAAAACCAATAACGTGCAAAGTATATTGACTTCAATATCTTTTCAGTTTCGTGAGCAGGCCACCCTAACAGGTGTAGCGCAAGCAGTGGTCGACAAAGCAGTGCGCCTCCACCACGACTGGTTCATGTCCAACTCCTTCAACCAAACGTGCCTACCGAGGCGAAAAGACATCACCTTAGTACTTCGAAATTTCAACTACCACCTCCCAAACGCTATAACATCGCCTACCGCCCCTTCGGTCACTTTCAGTCACAAAGTTAGTGTAAATAGCTTATCTGAAACGTCTACTCCTACGGCGTCCACTGTTGCCGGCACGAACATTACAAGTAGTACTAACACGACCAGCGATACAACCAGCAGTCAAGACTCTAAAACCGAAGAGGACGATGGTGTGGGTCCTGATCAGAAAATAGAAGCGTACGTTGACTTTTCTGTGTTTTACAAGAACTTCGAAAAGGCTAAGAAAGATGGGACTCCAGGTTTGGATTTCTGATTAGTAATAGGAGAACAGTGACCATAAATTATAATTGGCATTGTACTTTTACTGAGCTAAATATTGTCCCACTGGCTAGTAATCCACATTGAGGTACTAAAAGTAAGCCCTCTGATTGAAAACTTTACAGTAGTGAGGTTTTGAGATCTTGGATTGGGAAAGTGTTTTGAAAAAAAGATTGGCGTAATCATTGAAATATTGAACAAAGGTCATTTTTCGTGGAGGAAAATCATCGTTTTTTATTAACCTTCTTGGGTATTTTATCTTCCAGAATCTTTATACAGGTGTAAAAAGTTCAGTTACTGTAAATCCAAAATATTTTTTTCAAAGAGACATGTTCTATTCATCAATAACCTGTCATGTTTTATTAATATTTCCTATTAATTTTATTGATACTTTTGTTATCGTTCTAAAAAGCTAAAAATCTCAATCCGTCTTCGGATTTTGAAAAAATTAAATATATATCTAACTTTTGTCATGCTGAATCAATAAGTGAAAACATATCTAGACTATTTATTTGTTTATTACAGGGTATCCTCCTCCCCCCATTATATACACACATTTCATAAATTCAAGGGAGTCAACGCTACTACTGATATTATTTTCACTGTTTCAATAACAATAATGAAAAATAGAAAATTAAAGAAAATTCGGATACTTAATATTTAAATCCTGTAATTTACATGTACATTTTTTTTAAATCCATTCCTGACAGTACCTTCAGAAATATGAAATAGATCAAGATCAACTTTATGACTATTTGAAAGTAATCTAGATAATGGAAAATGTTTACCATACTTGCGTCTATGGAAATCAATTGCAAACATTTAAATGTTTACCAAATGTTTACCATGGAAATCAAATGCAAACATTTAAATGTTTGCCATAATTGCACCTATGAAAGTGAATTGCAAACATTCGGATGTTTACCATAATTGCATATAGAAATCAATTGCAAGCATTTAAATGTTTATCATGCTTGCACCAATGGAAATCAATTGCAAAATTTAAATGTTCACCATGATTACTTACACCCATGGAAATCAATTACAAACATTTAAATGTTCATCATGCTTGCATCAATGGAAATCAATTGCAAAATTTAAATGTTCACCATGATTACTTACACCCATGGAAATCAATTACAAACATGCTTGTACTAATGGAAATCGATTGCAAACATTTAAATGTTTACCGTGATTACACCCATTGAAATCAATTGCAAACATTTAAATGTTTACCATACTTGCAGCTATGGAAATCAATTGTAAACATTTAAATGTTTACCATGCTTGCACCTATGGAAATCAATTGCAAACATTCGAATGTTTACCATAATTGCATAGAAATCAATTGCAAGCATTTAAATGTTCATCATGCTTGCATCAATGGAAATCAATTGCAAAATTTAAATGTTCACCATGATTACTTACACCCATGGAAATCAATTACAAACATGCTTGTACTAATAGAAATCGATTGCAAACATTTAAATGTTTACCGCATGCTTGCATCAATGGAAATCAATTGCAAAATTTAAATGTTCACCATGATTACTTACACCCATGGAAATCAATTACAAACATGCTTGTACTAATAGAAATCGATTGCAAACATTTAAATGTTTACCGTGATTACACCCATTGAAACCAATTGCAAACATTTAAATGTTTACCATGCTTGCACCTATGAAAATCAATTGCAAACATTCGAATGTTTACCATAATTGCACATATAGAAATCAATTGCAAGCATTTAAATGTTTATCATGATTGCACCAATGAAAATCAATTGCAAAATTTAAATGTTCACCATGATTACTTACACCCATGGAAATCAATTACAAACATGCTTGTACTAATGGAAATCGATTGCAAACTTCAATGGAAATCAATTGCAAAATTTAAATGTTCACCATGATTACTTACACCCATGGAAATCAATTACAAACATGCTTGTACTAATGGAAATCGATCGCAAACATTTAAATGTTTATCGTGATTACACCCATTGAAATCAATTGCAAACATTTAAATGTTTACCATACTTGCATCAATGGAAATCAATTGTAAACATTTAAATGTTTACCATGCTTGCACCTATGGAAATCAATTGCAAACATTCGAATGTTTACCATAACTGCATAGAAATTAATTGCAAGCATTTAAATGTTTATCATGCTTGCATCAATGGAAATCAATTGCAAAATTTAAATGTTCACCATGGTTACTTACACCCATGAAAATCAATTACAAACATGCTTGTACTAATGGAAATCGATTGCAAACATTTAAATGTTCACCATGATTACACCCATTGAAATCAATTGCAAACATTTAAATGTTTACCATACTTGCACCTGTGGAAATCAATTGTAAACATTTAAATGTTTACCATGCTTGCACCTATCGAAATCAATTGCAAACATTCGAATGTTTACCATAATTGCACATATAGAAATCAATTGCAAGCATTTAAATGTTTATCATGTTTGCACCAATGGAAATCAATTGCAAAATTTAAATGTTCCCCATGATTACTTTCACCCATGGAAATCAATTACAAACATGCTTGTACTAGTGGAAATCGATTGCAAACATTTAAATGTTCACCGTGATTACACCCATTGAGATCAATTGCAAACATTTAAATGTTTACCATACTTGCACCTATGGAAATCAATTGTAAACATTTAAATGTTTACCATGCTTGCGCCTATGGAAATCAATTGCAAAGATTCGAATGTTTACCATAATTGCACATATAGAAATCAATTGCAAGCATTTAAATGTTTATCATGCTTGCACCAATGGAAATCAATATCAAAATTTAAATGTTCACCATGATTACTCACACCCATGGAAATCAATTACAAACATGCTTGTACTAATGGAAATCGATTGCAAACATTTGAATGTTCACCGTGATTACACCCATTGAGATCAATTGCAAACATTTAAATGTTCACCATACTTGCACCTATGGAAATCAATTGTAAAAATTTAAATGTTTACCATGCTTGCGCCTATGGAAATCAATTGCAAGCATTTAAATGTTTATCATGATTGCACCAATGAAAATCAATTACAAACATGCTTGTACTGATGGAAATCGATCGCAAACATTTGAATGTTTACCGTGATTACACCCATTGAAATCAATTGCAAACCTTTAAATGTTTACCATACATGCACCTATGGAAATCAATTGTAAACATTTAAATGTTTACCATGCTTGCACCTATGGAAATCAATTGCAAACATTTGAATATTTATCATGATGACACCGGTGGAAATCAATTGCAAACATCTGAATGTTTCATATTCTCGTAGGAGTTACATGGTTAATTTCAGAAAGAATAGTTGAGCTGTCAATTATAGAATTGGGCAACTTATAGAGGAATATCTGCATGAGTTCTACGTTTACTAAGTTTCAATTCAAAAGAATAAACAACAAGAATGTGAATTTCTGAATACTTCACATTCAGAATACCTAATTTTTCCTTTAAATTGAACAAACTATCTCTTTCGTTTCTCACTACAAGTCGTTTGACACTAGTTCCAGAAATGACGTTATAGTGCCGCTATATTGAATGAAGAAAAAATTACTTTTATGCTGTCATTTTGAACTGAAATAGTCACTTGTGTTATATATTTGAAATGAAATTTTGTATCATATCAAATGTCCTAAGAAATAAATAGGGTTTTATTGGAAATTTTTGACTTGGCTTCATTTGTGGTTGGTGCGTCATAGATTTTCAATCGTTTTATCGGTAGAAATAGAACTAATGGAGTCGTGTACAATGATTTTGTTGTCGCTTGGTGTATATTTGATCTGTGCCTACAATAAATGTCATTTACTATGAGCAAGATATAGGTGTTACATTGATTGTGAGTAATCTGGAAATTCTTGATGATATCAAGTAATAGGTAATGGAGTTGGAATAACAAATAATAACCTTTTTTATTTCCTGACTCGAAAAAATTTACATTTGCTATATTTGACTCATCACATAAAAAATAAAGAAGGACTTTTTTGCATTGATGAGTGTTTAAATGTCTCATAATTCAGAAAAAATGTGTATTATTAATTTGTATATTTACATTATATCCTGTTGAACCTATAGGTATGTAAACTTCTATACTGTAAATGTGTTTATATAAACTACAAGTGTGATATTTTTATGAATATAATATATTGAGTCGTTTCAAAAGTTTTTTTGGTTATTATGAAACTACTTTTAACTGTAATATCTCAGTGAATACTTATTCAATTTAATCAAAACAAGCGCCATTTGAACCAGTGCACTTTTACCAACTTAACACAAGTAGAATAATTCCGTCAGCATAACAATGTTGTACTTGAGATTCGAAGAAGTCGACAACGGTCGTTTTTGCCTGGTCCTGGTTGGCAAAGGATGTACCCCTGAGAAAGTTATTGAAGTGGTTGACCTTTTCAATACCTCTTAAATGCCCAGTTTTTTCGCCATTTGTGATGGGCCTGTCTCCGTCAGAGTCCTCAAATCCTCGTCCTGGATTACTGTAGGTCGACCACTTCTGGGCTCATATTCGAGGTCAAAATCTCCGGAACGAAATGTCGCAAACCAACGTCGAACAGTGCGTTTATCAACACTGTAATTGCCAAATGCCTGGTTAAGTTTTCAGTCTGTTTTGGCAGCGCTTTGGTTCAATTTGAATTCGTAAAAAAAAAGGCGAAAACCTAAAATTTGGAAAGTGACCATTGTATAAGTGACCATTATTACACGTTCAGTAATAATGTCATTACCTGAAAATGATGACAATAATAATAATAATAAACTGGAATGATAGCAAGTATTGAAGCGGTAATGAAGCGTATCCGGATATTTTGATTTACTAGCGTCATTCTTAACAAGGGGAGAGGATACTGTCAGTGATAATGATCGTGTAAAATGAGGGTATCATTCCTTAGTTCAAGATTTCAAGATCAGCTGTACATATTGAAGCCATTGCAACTGAAAACAAGCATGGCATATACTCCAAAATTGGGCAATGTATATAGAAATTAAAAATCGAATTCTGTTTTTTCTTAGATAGATTTGGTTATATATACCTACTAATATTACAGGTAATGTATCCGATGGTGTTTTCGGACTTCTATCATCTAAGTTTCGTTTCGAAGCTTAAGAAGTGAATATATTTAAAGTTGAAAATCATGATATATAAATTAAAGGTCTGAGCCAGGGCCGTCGCCATGGGGAGAAGCCTCCCCCCTTTTTCGTCTTGGGAAAAAGTTGGGAAGTGAAGATAGAAAAAAATAATAGTGAAAAATGAATAAAAATTGAAAAAATAAAAATGAGAGAAAAGAAAGTGAGAGGTAATAAGTAAAGGGAAAGAACCAGGACAAGGTTGGGATTTCCCAACATGCATAACTTGGAGATTCCATACTTTGAAATTCTGAGTTGTTTGAAAACTTCAAAAAAGTTTAGTTTCTCCCACAAATTTTCAAGTGGCAATTTTACAAAATTCCCAACTTTTCGCTGTTTATTCGTCTGGAAGAGTTGGGAAATCTCGGGCCGTGAAGATAAAAAAAATAATAGTAGAAAACAATAAGCACAATATTATTCAAGTGTTGTTTCCTTTCATTTGTATTGATTAATAATAATAATAATAATGTTTATTCAAGGAAATAGTTCATAAAGAAAATAGTGTTACATGAATAATAATGAGTAAACATTGAAAACATCACGGAAGTATTCAAGATACTTGTATGTGATGATGCAAGAACAAACAAACAAATATATACATACATATATAGTGCACATAACCGTAAACACTAACTGTTTCACACATCTAATATATCTACAACTTATATATCAGTATACACATATAACCAGCAGAGCCACTTAACAACTGAATAGATTTGTTCCCTCCGTCAACCGGTCACACCCCTACGAGCAACCCTCAGAAGTCTTCGACAGGCTTGTACGAGCAAGGGAAGACGGGGGTCCTATCCTGTAACGTGCTATCCTGATTAAGGATTTCTTCAACCAAAAACTTTAGCTATAATTGTAAAAATATCAAAATAAAGAAGATAAAGAATATAAAAGAGTATAAAATTAAATGAAAACAAGCTCTCAATTTGTTTTTTTTTTGCTTCATCGTAAGTATTTTAGATTTATCAGATTGTTAAAAATGTCTCTTCCACTTTGCATGATCCAATCTTTGACCTCATCTTTATATTTTCTGAATTTGTCTATGCTTTTTATTTTAGCTGGTAGTAGATTGTATAACCTTGGAGCGATGTATTTACATGAACGTTGACCAATTGTTTTTGCACTTGTGCAGGTATATATTGATTTCCCTCTTGTTTCATAATTATGATCTAGAGTATTTACTAGTATTTTTTTCTTGTGGATGATATTCCTATACATGGTGGAAGACCAAGGACCGTGGTCCAAAGTAGAATAATTCCCATTATTATTTTTATAATTAACAAAATTAATTTTTGTGCATACCCTAACGGGCATAAGCATTTAGCCAATCTTTGGATAGCTGAGTTATAAAATTAATATATTATAGTAGTAACTAATTCCTCGGCTTTCAATTTTTCAAAAGTTGGTAAATTTTGCTGGTGGGGTTGGGAAAATTTAGATTTCCCCCTCCCCCCCACTAGTTTTTCATTTCGCTACGGCCCTGGTCTGAGCAGAATACACGCGACATATTTCGATTCTTATCATGAGAACAAAGTTGGGTCAATTTCATCTCTACTGTCGAGTATTTTTTACAAATAGAAGCAAATCTGTAAAAACATCAGGATTTCTATGCATCTCGGAAACAACAACGGCGGCGTTAATTTTTTTTGACACGTTTTTATTAGCTTCACCTGTTTGTACGTATGTATATTTGTTTGTTTAAAACTCTCAAGCTCGGGATCTGTATTTGACAGAATTATCGACATTATTGCTTAATCTATTCGCTGGCAGATGGCGCTATACATAACCTCCTTGATTATATAAATGGAACTCACTTTACATGTATTTCTTCATTTGAAAAAATTATTTTTTTTATTAACGCGCGCCTGCTGCTTTATTTTTAACCCTCCTTTACGCGCCTGCTGCCTTGGTAGCCGATTTTCAGGCTCCCTGGTCATTTTTTTTCTAAACAATATACGGCTGATTGATCCCAAAGTTTAGATGAAATAAATATAGTTTAAAAAGACTAAAAACACGCTTCATAGCATACAAAAGTGAAAAATTAAAAATAAATATAGTTTAAAAACTAAAAAACAAGCTTTTAAAGAACATCGAACTAAAAAGTTAAAAATATTTAAAAAAAAAGGTTAAAACAATAACGAAAGAAAAATACTAGTATTATTGTGAAAAAAGCGTGGGCGCTTTGTGCCATTTTTTTTGTAAATCAAGCTCCCGTCGCTTTTTTCACAATAATAGTATTTTTCATTCGTTATTGTTTTAAGCGTATTAAAAAAAAACAACTTTTTAGTTCGATGTTCTTTAAAAGCGTGTTTTTTACTTTTTTTAAACTATATTTATTTTTTACAAGTATATTATGATGATTTTTATCGTTTCTCTAAAACACGATCAAATATGATTTGATTAATCCTTCCTTTCTTTGGAAGATTCTCTCATCCATTTTTTTGTATCAGATGGAGTAGTAGAAAGCCAAAAACTTTCTTTCCCAAAAAAAAAAAAAAAAAAGATCAAATATATTTATTAATTTACTTATTTCAAAATGGTAAGCGGCCCATTAGCTCAGTTGGTTAGAGCGTCGTGCTAATAACGCGAAGGTCGCGGGTTCGATCCCCCCATGGGCCAGCTTTTTTTTTTATTAGGAAGACCGATATACGGTACATAATACTTTAGCTTTAAATTGTCGTACATTTTGATGCACTTGCGGTGCCACTTCGAGACATATTTATGATTCATCCTTGCAGGTGCTCTAACATAAAACACTAAGAAATTTACAACTCTCTTTCAATGTCGTCTAAATCGTTTATGTCTTGGCGGTTCTTCAGTCAAGGCGTAGAACTCATCAGTTATAATGAATAGTGCTGACTAAGATCATCCAGAAAATATCGATGACCCGGGAACAGCGTTTAATTAATTTCCTTTTGAGCTCAGGTAAAGTAAAATAGGGAGAGTTGATCGCGATAAGTCGGCGCAGTAACATCGAAAAATGGCCCTTTTTTGATATTTGGCGTTTTCTGTTTAATAAATAATGCATGTTTACTTATTATATTTTCGTTTTTTATTTCTGAGTTGTTTGAATCCCTTCGAGGAGCAGTGGTTAATTTTGCTCTCATTTTTTGTGTCTCCACCAAAAAATCTGAAGGACTTAAATCGAGTGATAGAGGAGCCACTCAATTGCACTTCTTCATCTCATCCAGCGACCTTTAAACCTGTCGTTTAAATAATCACTCATCTTTTTTTATAACGGTTGGCTTATGCCATGCAATTTTTCCGGAAATTTTGGACATAAAGCGTGTGACAGCGAAATTCGTTTCAAAACTGCTGAATTTTTATAAAAAAATCAGTCGCTAAGCTTCACTCGGGAATTGTTGAATGGCGTCAACGGCAATCCAGATTTGCTTAAAATTATGGGTAAAAACATCAGGAGTTCTTACTACATGGTCGTACGGTCAATAAATGAAGGAAACCCCAAGTATCCGAAATGCGTTGATATCAGAACCCTCTGATATTTCCAGTGAGGTTTTCCAACGTCGTAGCACTACCAACACTTCTTATTTTCCTGAGAAATATTCCTTGGGCATAACATCTCTATTTCGTGAAAAAGGTAGGAAATTTATGTCGAAACCACAAAGTTATTTTAAAAATAATCATCTTTATTTCACATAAACTCTTGAACAAAAAATTAGAGCCTAGTCTGAAAAATACTTTCACAATATCATAAAAAATATATATAAAATCAGTTCAATATCATGCGGATATAAATAAAAAACGTATAGTTAAATAAACTTTCAACAACAAATATTGTAAAAAAGAAGTATATGAATATGATCACTAAAAATTGTTAATACTTTTTGGTATGTACTCTCACTTACAAATATAGGAAGTTGAGATCTCATTCTATATTAATATGAAACGAAATATATCTTTGGAGGATTAAAGCTTCAATAATTGATCCAGAAAAGTTGTTTTATATCTCAAGTTTTGATATTTAGATATTTTTGCCTCTAATGTTGATTTTGTCGGTTTTCCAATATCGGGAATTATTTAAAAAATTTATTGAGGGACATGATTACTTGTACATTTTTGCTTCGACTTCCTCTGGAGTTCCCGAAGGTTTACAGTCACACGAAGAACAAGTTTTTCCTCAGTGGTTATTGGACGATAACTTTCAAGGTACAAAAATATCCCCTCTCATGATTTTTGAACCTGAACCAATTCATCTGATCAAAACATTCATAATGGCGTCTCAAAAACTAAATCCGCATTACAATCCCACGAGTAAATGTCCGTAATCACAGACTGTATCTTGAGGAAATTTTTACAAGGCTGGAATCCCTCTAACACCTTCACGAGTCGCAATGCATCAGTCAAAATTTCTCTCAACAGTCTTCTATTTTCATCGCTTTGATCGTAAGTATTCATCTGCAACTTCCTACTGAATGAGGCTGGAAAGTGCTTGCCAAAGCGTAAATCAGAGTACACAGCCCATTGGTTAGAGCAAGCTCTGCAGTCACAGTCGAAATAATACATCATTCTCAAGAATTTCTGACGGCTGTTGTAGTCCGATACGGAAAAACTCGTTCTAAAAAATAAAGTTGGGTTTGTATTAGGTAGAGGTTAGATTTGTTTGAAGGTGGTTGACAATGTTTCACGGAGCATTCATTAGTTCGGACTTCCATTGTCTAATATTATATAAAATTATTCACCGGTTTAGTGGAAGCTGACTGTTTGGCCGGAGTTGGTTGTTTTCCGCTTGATTAGAGGTTTCCATATGTTACGTATCTCTACGCTAGCTTGGCTAAATGCGTTGTTGGACAACATATATGCGGCTTCTTTGAGAGGAATCATCAAGACTCTACTAGACCGTGCTTTCGCACTCTGTAATACAAAGGAAGGTATCGAAAAGGAACAAGGCATCATCAAAAATGGCCTTCAATGGAATGGTTATTCCAAAGAGATGGTGGAACAGGCTTTGGCTAGAAGACAGCAAGAGCTCCACAAGGAAGAGAAGCCGCCACAACCAGTACTCCTACTTCCCTACATCAGAGGATTGTCGGAAAGGATAAGAAGGATTGGGTCCAAGTATAAAATCAGGACCTGCTTCAGATCTGGGAACACTATTCGTAGCAGCCTCACGAAAACCAGGCCACCAAACACGGACTGCGATTCCAAGAATTGCATTTACTGGATACCCTGTGAGTGTGGAAAATCATACATCGGTGAAACTAAGAGGCCATTGAAAGTTCGCATTGCCAAGCACAAGAAACACACAGCGAGGAGAAATCAGCAGATCCAGAATAGTAGAGCATGTTTGGACTCATCAACATAACATCAAGAGAGCTCAAGCTGAAATCATCCACAAGGAGGAACACTGTTTTTATTAATATTCCTTTGAAAAGAATTGAATTATTTTGTTGTTTTTCAGTGATACATGAATTAAATTGTTTGTTGATAATTTTTATTCGGCGCTGACGTCGGGCGTATTTTTGCGGAACTACATAACTGCATATAATATGTATGTCATTGGTCATAGTACGGTAATAATCCGTTCGACTGCAGCGCCGAAAAAAATTATCAACAAACAATTTAATTCATGTATCACTGAAATTCAACAAACAAAATAGTTCAATTCTTTTCGAAGGAATAATATTGGCATTTTGTAAAAATGAATTGTTTTGATTGTTGCTTTTAGGTGATACATGAATTAAATTGATTGTTTATAATTTTTATTCAGCGCTGCGATCGGACGGAATATTGCGTTACTGTCACTAGACTATCATGTTGTCAGATTTAAAAATTCAGCTTCTGCAAGAATCCGCTTACTATGTTTTTCTTAATTCTCACATCTCATATGGAATAATTCTCTGAGGAAATAGTACTAACGCAAATGGGATATTTATGTTACAAAAAAAAGGCCCTGAGGATATTATCTGGGGCTGGTTTCTTGACTCCTGTAGACCTCATTTCCTTTCGATGAAAATAATGACAGTACCTTCTATTTATCTATATCAACTTTTGATAGATATATAAAAATGAATCAACATCAAACTGGTTGGATGGAAGAGCAATTTCTGCCTTGATTTGTCATGTGCAGACGTTGAATTCTGCCATTTGTTAGGTTAGATTAGTATCTCTTGTACTGAGTAACCTTTCAATAAAAGCATTTATTATTATTATTATTTTTAAATTGTGTGTTAGATTTAGAATGTATGTTGTCATCATTCCTTCTGTATATAGATTTTATATCAAATAAATAGAATTCAAATACGTCAGTGAGACTTTATTTGATAATAAAATTATATCCATCCCATATTTTAAATTGTGATTTCCACGATCATGAGACTAGAGGATGTGATTTGTTGAGGGCCAGTAGATTCAGACAGAAAAAGTCAAGTAGAAACTATATCGATGTTAACTTATATTACACTGATGATTCTCAAACAAGACTCAACCTCTAACGGAAGCAAGAAACTCTTTGGAAGGTTCGAAATAGATGAACATTTCAACCTAGCAGACCACTATTATAATATTCATGCAGTCATTGTTCACTGTGGTTCTGGCGTTGAATTTGGTCATTATTACGCCTTGGTCAAAGAAGAAACGGACTGGTTTAAGTTTGACGATAGTCGTGTCACGAACTATTCTGGCTATGAAATTTATTGGAGCCTCTGGAGACACCCTACATTTTGTTTTATAACATAGAGAGGACATTGTTAGATCAATATCTTCAGATGATGTGGTGCTGCAGGTTTTTCCGGGTTTTCCTGCAGCTGAAAAAGCAAATGTGCCACTGGAATCAATGAAGTCGCCCCAGAGCGCCAATTAATTTTTATTGTTGTTTTTATTTTATTTTTATCGTTGTTTTAATAAAACTTTATGCCGTTCTGCTTAAAAAAAAATTATACAATATTCTACCTCCCCATGTCAAAAAGTTAAATATAAAAAAAGTATCTGAAATATCTATTGATTTCGAATTATGTTTATTCTACTAACGAATATATAGCTGTCTTATCCAAAGAAACACAAATAAACGGCAAAACAGTATAATATTCATTCTTGGGTAATAATGTATGTGTGTATATGTGACTTATCTTATTTGTATCTAAAAGATCAATAAATTAAATCCAAAATTAAAATAGCACAGATTTTTTCCAACTCTGTTGCTACAAAGAATTTAATTAATGAATAACTTACCCATAATTGATGCAGCACTGTTCGCCTTTCGAAATATTCGCTAGTGCTCTAGTCACCAACAATGTACCGTGGAAGAAAAGCTCCACATTGGGAACACAGGAGTGATTCAAGACACTTGCAAAGTTATATATAGCGGTACCAACTTTTTTGACATTAATACTTTGGGGTTGATATCTGACTTTTTTAATATCGAATGGGTTGAAAGCACTAACCATGTACGTTTTATAGAGGTAGCTTTTCAATATCTGAGGATCCACGTCGTACGTCGATCTGAACTCTGGGTTACTCCTCAAAGAGTGGTAAGCTATGCATGCCATTACTGCCGATATGGCCAGATTGAGGAAGTCTCTTTTGCTTTCATTCGTCTCCAGATCTAGGGCTACTTTGAAAGAATCTGACCTGAATACGTTGTCCGTTTCAACCTCGGCCTTATTCTGCAGCTCGTCCAAACCTCTCGTGGTCATTCTGGTGAATAGTATTCCAGGAAACTGAAGGATAGGCAGGGAACTGCATTCGAATTTGTGGTCACCGCTTTGCGCTTTCTTCAGACACTCCTCTCCGCAATACAATGTGTTGGTGCACTTATCGCACGGTATGAGGTTGTAACAGAGTTCAAGGCAATGATGGCAATGTAGATATTTACTCTCCATGTGGATCATATTCACGAAGGAGTCTTCCACTGAAATTACATGGCCTACTTTGATATTTTCAACAGCAACGACGTGTCGGCCATATTTTTCGCTTCGTTTTATTTCGATAGATGCAGAAGCGCAAGGGATCTTACGGTTCACTTTTTTTACACAGGGGACAGGATAATAATAGGTAAGTTTTCGTTGTAGACGGTTACATTCTATAGCTTTTTGTTTACGAACTAGAAGCTTCTCCATAGTTTTGTGCGGGATGGGGTTACCAAGGGCGAGATCTATATCCTGAAAGTAAAACAATAATTATTCAGGTAATGATATAATCCAGTCATTTTAGGTTTTTTAAACCTCAATCTGCGGAAAAATTTCTACTGAGCTGAATTTTGGTATACACCTTCATTATGGCGTTTTAATGAAGATGTTAAAAATCGACATTGATATCGTGCCGGCTAAAAAAGTTTATAAGGGTCAAAAGGTCACGAAAATCAGTTTTTCGGGAATATCTCGCGACCTATGGCTCGGAGGTCAATAAAGGTCATAATAAAAATTATTCCTCATACGATTATCTACAAAAAATGTCTCTTGCATTTTTCTGTAAAGTCAACCGTTTTCGGACTAGAGCGCTGAGAAAGCGAGTAGAATGCACTCACATAGGGTATTGTATACCGTATACATATAAGGCGTCAACTCTATTGCTTTTTATCAATGTATTTAAGTTTTCTTGAAACTTCTAACTTCTACTCGGGCGTGCATCGTGTTGTATGGCAAAAAATTATACATTCAATATTATCATTAACAAATATATTATTTATTTATCACTTCTTCGATTGACGACTCGTTTATTTTGTGGAAATTCATACAATTCCAGAAATCCCATACAAGTTGGGATTTCTGGAATTGAGCAAGGAATTGCAAGAAATTTATAGTTGAAGTGTACACATATTTTTCTAAGTGGGGCACTCCTTGATTAGTAGGTATATGGATAAACTTCACAAAAACGAATATTGAATTTTTACCTTCAAACATTCACTATAATAATTATTAACGTAAAGAACTGCTGATCTGTTATTGTAGGCAAGACCCATGCATTCACTGTCGGTCTCAGCAAATAATAAACTCTTGACATACATTTCGAAAGCTTCCAAATATTTTTTAGCATTATACAACTCATTGCCTTTATTTCTGAAGATGCAGGAATATTCATTCGATTTGGTTACTGTTGGCACCGAAATAATTCGATTGAACCTATCCAAGTTTCTCACGCTTTCATATACAAAGTCAACTTTCTCGGAATTACTGAGAGTCAGAAAAGTATCTTGCCTACTCTTCAGATCCGATTCTTCGATCAAAGGCACTATCACTTTTTCTACAGTTATTTCGGGGTTCTCATTCCAGTCCATCTTTGTATGCGCCTCGAATAGCACCTGAAATAATAAAAAGCAAAACACTATTTACAAATATCTGGCAGCATGATCTCAATATAAATATTAAATCTTGTTTTCCACACCTCAAATCTATAATAATATTTTTAATAATAGTATTTTTATCGATACATGAAACCTCTGAAAAAGCTAGCTACTCGTGCCAGCGAAACGTCAGGAAGAAATTCCAAAAATTCACAGCCTTCGAACGAAAAAAATGGTGACACTGTCAGTTCCATCATTTCATTTTTTTTCTGTTCTATCCCTCAGGAGTAAGAAATGTTATCAGATAATATGTAATCACCAATTTATATATCACAGTTGTCCTGAAGAAGGCAATAAACATTGCCTAAATTTGTATATTTAGCAAAGAGTCCCCTGTAATTAACTGAAACCTCCAGCAAGAAAAAAATTATGAATGTCACAAAAAAAGGAATACAAGACTACAAAAATGCACAATCAATGCATTTGTTTATGGTTCTTAACTTTTCAAAGAATACATTTACTTTATTCTCTGAAATTATTTGCTAAAAGAATATTTTAACATCGAAGTACAATTCATTTCAATGCAGTTATCAGTTTTTCCTGTATATTATGAATTATGGCACAAGGAACCATAATTAATTATTATAATTAAAACCTCAAATACGGGCCTGATACAAGGGAATCCCAACTTGGTTCGTTATCTCACGCTACCTGGTGACGATAAAAACGAATAAACTGTTATCCAAGTTTTGAAAAATAAAATTGTCCATTTCAAAATAAACTTACCAATACCAAAGTTCAATCGTTTTTGACTAATGGTGTCTCAAACTTCATCGTTCGAGGTAGAAAATATGCAGTATTACAAAAAAAATTATAAAAACTTCTATACGGTGGTAAAACATAGAACATAGATAAAAAAGTACAAATTTCTATAATTGATGTAAACACAGTATGACCTCGAATATACATTTTTGGTAATCCCAAATACAGTGTTTCCAACTGGAAGATTCGAAATTACACCATTGGATTCATTAGTATTTCAGGTAACCGCTGTTAAAAACTGCCGGAGAGTCGGGGTTGGTTACTTTGGAACATACCCATAACCGCACTATTTAATCTGTGACCGCACATCTTATGTAAAAAATTAATCTTGCGAATAATGAAAACGCCTGAAACATGTACAACCATTTTTAGGTGAATTTGGTCAATTGCACACAAATGTTCGAAGTTGCAATTTCCACTACACACTATACAGAGTGTAGGGAAATTTTTTTACCGATGATAGCTCTACTCAGATTCAAACATTAATGGAGCATATTACTTACATACATGTTTCGGACGTTTCATTATTGGCAATACTGATATTTGACATGATACTTTTGGAAGATGTGTGAAAAACCTAAAACTTTGGTGCGTTCGATTGCATAATATTAATGATTTGGTCGGAAACATCTTTATCTAGGGCGATGAAATGTAAAAATTCTCAACTGCAATCAAATTAATTAATGTTGCTAACCATGAACCTCTTGAAAGTGACCACATTTTCAACCATTTTCACTTGAATATGGTTAATTTTTGAGGAAGATAAAGGTGTTGAATCCACACAAACCGATTACTTAGGGTGTTTTGTATCTCTGTCATTTTGATGTGATTTTGGAAAAATCCACCAACTTTTCGACGTGTATAATCGGAATCGGTAAGAGGTTGTCACTTTGACCAATCACACACGAGTTTTATACGATTTGAATTGAGGTTAAGGATTTTAGGAATTTAGTTTTTTCAAAGAATGAATTTTTTTACAAAACTTCTGAAGTTAAATACTTTGAACGGTGAGGTAACATGCTAAATACATTTTGTGAAAAGATCAGATTCTCTGAATGCTATTTTACTTTGAAGACCTATCCGTATAGTTAAGATTTGATTCTTTTCAGTATCATTCACCAATTGTAGAACTTTGCAATCACAGAAGGTTTCAAATATCCTCCCGGTGTTTACACAAATTACTAATGCTCCAAATCCATGGATTTATCAGCAGAACGATCACGTGAAACTTCCACTTAGCAGAATCCATAAAATTGAGTTACCCAATAATTTAAAATGGGTCCCACCTTTAATCGATCCTGTTAGCAATGAAGTATCAATTGAACCTCCGGTCAGCACCGTTTCTAGCACACCACTGAGTGCAATTGGAATAACTGTTATCAGAAGAAAGAAAATGAAGAAGCATAAACTCAGAAAGTTACGTAAGCGGATGAAATTTGAATGGGCAAAGGTAACTCTTTACTGAATATTTATTTCTGCTTGGCTAACTTGAATTTGCAGTATTCATTAGCTATTTGGGGTTCAGCTAATAGTTTCACTATCGGGGAAGTACAAAATTGCAAAATGAACCATCTGCATGAATTGGAAGTCGTTGAATCCATCCAATCTGTCAGTAATAAAATAAAATTTTTGAGTTTGAATTTTGTGGAGGTAAATGACTCTCATGAACATGTGTCAGAACGGAATGGAATCAACGATTCAAGAATAAAATAATCTTTTTAGAAACGGCAACGTAGAGAATGGAGGAAAGAAAAGTTATTTCAGGCGAAACTAATCCAACAGTGCAAAGAAGCCGAATCGTTCTCTGCAGAAAAATATGTTCAAGAGAGAATTGATAAGTGGAAAGAATTAACACAGAATGAAACTTCCAAAGGACCACATCAATTTTTAAATAAAGAAATGAAACAATAAAATATGTGAGTCATCAGTAGTTTTTGTTTTTCGCAATAAAGTTATTTATTCATTCAAAAAAATAATTATCCAAATTCTATCGAAATTAATAATGCCATTATCAACAAACGTAGAATAATTTACTTCCTCTGTGGGTATAGACGAACAAAGGATACGGTCTCTTCGAATAAAAGTGGCGATTAGAAACATTCCAATTGGGCTGTTCAAAATGTTAAAGTTGTTACTATCCAAAATCATCTTGTGGGACGAGTTTCAAATTTTTTTTATGATTTTAGACAATGAAAATCCAAACTTTCATCATTCAACCATGAAACACCTGCTTTTATAGAAAAACTTTGGTTTTTTTTTAATAAATGAACATGTATTATTCAGAAGTTGTTTATAATCAAATCAAATCAAAATCAATTTATTCATCACTGTAAACTCCAATACAATTGCAAGAAAAAATAAGAAAAACAATATAAACGGTCAATATTATTTATAATATTGACCGTTTACTTTATTATTTTGTGTTCCTATATTTGATTATCATTTATTGATGTCAGACAAAGTTGTTGGAAAAAATAAATCTATTTATTTTAATGCAAAAAAGACAAGAGAATGGATAAAACACTTTTGTAAATTTTGTTGATACAAATTGAAAAATAAATATCTATCAAGTGACTTTTGAAACAATGTTAAGTTGTTGTTAAAAAATGTTAAGTTGTTTTTTAATTGTTTCATTTTAATACCTTTCTTACCTTAATACGTTACGATTTTTCACTTTATTAGAAATCTTTATGGGAACAAATTTAAAATTAACGTTCTGTTCATTATATCAAAATGAAATTCATGATTATTATTATTATTAAATATTTTTGAATATGTCAATTTTTATTGATATGCTCAAGTTGATTTGGCACAAGCAATGGACAATTGATAATCCATTGATGATTCACTAGTTTTTCAATTCAGACAATAAATGTCTTAAATACAAAAAAAATATTTACTCATTAATATATGCATCTGTTTACTCACAGATTCAAATGTATAATAACAACACTTCCAAAATGCAAATCATGAAACCATAAAACAACAACAAAAATTAATTGGCGCTCCGAGGTGACTTCATTGAATCCAGTAGCGCATTTGCTTTTTCAGCTGCAGGAAAACCCGGTAAAACCTGCAGCACCACATCATCTGAAGATTTTCATGGACAAAGATTTTGAGTAGAATATAATAGTATGAAACAACATCATGACATAGTAATATTACACTTTATTCAACAGAAAAAAAAACATACAATTCATCTCCTACATGCTGTGAATGTTTTAATTAGATTTGGATGTTCTTTTATCATGGATATGAACGAATATATCCTGTCCACAGTGAATTCGTCCTTGTTCTGCAGGGATTCTTTACCTTTAGTTTCTCCAACAATTTTAACAGCTTGGGGAAGTGATCTGAATTTATCTTTGACAGGTTTCTGATTTTTACCTGAAAAATGAATTTATTAGAATCCTTAATTATTCCATATAACTGGAGGGATTATTCTTTGAGATGAATTTACACTGCATTTCTTTAATGTCCCCCCCCCCCTTAATTTTTTGTAACGGGTCAACTCAAAAAATTGAAATTTGGGATAATGAAATTAATGCATGAATGCTTTATGTTAAAGTGAAATTGACAAATAAAACTTTCAAGATGCCATCTGGGATAAAACATTGAATGGAAAGGGGGGTCTTTTTGAAGCTCCTGACAAATGCTTCACAACCCTAGAATATAAAGTCAATATCTTCAACTACTACAAAATGGCGGCACTTTTAATAATTGCCTAAATACATTGACATTTAACTACATAATATGAGGTAATAAGCTTGAGGTCAGTTCAGAAGATGCTCGAAATGGTTGCCTTGAACTTCTTGGCATATGAACAGCCTATCCGATATTTTACGCCGAACATTTTCGAACACAGTAACGTCAATATCTCTACAAATATTTATTATTCTTTACCGTATATCCAATATTGAAGCAGGTTCACTTTCGGGGCTTCAAATAGCCCCATAAAAAAATCGAAAGGTGTCAAATCTGGCGAGCGGTCTGGCCATTCTGTAGGACCTAGATGGCCAATCCAATGACTGGGAAAAGTAGTATCCAAATATTCTCTTACTTGTTTGTAGCAATGTGGTATTCTTCATCTTGTTGGAAAACAATATCCATATCGAATTCATTAGGATTCGCAGTCAACAGTAGTTTCCAGCATATTCAAATATAGTTTCCCTGTTAACTTTTGATCAATAAATAGAGGTCCTACAATATGGTTTCCCAATATTCCTGTCCAAACGTTAATTTTTTCTGGATATTGGGTATGTGTTTCCCGGAAAACGTGGGGGTTGGTGTCACTCCAATAACGGTAATTTTGTCTGTGAACATTGCCTTTAAAAAAATGTACATTCGTCACTAAAACAAATATTGTGGATATAGGTAGGATGCCTTGCAATGGTTTCCGTCATGATTTCGCAGAGTTCTGTTCTTCGATCAGGGTCATCTTCAGTTAATTGGTGTACCATTTTAATTTTGTATGGATGATACCTATTCCTCTTCAAAAGTCTCCACACAGTAGGAGTATCTTGAGTATCAGTTATTTTCGGTTATATTTGTTTAACTAGTGGTATATATGAGTATTAATTATCTATATAGGTTATAGGTACTCACTTTATTATAACTAGGTAGATTTTCATTAATGATTCATTATATATTTTGTTTTATTTAGGGAAGTGTGGAAGAATCTGTCAACTGTCCTAACACAACTCTTTTGTTTTGCTGTGTTCTTTGGGTTAAGTTTTACAGTTCTGTAATTATTTTATCGGCAAACAATAAACAATTTATTATTATTATTATTATCCAGAAAAGAGCCATCCCTCTGATTGGAGACGCGAACATCACCTGCAACCTTTATTGTCTGGAACATCGATGAAAGGTTGGGGACTTGTCTCTTTTCTATAGATACTTTCACGTGAAGTATTCAAGTGACTTGGCACATTTGATTTCACCAAGAGCTGTGAAAGAGATTGTGGCTGTTCATCGTTTTGAGGTTCAACTCAGTAAACCTCGAACTTCACTGTTTAAGAACTTTTCACTTGGAAAACTGTGTTTATGTGGAATAAACTTCTTGGGAACGTTTTTCCAAATGGATTTAATCTCCAGCGATTCAAATCCAATGTGAATCGCTACTTTCGCACAGGCACCGCTCTTAGAGCGCCTCAGGTATTCTCCTATGGTTCTTGTGTTTTGTAGGAAACTTCTGAAGATGAGAAAGAATATATTTCGAAACTGCAGGTTTCACCTAAATATTAAAAACTTACCCATACTCTTTGTCGGCGTCTGATACAACTTCGATAGCTCGTTTGTCTGATTGCTTACAGCTTCGTAAACGATAGGCATGGGGTGAAACGAGACATTTGACTTATTCTGTTCTCTGTCGATGCTGATCACTTCGACTTGCGCAATTTTCACGTTTGAACGGGTTTCCGAGAAAGATTCCTCATTGTGCGGTTTCTTTCGAATCACTCCGTCCAGCACTTCCGTGCTTTCTTTCAGCTTGATGCATTTGTCGCAACAGCTCTCTTTCATGCTGGAAAAGCTCGCTACTGATCTAGATTTGGATGGTTCCTTTCTGATGCATGACGGCTCTTTCAGGTACAGCTTGGATTGCCTGAGCAGTTCTACAGAGTCTTTAGCAGTGGTCAACTTGGACGGTTTTTTTTTCACGGTTGATACGGAGTCTTTTATCGCTTCTATCGAATTTTTTGCTACTTCGATCGAGTCTCGCGGGCTGATTGTGAAATCCGTTTGCTCTTTACTTGGATTAACTTGATGTAGCATTAGGGAATCACGAGTGTCAAGAACTAATTCGGGAGAGATTTTTTCGCTAATGACGCTGGCATCTGAAACAATGCACAATATATAGGGTGATTGATAATCCCACATTATGAGGTAGTGGATATTGAATGTGAACGGTCTCAGTTTATTAGACCATTCACTAACAAATTCAGATAGAACCGATTTATCTCACCAAGAACCAATATTCGTTTATTTACCACAATATTAGAACAATAAAATTTCCCAACATTAAATCTTTCGAGAAATGGAAAGTGGAGACTTTTAACTTTGAAGGAATAGATGATTAAACTGCAAGAAAATATACATACATTCAATGATCCCAATGCCATAAATTGACACTGAATTTTCAAAAATCTTCATATATGTATCAATTGATGTAAAATATCCAATTAAATTTAATAATGAAAATATTAAATACTCTCCTAGTGCTAAATTTTTAGCTCTGTTACGCCAGCAACGCAAAGTACGGAAATTGCATTTAGAAAATGCCAAAATTAGGTACTTTTTAGGTACCGAAGTCAAAAATTAGGTGCTCTGTAACTTACACCGCAACTCAATACTCAAAGTTGTGTTGCTAGCAACGCAACCTCACCGTTTAGCAGTGCTAAACGGTGAGGATCGTAAAATTTTCTAATTAATAAACAAAAGCTTCCAATTTTGCTAAACAACTGATCTAAGAATCAGATCTTTCGAAAACGAGGACGAATGCTCTATCAGGTATAAACTAAGCGTTGAAATAAAGTGCTAATTAGGTGCTCACTAGATATTCATAGTAAAACTAGATTCTTTAATGCCTATGGGGCTCATGGACCTAAAAACCACCATGACTGATGTACTGAGTTTTTATAGTATGTTATTTAATGAATAAGGGCAAGAAATTTAAGTGCTAATTAGGTGCTCACTAGATAAATAATAATAAACGTAGATTCTATAATGCCTATGGGTCATTATGGAAAACCACTATGACTAATGGACTGAGTTCTTACAGTACGTTCCTCGATAAGTAAGGGTATGAGAATAAAGTGCTAATTAGGTGCTCATTAGATATTTACAGTAGATCTAGATTCCATAATTCATATGGGGCTTATGGACCCGATAACCACCATTGAAAAAAAATGTTTAAAATATGTTTTTTCCATTAACCAGCTATCGCACCCCTAAGAACGATAACCCTCAAAAATCGAGGAAATAAGCCCCATATGAATTATGGGATCTAGATTTACTATAAATATCTAATGAGCACCTAATTAGCACTTTATTCTCATACCCTTTCTTATCGAGGAACGTACTGTAAGAACTCAGTCCATCAGTCATAGTGGACTGCCAATATATTAGAATTTTTTTGTCCATTTCTGAAGACGGAGGCAGATTTTGGCCTCCGAAACGTAAAGATAAATATTGTATTATTTCTTAACAATTTTTTTGATAGGCAAAATTGTTAAATACGACAAGTTACTGATAAATAGAAGATTTTTCTTTGTGAAGAATACTTTGATTTTTACGCAGTAACTTATCGGGGTAAACTAAAAAGTTTGCCCTTCTCCATTATAATTTTTATATTTTTCAGATTGTGGAAGGCAACAAATACCCAAAAAAGGTCGATAAAAAACTGAATTTTCCTCCACAAAAAATGACTCGTTGAATAATATAACTTCTTTTCGGTTTCTTACCTGTAATGTTTTTATACTCAAACGGAGTATTTACATTCCGTTCTGAATAGTCGACGGTTAAAGCTGTAGAATCGTAACTCTCTCTTAAGTTTTTCTTGAGGCGCGTTTCTTTTTGAGGTTCCTCGAACGTCTCTGTCAACGATTCTGTCTCATAATCTGTATCCAAGGATCCCTTTCTTACATGATCCTCGATATCATTTGGATCTCCTTTTCCAATATACCTCACCGAACCCTTGAAAAAAAAACTGAGAGTCCGTACAACTTCGATAGCATACATTATATTGAAAATAGCCTGATTAATTCATTTGATTTTTGTTTTGAAATCTGTTTTTCCGTTAACCAGCTCTTGCACCCTAACTCTAAAAAGTCGAAACTTGTGCGAGCTAAGGCCTAACGAGGTCTTACCTTGTACATGTGATTCCTAAGACGGGTTGGACGATAGCAAGTGAAAATAGATCGTCCGGCCATGCGGTTCGAACCACCGGTTTACACAGCGGTCGATTTATTGACCAAATCACCCACGTTAACGCAACTGGCTGTTCTTTAAAATATTCTGGAGTTATTGAACAGCGACAAGCTTCATATCATACATTGTGCCAATTTTAAAAGAATGTGCAACAAACGAAAACTGATGTCGAAAAATGCTTGAAACCGTTTCTAGGATAGTAAGGGGGAACTAAAGTGACATGAAAGAGAACTCACCCCCATCCCCTAGGCCCCACCCACCCAACAAATTTATTAAAAATGTCAATTAAGTAAATGTTCAAAGTGGGTTCCGTTGTTTTGTAAACAATAGTACATCCTATTTTCAAATTCTACACGAACTTTGTCAAATGCTGTTCTAATAATGACGCGACATGCTTGCGTAATTCTTTCTCGCAATTCCCCAAGTGACGCAGGTTGAGTTTTATAAACAACTGACTTGACGTGACCCCACAGAAAAAAGTCAGGTGGCGCCAAGTCTGGTGACCTCGGTGGCCACTCAATGGGATCTCTCCTTCCAGTCCATTTGACGGATAACACAACACAACAAAAAAATATTTTTTGAATGTTTCCTACACTAAATTAGTCAATTTCTACTAATTTTGGGGTTATAAAGACGAAAATAACAATGAAAAATTTTTATTAGCTCTGGTTTTTGAGATACACAGTACTTAATCTTAAAGAGTAGTTATACTATACGTGAAAAGTGAAAGTACATAAAACAATATTGTTATGTTTCTTTTAGAATATTTTATGTACAAAATTAATAAAAAAAACATTATTCTTAGTGTTTTGACAAATAAAAGAAGTTTGTACCACCAAATTTCAATTAAGTTCATCCGATTCATTGTAAGATCACTGTCGTTTAGCTTGTCTTTTATAAAACACTTCTGGAGCATCCCTACACACAGACCAGCAGTAGTCTGCAAGCATTGCTTCATTCCAACGGCCCTGATATCTCTGTTCCATTAAGGCAATGTCTTGATGGAATCTTTCTCCATGTTCGTCACTCACAGCTCCACAGTTTTGTGGGAAGAAATTAAGATGAGAGTGAAGAAAATGAATTTTTAAGGACATGTTGCATCCAAGTTGGTGGTAAGCTTGAAGAAGCTCTTTAACCAATGCTGTGAAGTTATCATCTCTTTTGTTACCTAAAAACCTATGTACAACCCCCTTAAAGGCTTCCCAGGCTCTTTTTTCATTTCCTGTTAAAATCATGTCAAAAGCAGGATCATTTACGATTTCACGGATTTGAGGCCCAATAAAGATGCCTTCCTTGACTTTAGCATCACTCAACCTGGGAAACTTTGCTCTCAAGTACTTAAAAGCTTGTCCTTCCTGGTCCATGGCCTTCACAAAGTTTTTCATTAGTCCCAACTTAATATGTAATGGGGGAAGGAGAACATCCTTAGGATCTACAAGAGGCTCGTAAACTACATTTTCCTCATTAGGGTTTAGGTCTCGTGTAGGCCAGTTCATTTTTTTATAGTGAGATTTTCTATCCCGACTGTCCCACAGACACAAAAAACAACAGTACTTGGTGAACCCTAATTGCATTCCTAGGAGTATAGCAATGCCTTTCAGATCACCACAGATGCGCCACTTGTGTTGTTCATATTTGATTGATTGGAGAAGTGTTTTCATATTTATATACGTTTCCTTCATGTGAACTGCATGACCTATAGGAATAGAGGGTAGCTGATTTCCATTATGCAGAAGTACAGCTTTTAAGCTTAGTTTTGAAGAGTCTATAAACAGTCTCCATTCAGATGGAGTGTGATCCAAATTCAAGCAGTCCATCAAACCATTAACATCAGAACAAACTACGAGGTTTTCTTTTTTCTCAAAAAAAGGAAGCAAATCTTTTTGACGCTGTCTGTACTGAGATATTTTCACATCATGAAAAGATTCCACTGTTGTAGTCTTGACCCTAACAGCTCAGCCTTTTCCTTAGACAAGCGAAGATCTCTTATAAGGTCACTCAACTCTGCTTGACTAATTCTGTGCGGATCACTAGACCTATCGCTTACCTCAAAATCAGGGTCATAGGATGTAGAAGGATGGGTTGCTCCTTCTAAACAGTCTTCATCACCTTCCTCTAAAATTCATAGTTTTGGGGTGGAGAAGGGACTGGCAAATTGTCTGAGTGTGGTACAGGCCGAAGAGCAGATGGGAGATTAGGGTATTTAACCGTTCCTCTTTTCTTCATAGATAAACCTTGCTTAATGGGAGGAGTTAAGCAGAAATAACAGTCGTCTGTATGATTGGTAGGCTCACGCCAAACCATAGGTACTGCAAAAGCCATTGCCCGGTTTTTATTTTTCAGCCACTCTCGCAATATGACGGAACAAGAATTACAACATATATGAGGAGCCCATGATTTATCTTGGTCCCCAACTTTCACACCAAAATAATGTTCATAGGCTGTCTTAACGATAGGTGTCATTTTACGTTTCTGAGCCTTAAATGTTATTTCACCACATATATAGCAAAAGCTATCGACAGAATTCACGTGTTTTCCAGCATATCGAGATAAATATCGCTACTTAAATTGCCTGGTATGAACAAGGGACCAATTATAGCATCGCCTAATGTACATTCAGTCCATTCAGTTTTTCAGGATATTGAGTGTGACATCTGAATCGATGCGGGTTCGCATCACTCCAGTACCGACAGTTTTGTTTATTTACATTACCATTCGGCATAAAAATACATTCATCAATGAAGCAAATATTTTTTAACATTCTCGGTTCAACGCGAATTCTTTCAGTCATGAGTTAACAAAACTCAATTCGTCGGTCTGGATCATCATCGCCTAGTTCTTGAAGAATGTGTGTTTTGCACGGTTGAAACTTATGTAATTCAACACCTTTTTAACCGACTCATGTGAAAGTTCTGTCACTGCAGATACTTGACGTGTTGATGCAGTAGGCTCCATTGCAAAATTTCCAAGGACCTCAATTTAGGTTGCTTCATTCAGTAATCTTGGGGCATCCTTTTTTATATTTTGCACTGATCCCGTTTCTCTAAACTTTTCAACTAAATCGCGGACGTACATGTGACTTCCTTTCATGAAATATTTGAGCTGTTTTTAAATAACACTGGTTCTGGGAGGCAAATATGACAATATGGCAAATATGACAATCTCCACGCGCTCAGGTATACTGTAAACCACCGTGGCAACTACAGCTGAATGACTACAGATCGTACAAATGATGAAAACTAATGACATTCAAAAGTCTCAAACAAACCAAAAATACCAAGTCATAGTAAGCCGGCTGATATTGAAGTTCGTGCAGACTTTGACAATAGGCTGTATTATTGTTTGCAAAACAACTTTGAACATTTACTTAAATGACATTTTTAATAAATTTGTAGTTCAACAAAAACCTCATCAAATATTCCATTCAAGCCAAAGTTTCACAATTATTGCTTCACCCTGTACAATCATTATTCATACCATTGGATAGCATTTTTTATAGTCTTTTCAATGATGCGTCACACGTAGGGGTTTGCAATTTTAACTTTTTGTGTTTTGGTGGGTGGGGACTAGGGGGTTGATGGGGGTGGGTTCTCTTTCATGTTATTTTAGTTCCCCCTTACTATTTCGGGACTTATTGATCCATGTAGTAATGTGCGGGTTCCAAGTGAGCCTACGGTCTATTAGAAGGCCGAGGTACTTTACCCGCGCTTGCCAGTCAATCTCCCTTCCAGAGATTCTCACTTTTCTGGCAGGAGAAGATAGCAATCTTCCCATGGTTATCGCCTGGGTCTTGTCCGGATTCACTCGGATCTTCCAGCGCTCGAGGTCGTGCAATGCACGTTGCAGGTAGACGACACCGAGCTCTCGACCCATGGAAGATGAGAGGAGAGCCGTGACATCAGCGTATAGAGATATCTTCACATGCTCGGTCTTCGGATGGTCAATGGTGTAAAGTGAGTACAGCGTCGGAGAGAGCACTGCTCCCTGTGGCACTCCATCGAGGATATCTCTGTTGTCGGGCAGAGAGTCCTCTACTCTAACCTGAAATGTCTTTCAGGAAAGACCCAATCCACCGGATCAGGCCCCGATGCAGGTCGAACGCGATTAATTTGTGCAGAAGGCCTTCGTCCCATACACTATCGAAGGCCTTCGAGAAGTCTAATAGTACAATGTGCACTTTTTTGTTGCTGTTCAGCTCGTGGTACATTATCGGCATAGACTTACCTGGTTATTCATCAAGCACTTCCTATATTTAAGTTTAAATGAAACAAAGTGTACGTGAGATATCATTGTAGTAAGTAGTGGTCAAGTCGTACTAGTAGTCACTGCTGTTTGTGACAACTAGCTCAGAGACATAAAAAGGGTTCCTGCATTATCGACATGCACATGAAGATGATGACAGAATGTGTTAGTTGTTTTCTCTGTAGCTGTACTCAATTTAATAAAGTAGTTAAGGAACGTGTTTGAGTATAAATAATATTATACATTATACTGTTCAGGATAATACTACAATCATCGACATTTTTTATTCGTTCGAAAGACCTATTGATGCCATTATGTATGGAATATAACATCCTCAACAGGTTTTTTTCACCCGACCCATTCGCGATTAATTTTTCTATACATTAAATTTCATACAACACACTTTTCGAATTCGGAACTTGAACTATTCGAAAAATATGCAAAGAAAGCTTCTGATCGTATTTTGAAATATCTGGCGATACTTAATTCGATTTCCCGAACGAACATTAAAAAATATACAGGGTGATTCACAATACTTACTTTTTTAATTATCAGTTCTAAGGAACTCCTAGCCCCTAGCAAACGGTTCTTTTTTTCCTCCGATCCAACCTTTGAGAAATCTATGGTCGTGATGGAGTCTTGTGCAGTTCGAATAGAGGGCCTCTCAGAATCTAACATAGCTTTCCTGAGAGACAAGGAAATGCTCTCGTCATCGACCGATACCCTCTTATGCGGCTTCTCGGGGGCTATTAGTGGTTGGCCCGCTATTTTGAATTGGATGACAGAATGAGGTTTGGCATACCTTCAACAGAGAACAGTTTCATATATCAATACAGTCAATGCATACAGTGTGTGTCACATTAAACTTCCATTATTCAGCTAATAACTATACAGTGCATTCTATTTAAAACGAGCAACCCTCAATAACTTTTGGTAACATTATTTTTAGGAAAAATTAAAAAAACACGTCAACAATAGTATACAGGGGGACACATTTTGACATATTGACATTTGATGTTACTTTCCCTATCGCACCCCCAGAGCATCTCACCAATTTTTTTCAAACGGATCACCCTATATTGTTTCGCATCATCAGATGCTCCATGATGGGCAGATTTTAACAAAGTATAAAACAAGCTTATGGTTTGGGAGCTACAAATTATTCGAGTTGAAAACAAGCCGCCCTAAATAACTTTTGAAACCATTATTTGCAGGAAAAAAACAGGTCAACAATTATACAGGAGGCCACATTTTGAAATATTCGTTCTAGAGACAAATATGGAAGCAAAAAATCGGAAAAAGGTTTTTTTATCAATTCTTGAATCAAAATCTGATGACTGGACAATGAGAAGAAAACATTTTCCATAGTAAATGTTCAAAAACGTTTTCACCAATTTCCACACAATGGTACAAAACAGCTCCCATTGCCGCTCTCACATGGTTGAGAATCTCGGGAGTTATTTCTCTGCAATGCCTCATGATATTCTCATGATATCTCATACACTTTAGGCTTCGAATGACCCAAAAGAAATAAATCTACACGAGTGAGATCCGGAGACCTTGGTGGCCATTCTGTATGACCTCTTCTGTCAATCCAGCGACCAGGAAAATTATCATCCAAAAATTGTCGCACAGGAGCTGCATAATGCTTTCGAATAAATTTAGATTCTCCTCAGTCGCTCTATTGATGCACGGTATTATTCGATTCTCCAACATATCCAAATATTCATCACTAGTCAAATCATCATCGAAAAAAAAGGTCCTATGATGTGGTCACCTAAAATTTCTGCTCAAACATTCAGTTTTTGAGGTCGGTGGGTATGAACTTGATAGTATAAACGAGGATTCGTATCACTCCAATATCGATAATTTTGCCGATTCACCTCTCCATTCAAACTAAACGTACATTCATCCGAAAAACAAATTTTATACAAGAAATTCTAGAGTTGGTCTGGTTTGGAACTATATACCAACCAGTTGATTGGCAGCAAGGGTGGTATTCATACCTAAAGTGGGTCAAAAAGACCCACACCCTAAAGCGGTACGACCAATCAGCCTTAAATCCTGGCTAGGAAAGGTATAGAATCGACCATAACTGGCTGGATCTATGTCATGCGGGTAAACAGAACTGCAACTACGACTCTTCAAGGCGAGACCGTTAGGTTCAGGGTCACCAGAGGCTGCCCTCAAGATGGGGTACTATCTCCCCTTCTGTGGTCGCTCCTTGGCAAGGTCCACGTCGGGAAGGATAGCTTGTAATATCCTCCAAAGCACGATGGACGTTGTTCACAGTTGGTGCCTGAGGGAGTAGATGTCTGTCAACCCCAGCAAAACTGTGATAATCCTCTTCACTAGGAGGAGAAAATTGGAAGATCTACCGCCACTTTCTCTCAATGGTGAGGTCATTCCATTTGGAACGGAGGTGAAATATCTTGGCATTGTCTTTGATAAAAAACTCACCTGGAACGCTCACTTGGAAAAAGTTTTACACACAGCCAGACTGTCCCTATGGACATGATGAAGAATGTGTGGTAAACTTGGGGTTTAGGTCTCAAACAAATCCATTGGATTTATGTATGATTGTCAGACCAATGATCACTTATGGTGCAATTGTCTGGTGGCCGAAGGCTTTAGAGAAAACGGCCCAGGCGAAGCTCTCTGACTCACAGAGACAGGCTAGTCTGGCCATCAGTGGTGCCTTCAGTACCACACCGTCAGCGACCATGGAGATTTTTCTAGATCTACCTCCTCTCCACAGTTTTCTGGAGAGAAATGCTAGATGGACTGCATATAGACTTGTGCACATTGCCAATTGCACGAATTAATTTAATGCAGAGTGCAACAGACTGTTGGTTGACACTGGAAGTCACAGCATTCTGGAAATGACTTCTGACTTTATGCCTCCAACTGTCACCTACGAACAGCCTTATAAAGTACTGTTTCCGATTAGAGAGGACTGGATCCTCCGGGAAAGGGAAATATTAAGATCAGATAGTTGGTGATTCACAGAGGGATCAAAAACACCTTCCGTTTCCGTAGACCCAGGACAGAGATATCAACCTGCCTAGGAACCTATGCGACTGTATTTCAAGCGAAACTTCACGCTATTGAATTAAATACGGAGAGATTGAAAGAATCCAACCTCATACACAAGTCAATAAAAATATTCTCGGACATTCAAGCGGAGTTGGACGATCTTGGCTCCGAGCAACGTCTAAATTGGTATCAAATTGCCAAAAACGATTCTCCTCGATAGGAAGACTTAACATATCGTCACTGGCCTGGAAGGCAATAATGAGGCTGCTGACTGAAAGTGAGGAAACAGCAGGGCACATACTTTGTTCCTGCCCCGCTGGGGACCGAATTAGGTTTTTAAAGTTCGGCAGAGCCGTACAGATACACTTTTGAAACAACCTAATGATTACTCACAATTTCACAAGACTGAAATAAAAAATTTTCGCATATTTTATGTTCTCTATACTCCTCTTCTGAGCACCCGTTGACTGGACCTTACAGTTTTGAGGCTGGTCTTTTTAAGTATACTTACATTCCGTGTTCACTAACGTCCCGAGTTTTCTGTGGAACGATTTTGTCAAGATTCTGCCTGCTACGAACGGACCTTTTCAAAGTATTCATCAGGACTTGCACCTCGGGAGTCCAAAGCTCGTTACTTTGGCTCATCTCGATCCCTTGTGAGAGCATGTTACGGAAATCCTCTCGTACATAAAGCTTGTCCCTGAAGGTGAATGCGGGTAGAAACCGGTCGTCGTCTTCTTTGAGGACAGGCGGAAGTTCTTTGAAACAATTGTGGTAGTCTTTGATTTCCAGGTCTGCAGTTTCCACCTTGTCAGTATTTGTAGGGGTTTTCCAAGATACGAATCTTTCACACGGTTCCAAAGTGGGCACGTCTGCTTTCAAGATGGCGTCAGTTAGCTCAAACACTAGCATCTTTTCGATGGATAACAAGAACTCGGCTTGGGTTGGTGCTGATCTCAGGGCGAAGTTGATGAACTTCTGGAACTGCTTGATCACCCCTAGAATGCAAGTTTCTCTCAGTTGAACTTCTTTGATGTGTTTCTTCACTTGCTCCTTCAGTTCCAGTAGCTCAATATCCTTTTGAGATATCACACTACCCAGTTCGTTGATTTTGGTATTGTATAGTTCTTCTATTTCCGTTTTTTCCTTGCAACACTTCCTTCTTTCCATGCACAGTATGTACATCATGTTGGCGATGTTTTTGCATTCCAGTACATGTCTCAGTTGTTTCACGTTTGAGCTGTAGATTGACTGTTGTTGCGAGAGGTCGAATTGACGCTTTATTTCACTTTTCCTGAAATCGCAGAAAGTATGAGAATGTTACGATGAAAGAGTACAAGGCCTACAGGAAAATCAGTAAGGCGCTCTCAGAGCGGTGCCTGTGCAGTACAATTTTGTTGATGATTTCAGCAGAATTGTAAGTATATATGAATGCAAATAATATCTCATACCTCAATTCTATCTTGAAATGTTCCATCATAACCCTCTCCTGTCTGGCAAGTTCTCTCAAAAACTGTTCCGTCATTTTTCTAACGGTTGTCGTCACTTCCATATTAAGTTTACCCTCCCATTTTTCCTTCAAGGTCTGTTCCTGTCTCCCAGCCGAAGATTCGTATTCTTTCCTTAATTTTGACTCTAACGCTTGCAACTCTTCAACGAGGTGAATTTCGAACTCCTGTGTTATTCGTTCTATCTCTCTTTGGCAGGCCGCTCGTTCTCTAGCTTCGACGTCTTTTATTTCCGCTATGATGCTATCGTGGAAAGAGTCGAGGAGTCTTTTCTCCTGATTAGCCAGTGCAGTATTTTTGTCCATTGTCATCTCGTTGAGGAATTTTTTCTCGATTCCAGTGCCGATATCTTAAAAGGAATTAGGGTTTATCATAGTGAGTTATTGAAAAGAAAAGAATGAAGAAAAAAAAAACATTATAGAGAGGATACCAAATCAAAGTAGCATACTCTAACTCTGAGCAAACGAGAGATATATAAAGTATGGTTAAGGCGGTAATATTGGTGAATGATTTACAGTCGTTGCGTATAACAAAGCCAACATTTTTCTAGCTGATGCCGCAACAGTATTGGTGTGGCCAACAAATGTCAAGCTGCTGTTGAACGTCACCCCTAGATCTTTGACAGCTTCTTCCCGAAGGAGCATTTCATCGTCGATAGTACAAAAATACTCAATAATATTGGCATTACGTGAAAAAGAGCAAACTTTGCACTTTTTAACATTCATTGCCAATTTATTGATTTGATACCAGTTATCTATCAGGTCTAATTGAGACTGGAGGTACGAGAGCTCTCTGAACTTGTGATAGATGAGAAGATCTTCAAGTCGTCTGCAAGAAGTAAGTTGCCACACGAAAGCTCGAAGGTGAGATCATTTATGAAGATGAGGAAAAGCAGGGGTTCCCAGATTCGAGCCTTGTGGCACACCGGATGGTGATAAGTATGGTGCAGACGCAAATCCTTAGTTTTCCATGTAAGTAAAATCAAATGAAAAGAAATGCATCGACACAGAAAAAACGAAGCTGACGCTACATGCCAGACGGGCACTAAGCCACATCTTCATTAATAATAGTGGATCTCCACGTGCAGAACATCAAATGAAAGGAAAAGAAATGCAGAATTCATCGACAAAGAAAAAACAAAGGCAATGCTAAGACGGCACTAAGTTGTATCTTTGCTAATAATAGTCCCATCACATTTAGCACATCAAATAAAAGTGAAAAACAATTCTATCATGTATTACATTGTTCTTGTGAATATATGTCTATTCAATTCCATAATGAATATCTGGAGTATAAGCTCAATAGGAATTAGAGATTTCTATGTAATTCAATACCTATATGTCTGATAGTAGTTGTATCAGATGAACTTTTTTCCATTTTGTTTCCGAAGAAACTTCTGAGCATGGATTCACACATCTTTGTTGAGAATATCTCATTTTCCATTTAAAAATATAACAAGTTATTGGGTAACAGACACTTTGATAATGTTTATAGAAAACAACAAAGCACAAAAGAGAATGAGAAAAAATCCAGCAAAATTTTAACTTGTATTTTTCTTATTCTTTTAATAAACATCATTAAGAATGAAATATGCCACAATATGAATTGAAAATGTAATTTATTTTTAGGAATGCGATTTATGGTTTTGGTTTATCATAAATGGTTAACAGACTTCCATGTTGTTGCCACATTTCAATGGATTTATTTACGATAATATCTGCAGTTTCTTCTGGAATCTGAAATTGGAACATATTATTTCATTTTTTCTAATTCCAAAGTAATACATACATTTTTGATATACTGTAAAACACCAGCAAAATTGTTGCACTTTAAAATTCGAAGTTTCATATTGATCAGTAACGTTACAACCACATACACCAGTATTTTGTAAGATCCTCCGCATAATTTGTCCCAAATTCTGTGGATAACAAAAATGAACTAAACGTGTTTAATGATTATAATATTCAATCTTACTTTGCTAGGGCGTTATCATTCAAAATACCAGCAAAACAACAGTCAAACCACTTTGCCAGGGGTAAATTGTCTAAAATACCCTCTTTCAGCAGATGTTTGTAATAAGTCGAATCTTCCTTCTCTAATAAACTATAAGATCTCTCTATGAGTTTGGGTATTTCAGATTCAAACTTGCAAACATTATCGTAAAAGTTTTTTGATAGCCAGTAAACGTCGCTATCATCATCCACAAATTGCATGAATGATTGCGCGATAGGAATGAAACCCTTTTCACTAACTAAACTCTTGTCGAGGGAGAAGTTTCCTCCTTGTAACATCCACATAGCAAAAAATATTTGCGGCTTCGGCGTGTTTGCGTCAATGATTCTCATTACATTTAGAGCTCTGTACAAATCTTGATATTCTTGTTTTCTTTGATCCATTATAAAAGTGTGACAGTCTATATGAACAGGAACAACACCTGTAATAAAAATATTGAAAAATTGTGAGTTGAACCCAAATTACGTAGAAAAATAAAAGTTTGACTATCGGTGCCCAATATGAAGTTATATAAATGATTTTTTTGCCATCTGAGAAACATACAAAATGAATGATTTCTGTAGGATTTGTACTGAATATAAAAGATCTACTAAAAGTATTGTATTACTAATTGATGAGATTTTGTGTCTGCAGCAGACACATAACAGCATACACATAGGAGACAATTTTAATGTGTTTGTTATGTGCATTTTTGTGTAATTCAAGTCTATGTAGGTACCTTATTTGGTATTTTATAAGATACAAGTCATGAATTTTAATTTACTTTAGTAACAATTTGACTTGTTACAAATATACCAATGGTAAGTGAGTGGTGATAAAATATCGATCTATCTGTTAGCTTTGAATTGATTATTAATGACTATTATAACCTATTACAGTGGATTCATGCACCCAGTCTTAGGTGAAGAGAAATCGTTATCAGGTGGATAATTTACGATGGTCATTCATGCAGGAAAGTAGATATTATGTTATATATATTTACTTACTCTGTACGAGTTGAGTTTTCAGTAGTAATAAACGAAAAACTTGAATTCTCATGGCTTAAAACTTACAACTGAGACTAGAACATGAATCCTTTTATATTCTAAATTGAAGATTAGTTCAGTCCTACCTAAAAGTAATTTCCACACCAAGCTTCTATATGTGGCCGGTAAAGAGAACCTCAAACAGAACTGTTTCAGCTTGCCACGGTCTAGAGGTTTTTCTTTCAGTAGAATTTCAAGGGACTTTTTCTCCTCAACACTTCTGAATCCGACTTTTTCATAATAAGCAGATCGGAAATTCCTTTCATCTGTAGCCATTTTTATTTCTATTATAAAAAAACTAACCTAAAATTACTTATGGTTTATTTAATGCCCTGATTCTAATACACATGAACCATCCCATAAATGAATGTCCAGCATAAAATATAAGTGAAGAAGTGACCGAATATTCCGTTCAAAAGTAAGGACTTTCTAGAAATGAAAAACTTCCTCCAAGTATCAATACCAGCTTTGCATAGTAACATGAACCAAAAACTTGTCACTGCAAAAATAAAGAACAGTGCTCCATAGAGACTGGTAAGACCCAAAACACCTAAAAAATTATTGTAGTTATTTCAGAATGAATAAAAAGGATAATGATATTTACCAGCAGTGCAACCAGATACAGCAGCTACAGAAGTTCTGCAATATTCTACTATTGATAAATTATTTCGAATAGCTGATTCGCTATAGGCAATAGACGGTTCAGATTTAATTTTATTTGTCATAATTGTTTAGCTGTGACCTAATAATTGAAATTTGAACTATTTAAAAATGACTTTGTAATTATTAAATATCACTTTCCTCTATCCATCCCTTCTCCCCTCTTCAGTTTATGTATGATTATGATGATGTCACGATTTCATCTGTCAAAATCATAACCTCAATTTAGAAAACTGTTTCCTTTCTGGTTTTTAAACGGACTCCGATCTCGATAGGGAAGAATTTCTACCGATGATGGCGATACTCAACGGCTGATCGGAATAACTGAATGTTTTTTTATGTTTTGAGATATTCAGTGGTTAATTCGCAAGAGTAATTTCTTATAGTGTGTGTATTATAGACATGAGAAACTAATGAATGGATAAAATGAATTACTTTCACTCATGGGAAGCACAAGAAACTATAACAATATTTGAAAACAGCTGACAGGTCTTTATTTTTGTTTTACCATCTGACTCAATTCCAATACGTCCGGTAGATGTCATTTCTAGACGATGAAATTCCCAATATTACGAAAGTTTTTAACTTTTTTTTCAAATTTCAATAAGTCAAATTTATAGAAGTATTTCGTTTCAAAAAGAATCTGAAACCCATTATTTTCTTCATTTGATATTTCTTAATTTCACTAAATCTTGAAAAAAAATTTTTAACAACCATTTATTTGGCAATACTTTCCTTTTTTGTGTAAATTTCACAAAGACGCTTTAGAGTGTACTATATACAATTCATTTTACTCTTTTCATTGAAAGTTAAATGTGATTTTGGCTGCAAAATCTCGAAAATTTCATATTATTGATTTTTTATTCAATTTATGACAGCAGCTGTTGGGGCCATCTGACAAATTTGCTGATGTGAGATGTGACAGTGACATTTACCTAACCTTAAAGTTGAAGAATGAAATATGAAATGTATAATAAATAAATAAAGTGCCACGGTATAATATCTAAGTGATAACATAGCTGATTGCCGCAAAAAATATGTGATTTAATTTTTGAGTTGAATAAAAAAGAAAAACCAAAATGCCGGTTGAAGAAACAAGTTTATTATCAAAGTATATAACTATATTTTTTGTTGTTAGTGGTTATTGGTAAGTACACAATCTTTTAACCTTCCGTTATCCAAAAATACATTAATACTAATAATTAATAATAATAATTAATACTAATATAAAATATAAGCAAGTGAATGCATCCTAATTCTCCTGATGATAAGGTTAGAATAAAGTTATTGGCACATTTTTTAGGGTTGTATCCATTTCAACAGTGTTTGTCAATAAGACTTTATTGAGTAATATCAACTTAGATGCACCCATGTTCATCGCACTCAGTCAGACTTTGATCACTGCTCTCATTTGTGTTTTGAAAAAAAAATTGAGCAGAAAATATCCTGGAAAGTTCAGATTTCCTGATGTCGATGTTTGGGATTGGTACACCATTAAAGGGGTGAGTAGTTTAACTTTTTGTTATTCATTGATTTATTTATTTCAGTTAGTATAATTGGAATTGAAATTTTCTCGAATCCACACTAGAATAATTTTGAATACATATCTCTGTAAAAAGTTTATTTTGGAATTAATTGCTTTCTTCTTTCTTTGACTATGTTTAATAAATCCATTTGTGTTTCAATGTTTCAATCATAAATATTCCGTTAACTAGTTCAGTGGTCCAATAATTAAAAAAAAATTATCCAGTTATTTAACCAACCTTTCTTCTATAAATATTTCTTTCACTATTTTATGCTAGACAAATGATAATTTGTAAGGTCCACAAACTTTTTGGTTGCACAATATATCTAAATGCCTACGTTTGTAGCACTCATGTAGCTAAAAATTGTTTTATTTCAGATTCTTCCATTGTCAATAATATTTACCTCAATGATCGCTACCAATAACTTATGTTTGAAATATGCCTCTGTGACATATTACTACATTGGCAGATCATTGACAACCATTTTCAATGTAGTTTTCACTTATCTGATATTAGGAGAGAAAACTTCGAAACGATGTGTTGTTTGTTGTGCAATAATTATTTTTGGATTTTGGATGGGAGTTGATCAAGAGAATTTAGCAGGTACCATACATAATTTCTTATTATCACAGGGAAATTTTTAATTTACATTAGTCCATAAAATGAGAATTTTGTTGGGGAATTATTCAGTTGTGCTGTAAATGTTTATTATATTTGTTTACCTTCATGGCTATAATTAAATATATAATTCTCATTGATGAAGTTTAGAAATAATAAAGATTATGAAATATAGGCATTGTAAAAAGCCTTAATTTGAGATTGAGCACATACCAATGAAAAATAAGTCAATAATTACCTAATCTAGCAAAATACAGCAAACCAAGTACCATTTGATATTTGAAAAAATGCCAGACACATTTTACATTTTTTTGAGAGGTTGTCTAATGAAAAAATATTACAAATCACATATAGAACATTTTATACTGAGATAAGGTGAATGGATAAGAGAATTTGAATGAAATTTCTTGTTAAAAATGAAATTATGTGCTCAAAAATACTTGAAATGTTGACAGTGGCATACAGTGATTGTACTCTGAGTCAGAAAAATGTTTCCAAGTGGTACAATCCATTGACAGAAAGTCAAGAAAATGTAAATGACTGAAGCTCTCATTTAGGTATAGCCTACATTTCTATAGTAATATTTCACTTTAGAATAGCTTCAAGCAAAATTAATATTTCATTGGTATTGGTATTGAACACTCCAGAAGAATCTATTGTATAGTGAATCACGTAACTAGGTTTTACAAACTGAAAAATCTCACTGGCTGTGTTCTTGGACTTTACACATACTTTTGAAACCATTGATATAAATATACTTTTACACAAATTATTTTACTATGGAATCAGTGGTATTATTTTCTGTTTGAAAAATATAAATACTGGTGTGTCCTGGGACCAGTTGAAAATTCAAGCAATACATATAATCCTGAAGTGTAAAAAAATAACACCTATCAACACCTTTCTGTACTTGATTGGTTACTTTTGAAGTTAGGATTCAACGATATTCATTTACAAAATATTGAAATGACAACTTTCTTCTTACTTCAATCAATTTATCATAATCAACAATCAACTACATGAATACCACACTAGTAGAAATACTAATCTCCATATAACTGATACCGGCTATAGGAAAACTATGAACTCCTTGTTTCATAAAGGTCTACTCCAATATGATGAACTACTTTTGTTAGAAGGTGATTGACATTGTTTCATGATGAATTTCATCAGTTTGAACTTCCACTTTCTGATATTATATAAAATGATTTGAAATCCCTGAAAGAAGTAATAAAAAAAAGAGGAATTAAGAATGAGTAGCTGGAAATAACAATACAAGTAACAATACAAGTAAAAATAGAAAAATTGAACAAAAAATAAAAAGTTAAGAGATTTCAAGCCAAGTTACTTCACAACATTTCGATTGTTAGTACCCACAAAAGTCTTCGGGTGATGACTGAAAGATGACTATTTATGGGTCATTCGAGTACTTTTACTTATCTCCGCTTTCCTTTTTTCGTTTCGCCATTTTAGTGGGAAATTTAATGATGCAGCGGTTGTATTGAAGCCGAAGGAAGCCATTTCCAACACTTAATTTAGTGCAATTCGTTAGTCTAGATATTAATGTTATTTAATATTTGTTGCTATTGTTACATAATTAGTAATGAAAAATTGTAAAAATAATAATTTCTAAAAGAAACATTTAATTCTCCATATTATTCCTTGTGAGGTCCAGGGACATGCAATTAGGTCGACTTTTTTTTCTTAAAAACTAATCAAGATATGAGAAAAAAAATCAGGAGATGAAAAAGTTGTATTTCTAATTGCTTAATCTAATGAAATAATCAAAATTGCACAAAAGTTGGTGACATACATTTTTAAGTAAAAATATTCGTTCAAATCCCGCTCGAGACGCCACTGGACTTATTTTAACACCCTGTATCTTGAGAACGAAGGATCTGCGGACCTATATTTATATGAACATTACATCTTAAAATGACATAAAGAATCGTCTGTTAAATTTATGGTACATACTTAATTAACACCCTGTATATCACGACACAGTAGATTTAATATTTATTGAGTAATGGAGATACAAAAACACATGACATTGAAAAAAACAACATTTCTGAAAAAAAGTAATACTAATGGATTTCCAATTCATTCATATTTAAAGAGAAGAAATGTTCAATCATCGAATAGATATAACTTGTAAATAAAACTTGTTTCAATGTTTCAGGAAGTTTATCGGTGGCTGGTTTCGTATTTGGAATTTTAGGATCCCTCTCGTTATCGCTTTATTCGATATTCACGAAAAAGGCACTGCCTAAAGTTAATGGAGAAATATGGGCCCTATCGTACGTTAACAATGTGTACGCCACAATAATCCTGACACCATTAATGGCAATCAACGGGGAATTGACGGAACTATATAACTACAGCGATCTTCTCAAAACCTATTTTTGGGTAATCATCACCATAGGCGGTGTATGCGGTTTCACAATAGGATTTTTCACAACCATGCAGATAAAGGTAGGAGAAAATAATAATAATAAGGCTGCACTAAGGCAGAAATCTTAGCCGGGCAGATACAGAAGACTGTCATTATTGACTCACTGTGTTTGCTTAGGGCACATGATTTTCGGAACCAATGATCACTTACCCCACGGTGTGGGGAGTGGTCATTGGTTGATAATGCTGGCGCGCCCTCCCGAATGTATTGGGGCTTTTGGGGATACGGCTTGACCAGCGCAAAAAATAGTAATAATAATAATGGCCTTTATTATTCAACAGTACCCATCAACTGTACCATAAATATGGAAAATGTCGAAAGTCTGCCCAACTTTCAAAAAAAAAGAGAAAAAAGTGAGATACAAAATTACAGACAAATGAGATGCTTCTTGAGAAGACAATCTATTGTCATGTCAGCAACATTATTAGCCCCAATCAACATGGTTTCATGAAAGGACCACGAATTTTGTAACAATCACTCAATGTATTGCACAGGGTATTGATTGTCAGTCTCAGACTGTTGTCATCTACACTGATTTTTCTCAAGTGTTTGACAGACTTGACCATAGTATCCTGCTCAACAAGCTTTCGACTTTTGGGTTACCCAAAGAATTAATTACCCTCGTCAAATCGAATGTTTTAATGATTGCAAACGTCTCGCCCTGAATTTAAATTGCGTTGCTACATGGTGTCGAAAGAATAATCTATCTCTCAACATATCCAAATGTAATGTAATGTCTTACTCACTGAAAACCAACCTGAATTTACACAACTTCGTCATAAACAATCAAGTTCTGGAGCGTCCTGACACACTCACTTATCTAGGTGTTGCTTTTAATTCATCCCTCTCTTTCAATAAACATATTGACACTACTCTAACAGCAGCTTATCGCATGTATGGATTCTTAGTTAGAAATACAAAATACTTTGGAAAAGCTTCAACATTGAAATTACTTTATTTTACTTTTGTTCGATCTAGGCTGGAATATGCATCTGTCATGTGGAGTCCCTACTATCAGGTTCATATTAATCAATTAGAAGCCCTACAGAGGCGCTTCCTAAAATATATGTCTTTTAAACTTGAAGACACGTGTCCTACTGTAGGAATACCCTATTATGAATTGCTTGTCACTCACAATTTTTGTAGTCTCGAGGTAAGGCGTAAATATTATTCATTTTTTTTTAATTCAAGGTCATAAACAATATCACCACCTGCTCTCAACTGTTACATATGTTGAGTTTTTTGGTTCCTACGCGGTCATCTAGGAATAGTGTCACATTTTATCTCAACACTCTGCGTACAAATATAATGAAAAAATCTCCAATTCATACAATGTGCGATACCTCTAATTCTGTTAGTCATGTCCTAGATATATTCAACTGCCAGATTATACAAATCAAAAGACATTTTTTAGCTAACTGACGGTTCTGTTTTTAATTTCTTTTTATATAGGTAGATCACAAATTATATTATGTAAGTACATATTTGTAAATGCCACTGTTACTCCCTATTCTGTAATTGGGTTCATCCTGTAGAATAGTGTATAAAATAAATAAATAAATAAACAGTTAAAAACCATTTACAGGGTTAACTAAATATGTAAAAAAGTTATATAGGTGCTTATAACTACAAAGTTATAATTTGAGAAAATTAAGAGAAAAAAATAAAAAAAATTCTGACCTCACTTGAGTTACATAAAGAGTAATTAGAGCAGATATATTTAAAAAAGATCTACAATTGCGAACTATAAAGTCATAAGCTATCGATGTTTCACTTTCTTTCAATCTAATGTGGTTGGAAGAAGACACATTTTGATGAAAATATACACACCAAGATCTTTGATTGAGTTACTACATGACAGTGAAATTGTATTTAATCGATAATTGTACTCGATGACTGACATTTTCCTACTATAAGACACTACTTTACATTTGGATGCATTGAGATGCATTGAGTTTGTTTACTTCACACCAAGTCTGTGTATTTTCTGTCGTTGCAATGTATTACAATGTTCGATAGTTTCTACAGGTAAATATATTTTTAAATCGTCTGCAAAAAATAACTTATTACAATCGACCTAATTAATGAAGTCATTAATGAATAATAACAATAGAACTGGTCCAAAATTCGACCCCCGAGGTACTCCAGATGAACGATTGTATTAAAAGCATTGAAGCCGTTATAAGATACAAACTGTTTGCGTTGAAGTGAGTAGGATTTAATGAAAAGTACTGCTGAGTTATGGAATCCAAATTGGAGGAGTTTTTGTAGAAGGATCATGTAAATAAGTCGATCTAATGCTTTAGCAAAATCAGTGTATATCACATCAGCTTGGCTCCGATTATCGAAGACATCACTAACATTTTGAGTCAATACAATTAAATATGTTATGGTGAATGTTAGACATAAATTCACATTGTTGCGGATATATAATATTACAAACTGTGGAATGTACGAGATTATAGATGATAATTTCAAAAAGTATTATTTTTAACTATCTAACTAAATAAAGAAACCGATGTGATCTTCAATCAAAAATGATGGTATCTCATCAGGACCAGAAGTAAACTCATTTTTTAGTTTACGTGCTACAATCAAGATTTCCTGTTGGCTGATGTCATATGGAATATTTATTAAATTTCGGCAACATTATTAAAACATACTACCAAGTAGTAGTTTTATTTAATTTCAACTATATAATGTATGGAAAAGAAGAGAAGAACATGTAACTGTAAGAATAAAAATAGAAAAATTACAGAAGGTACGATATGTTTCATAAAATCAGTGCATTGAAACAGTAACAAAAACTCTAAACACACACGGACAAACACATTCTGTAAGAGTTGCCTAGCTGAGCGAGGTTAACTGATTTTTTTTGAGTTTGAGTGCTGAAGGAATCGATGGATTATGGATAAGCTTCTTGTGAAATTTTTTCTAGAAGATTTCTCAAACTTGTTCAAAATCAAACTTAGTCAAACTTAGTGTGGATATTTTTCGTGTTTTTTGTAATTCGTAGGCATGTTTTGTAGCATTGTTCTCATGCAGCAAAGATATATATGGGATTTCTTCGCGTTTTTTGAACAAACAAAAATATAAAAAGTTCAATAGGTTATTATCAACATTTTTATTTCAGTACACTTCTGCTTTAACACACAACATTTCCGGAACAGCTAAAGCCTGTGCCCAAACGGTTCTAGCGACATATTGGTTCCAAGAAACCAAATCTTTGGTTTGGTGGTGCTCAAATTTTATCGTATTGTTTGGCAGTGCTTGTTATACTTGGATCAAACAAATCGACATGGAAAAAAGGCATAGAAACAATCCAATATACCATAAAGTTTAAGGTTAGTATAACGAATACGTAAGTTAATCATCAATTACACTCAACGTTGTTGAGTATAGCATGTTTGGGGGGACATTAGACATTTTGCCCTTAATTTTTGGGTTTTGTTGAATTTATTTGTTCTTGTCTCTTTTTCTTCTGGAAGTAGCCTTATAGTCTATTTCATTTCAAGGATTGAGATGTGTAGCATACATAATAGCGTTTCCAGAACGGATTCCTGTGTCACCCCTGGTACTTTCTCATTTGGTCCAAAAGGTGTGATTTCCTCTTTCACACATATTGTGTAGTTTACGGCATAGTGTGTCGAATTTTAACAATATTGTGTTCAAAATTGGAAGAATCATATACCGGAGATTTTCCCACCCTCAAAGAATTTCCCCATTTCTCCACCTTGGATAATTCCTTCTACTACTACTACTACTACTACTACTACTATCAATTGTGAGACTCATTTTGCATTTCATTTTTTCAGAATAATGCATCGGTTTGGTTCAACATTCCTGTACATTTTTGTAAGAAGAATCTGTTGGATCATGTCCACACAATACATATGTTGATAGGTTAATCTTGTGTTGGACAAATCAACGTTGAAGGATTTTTCAAGAGGATAGGATAATCTAGTCAAACAATTCATTATATCTGGTTCATGTCATTAAATAAGAGTGACTTACTACTGCCTGAAAATGTTATTTTTGAAAGAATTTTAAATACAAATCGATTTTATAGTTTTAATTGTTTAATTATTACGAACTTCACGAGTAGGATCGTTGTTTTTCCAAATGATTTCCTGAAAATAAAGGAGGGAAGTTACAAGTTACCAATTATTAAATGTTTTCACATCTATTTTGGAGACCCAGTACTTTCATATAAACAAGTCTGTAATTCATGAGAACATTTATTTGAAAAATAATTACTATCTAGGAGAGCTTCCAGGCTTGTTGTTGATAATGTTACGTTGATGAATTAGTTCCAAAAGCTTTGCATTTACCTTCCTTTGAATCTTGTGTTCATCCCATTTCCTTACTAGATTAATCTGCACTTAGTAGTCTATTTCATCCTAGGGGATTCAGCTTAAGCGTAGTTATACACCTCTTTTTTGTTCGAGCAATGTCCTACAAAGCAATTAAGAATATCTGTGTATCTGGAGGAATGAATCGAATGGCTGTATATACGATCGAGAGCAGAATTCCCAGTGCGTACACTGACAAATTTCAGATACAGTATCTCACGCAAGTACGACTCGCCAATGAGTACCCGGATTAAGAGTGGCCATCAAATAAGTATGTCAAAAAGTAATATAGGTCCTTATAATTACAAAAATGCAATTTGAGAAAATGAATAACATAATTATAATATAATGAAATAATAAAACTATACCAGGAAATTGAAAATTCTCAATGAAATACTGAGATGCAGTGTCAACATTATATTCTAGTTTGTTTGAAGGTGGTTGACAATGTTTCGTGGTATATTTCATCAGTTCGGGCTTCCATTGTCTGATATAATATACATTGATTTGAAATCCGTGCAAAAAATTAAAAAGATTAACCTAAAATAACAATTTTATTAAACAAAAAACCGAAATTACTAAGAAATAACATACAAGCTACAACCAAAAAATTGAAATATTAATAAAAGCTGAAAATTAAAAATATTACTAACAAAAAATGAAAAATAAAAAGATTCCAAACCAAGTTACGTCATGACGTTTCTATTGTTAGTATCCACAATCGCCTTCGTGTGATAACTGGACTTATTCCTCCGAGATCTCACTATTTATAGGTCATTCGAGTGCTTTCACCTATCCCCTCTTCTCTCTCTCCGCTTCATTGGTTTTAGCGGGAGATGATCGCTTGGCGGGAGTTGGTCGTTTTTCGCTTGATTAGAGGTTTCCATATGTTACGTATCTCTATGCTGGATTGACTAAATGCGTTGTAGGACAACATAAACGAGGCTTCTTTGAATTTTCTCCTAAACCAGTGTTCCTCTTTGTGGATGATTTCAGCTTGAGCCTACTTGATACTATGTTGAGTCCAAACATGCACTGCTATTCCGGATTTGCTGGTTTCTCCTCGCTGTGTGTGTTTCTTTTGCTCAGCAATGCGAACTTTCAATGGCCTCTTAGTTTCACCGATTTATGATTCTCCGCACTCGCAGGGTATCCGGTAAATGCAATTCTTGGAATCGCAGTCCGCGTTTGGTGGCCTGGTTTTCGTGAGGCTGCTACGGATAGTGTTTCCAGATCTGAAACAGGTTCTGTGTTATACTTGGACCCAATCTTTCTTATCGACAATCCTCTGATGTAGGGAAGTACAAGTACTGGTTGTGGCGGCTTTTTTTCCTTGTGGAGCTCTTGCTGTCATCTAGCTCAAGCCTGTTCTATCGTTACCCTGGAATAACGACTACACTCGACCAAATAAACCCAGCTTCAAGAGTTCGGCTCTGCAGAACTTTAAAAACCTGATTCAGTCCCCAGCTAGGCAGGAACAAAGTATATGCTCTGCAGTATCATCATTTTCCAAACAGAGGCGACACACATATTGTCTTCCGACTGTTTGAGTCTCTCTATATGATGACTCAAATCACAGTGACCTGTAAGAAGGCCTGTTAGACATCGTGGTTCATCCCTACTGTAGTCCAACAACTGTTTGGTATCAAGCTTTGAGGGGTGAATAAACGCCATGGAGTGAGCTAACCCTGGAAGATTCTGTCATAAATCTTCTTGCCATCCAGGTGTTCAATCTTTGTTTGGCAAAGCCTAAAGTGATGCTAATGACACGTTCTGGTCCATTAAAGCTGCTTGCAGCACTCTGCTTTGTAAGGGAGTCAGTAGCCGCATTCCAGGCCAGTATGTTTGAATTTATTTGTGCAATTGCAATGTGCACAAGTCTGTATGCAGTCCATCTAGCCTCTCTCTCCAGAAAAACGTGGGGAGAGGGTAGATCTAGAAGGATCTCCATGACCGCTGACAGTGTGGTACTGATGGCACCACTGATGGCCAGACAAGCCTACCTCTGTAAGCCAGAGAGTTCCGCTTGAGCAGTGTTCTGTGAAGCCTTCGGTCACCAGGCAATTGCACCATAAGTGATCATTGGTCTGACGATCATCACATACATCCAATAGATTTGTTTGGGACCTAAACCTCAAGTTTAACCACAAATCCTTCGACATGTCCCTAGGGACAGTCTGGCTTTGTGTAAAACTTTAACCAAGTGAGCATTCCAAGCGAGTTTTTTATAGCGGACAATGCTTGACTCGAGTAGTCCAACAAGAATGTAATGTCCCTTTTTCTGTAGAACTAGTCGAAAAGCCACTACAGAACTTATTGGCGCATTTTTCCGATGACTTCCCACATTTCTCGATTTGCGTCATCCAATAGATGTGGTATATGAAAGAAGGTCGACATGATCTTTGCTTTCGGAAACCATACCAATGGTCGCTAAAGATATTCAAGCGTTACAAATATTTGAAGACATTTTTGTAGCCTCCCCCATTATTTTCGATATCACTGGTAATGAAGGAAGATTGCGCTGCAGTAAAACATTTTTTATACCTTGATTGGGTGCAGGATGAACTCGAGCCAAATCATTCATTCCCGTACCTTCCAAAATGCTAATTCGCCAGTAAGTGAAGCCGAACGATACCCAATAAAATGATTACCTGTTTATACAGCTATAAAATCGGTAGTTGAAGAAATACGGTCCTCAGATTAATATCATTATCCACACAGATAAGCACAATCGATTTGGCGTTATCTCCATTGTGGACTAATGTATCGCCCGCGTTTGAATCGTGTTATTTAAACAAGGTACCCACGTACATATCTAAAAATACAGTAGTTACATCGACAACAAGCGAACCTTTTCAATTCGCGTACATCGAAAAAATCTCCAGTGTTTACACTTCCATCAGATTAGCGAGATTAGACCGGAGAAAAAAAATCAAACATCATTATTCTGTCATCCGTCCGTACGCTAGCGCCATTAAATTTCAATATAAATAAATTCTCAACGGAAAATATCGGGGTATAATGTTTGTTGTGACGTTTATGTAAATGTTTGGATTCTTTGATTGAACGCAGACTGCGCGAAGATTTTGAAATAAAACCATTATTTTCTACTTCAGTTTCTTGTAGGCATGTCGAACAGTTGAAAGTGTGCGGGAGATTTATTACGCGTCGTAAAAGACGTTTATTTTACCGGGGAAATATGATCCCAGTTGTTTATTGCATTTGCTTCCTCTTTCTCGCTTGCCGGTGTCAAAATTTTCAGGAAATCGAAGGTAAGTGACATCATTTTTTTATTGGCGACATAATCGCAATGATTGCGGTTAATATTTACATAGTGCGGACGAAAAAAGGCCCCTTCTTAACTTTTGAATGGGACAAGATATCTATCAAGGTCGGACAAAGTTCTTTTCATTAACAAATATTGTTTCGCCACTCGTCTACAGGTCTATCAACTTTTTTTTTAATGGAAAGGAAGGTCTTGTGCAGGGTCTATATTCGATAGGTACTGGTTTTTTTCGAAATCGGACCAGCTTTTCATGAGTAATCAGCAATTTTATGTATATTCTTTTTGAGAAACTGTAAACTACTGATAAATATCATAATTTCAATAAAAATTTCACTCGATCCTCGTTCCAGTTTACCCAAATAAATGTTGAAAATGTTTACCATCCACTTCCTGAAAATAATGGAGTATGTTTGCAAACTCATCTCATGCAATTTGCCATGTTTCTGGGGCAATTTCGTCATACTATCGGACCTTTTATTCATGGGTCAGTTAGTGTCCGACCGAAACTGGTTTTTACGACCGAAACCGAAACCGAATTACGGCAACGGTCTCAGTTTTAGCCGAAACTGAAACTTCCTTACAAGGATTATGTTTCGAGGGAAAAATAAAGAAAATGTTATTATTCAGTCAGTCTTTATTTTTTATCTTTAAATCACAACGTTATGAAGTCTTCGACATTTTTACTTTTTGATAATCAACATAACAACCCCTTATTTAAGAAAAAATACTTGAAATATGCAATATGCGAATGCAGTTTCGGTCGTAGTTTCGGCAGGTTTGCCACCGAAACTAAACCGAAACCCGTTTTTTTCCCGAAACTCGACCGAAACCAAAACCGAACTTTCGGTCGGACACTAGTTAGCATACACGATAGTATAGTATCCACGGAAAATATAACATACTTTCGAAGCGTTTATTTTTGAAATTAAGGAGTAGAGAATAAATTAGACATACTGACGAACTGAAAAATGATTCAACTTACTGCCGAATAGCTGAATATACAGTGTGTAGAGGCAAATGGAATAAATTCATTATATCGGTTACTGTACATATTTAAAAAAAAAACCCGAAACACGTCAAATGTAAATTATAATTTGACATTCTTGTAAGAAACCACTATCGACATGGTACCCGAAACGCGGTACCCGAAAAAACGCGGTACCCGAAAAAACGCGGCGCCCGAGGGATTGGATAGAAATTAGTCAGTCATAGTTAGTCAACTTGAGTCAGCCAGGCGAGAGCATTGTTATTCATTAAGTTGTTTATATCCAGATCGGAAAAGGGGTGATGGTTTATTCGTTAAGTTCAATTGTGAATTGATGATGTATCTTTGGGTAAAATATATTTTTTACGATTATTATATCTGCTTTTCTTATATTCTTCAACGTAAAAATTCCACCTCTACCTTCAACCCCCTTCGAATGACAGGGTACAACCCCCAATTTTTTTATTGCGTTTGTGATATATCGTTTGAAAGGTCTTTTCATTCTCTATTCAAAAATGTTATCGCTTTCAAGTTATCTGATTTGAGTTCATCACTCATTGTATTGGCAGCTGCTTTTTTATCTGCCCCACACGACCAAGCTCGCGAAACTGCTTCTCTGTTTTGCTTATTGTTCCTTGAGATATGGGCGGTAAATTAGGACATTTCTCATGAAATAGGCGAGCTACTTCGTTGTGATCGGGTTTTATCTCCGTAGCCAATCGTTTGTAAAACTGTTATTTAATGCATTTCCCTTAATCTAACCATTTGTCAGACTTGAAGTTAACGAACTTTAAACTTAAATTAAAATACTGACAACTAATGTTGTGATATACAAAAGTCGACTAGGCGTTTTAAACTACCATTGCCACAGAACATTGCTTTGGTTTTTGCTTACTTTCTTATTATCAATAACTCAACATGAAATAAGTTTTGAGTATATTGCAATAAGTTTTGAGTGTATTTTATTGAATTTTGATAACCACACGATTTAAATTTATTTTATATTAATTGTTGCAATAAACTTGAAAGCGATAACATTTTTGAAAAGAGAATGGAGAGACCATTCAATCGATAGGTATATCACAAACCTATACTTCCTATTTAAAAAATTGGGGGTTGTACCTATCATTCGAAAGGCATTGAAGGTAGGGGTGCCATTATGACGTTGAAGAATGTCAAATTATAATTTACATTACAATTTATTTCATTTGGCAACAGTATTGCTTGAGAAAGATTTTATCCGTGTTACTATTAGAGTAAAAATCTCAGAAAACTTATTGTATATTTTCTGGGAAAGAAAGTTTTTGGCTTTCTACTACTCCATCTTGATACAAAAAACAAGGATGAGGGAATCTTCCAAGGAAAGGAAGGAAGTAGTCAATTTCAAAATAAGTAACTCTATACATGGATGTGTAGATCATGCAAAGAAGTAACTTTCAGACACAAACTGAAAGAAAGTCCTCCTGAAACAGCTACTTTCATATAAACATTGAATTACACGAAAGAAAAAAAAAATATTTCGAAACATATTTCTATATGAACACTGAATTATACAAAAATTAATCACTTCTAAAAATAACCCCTTCAATTCAAGTATATTTTCATGACACTGCCCAGCATAAAATTCCTGATATCAAATATTTCACCGAGTTATGGAAAAACTATTTTCGGTTGCCCAAATTTATTTGTTAATACATACTGAAAATGAACAATTTCACTTCAATATGCTACAATAAAAATAATTTTACTCTGATATGCGTTTGGTTTAAACAGAGTGTATTCTCCTCTTGCAGAGATAACAGCTTTCTTACGACGAGGCATGCTTTGGATCAGATTTTGGATTACATTCTTCGGAAGATTTTTCTATTCTTGTATCAGTATGTCGCGTAGCTCTCTAGACTTTCTGGGAGCCGATACATTTATCCGTAAATGTTTCTTAAGCTCATCCAAACATGTTCAATGGGATTTAAATCCGGACTGTGCGCAGGCCAAACAAATCGCGTGAGTTGAACCTCGTCAAGATACTGAGTAACAATAGTATTTTTCATATTACTGAAAATAATGCCTTTTTACGTAAACTTTATCCGACCTTGAAGTTTTGTCCTGTCCAGAAGTTGAGGGATGGAGCTTTTTACGTACCCATTGTCTTGTTATTTTCGAGTTTGTTACATTAATTACTATTCCCATACACAAACACTTTCAGCAGTTGTCATTTTTTTTCAAGTTGCAGATTCTCTATTTCTATTTTGGTAGATTGATGATTATTCAATATTTACACAAAGCAATTAATATTTGAAGATACATTCTTTGAAACTTTAAAATTATAATACTAATAAGAAATGACAATATCAAATTCAACATTCCTATGTGTTTCTTTTGTAAATGTCAGCGGTCTTTATGTAAACTAATGAACTGTAGAACCTTATTATCATTTCTCTACAATATTAACTGAGATAAATCTCAAAAACAAACAGATATGTTGTTGAAATCGATTTTTTTTGTAGTCTAATATTCTAGTGATGATAATTTTGATATCAACAAACTGCTTTATATTAAATACTGATAAACAAACTGTTCTTGCTTGAAAATCATTATTCAAACAAATAAAGTAAACGAATTATATCATTGGCCTGACGAGCAAGGTATTCCATTTCCAAAAGAAAATATCTCGAAATATGGATTGATATGTAAATTTACCTTTAAGCTGTTTGTTTTGAACTGTTTGTACCTATTATTTAACTATTTTATATAGTTGAATACGTTCGTAATCGAAAGAGAAAAATGAGTTTTCTATAATTTCGTCTTTGGGCATTTTCTTTACAGTAGGAAAATTTAAATGAGCTTGACGTCTATGCCATTGATTTTGTTTAGAGCCATGGCAATGACCCTTGCTTCGTATTATTATTTTTCCCTCTTATGTGAAATGATCCGTTAATTTTGATCGATTTTGCACTTAAGTTCTCTACTTGGAGCAATTATTTTTGAATGATCGATTTCCTTCAAATATTATCCCCAGACCCTTCTCAGTTGCTACATTCGTCGATAATGAATTCGTCCTCAGTTCTGGAACGCACAAAACATTTTTAAGTAATGCAAAGAAACCTCCATTTTCTTCGTCCAAATCCAGTTCAATGTCTCCATACTTTATATTAGCTATTATAGCAACCGTGTTCTGTTTGTTGAAATTTATGAATTTCTGAAAATTTGACGTCATATAAACATTGAATTACACTTTCGAAACAAATACTTTTATATGAACACTAAATTATACAAAAAACAATATTCTCTATTCATTGAATCAGATATAATTCACAGGATTCCTACACAATTTAGTGAATTGGAGAGGTAGTAGATGAACGATGTTTGTACCAGCTCATTTCAAGGTCGTGCGTCGCTGGAAAGTGTTTCAGAGAGCGTGAAAGAGAGAAAGTGTGACGTAATCGATGCAGGATGGAATGAGTATCGTAGAGGTTCAAAGAGCGTAGGCCCCCTTGCCATCGGCCTCCTCAGTACTCCACATCATCGCTCAGACACTCTTGACACTCCGCATCACGTCACGTGATCCTAATTAAAAAAACTTTATAGGTGTAAGAATCGAACCCAGGACATCGACGTGGTAGACGTTGTCCTTAGCCACCAAACCAACGTGGAATATTGAAAGTAATTGCGAATGGTTGGTTTTTATAGTGGAGGTTTTCTCGGGACTGAAATTGACTCATTCATTACACTTGACCGCATTTTTTTAATTTTCGTAGAGTGTACACTGTCATCCTGTGTAACACCGTCATCCTCACTGCGGTAGACATCCGATATTTCGCAGTAAGACACATGCATGATCTACATATGTTTGTATAGAGTTACTTTTTTCACATTGATTGCTTCTTTCTTTTCTTTGGAAGATTTTCACATTTTTTTGTTTCAAGATGGAGAAGTAGAAAGCCAAAAACCTTTCTTTCCCAAAAATGTATCTCTCCTAAAAAATATACTTTCAATTTGACGTCATATGATCGATAGATCCACTGTCTAGTATCCAATATCTCAATTTGTTTTATCATTCTTCAAAAAAGAACATTTTTTTTCATTTTCTTCGGATAGTACTCAATGCGAATTTTGAAAATAGTTTTTTTTGCAAGCGGAAGTCGATGATTGGTCATTTCACGCTGGTTTACCTCAAGGATTGGCAATAGAATATAATTTTTCTCTGACAATATGATACCTACTTGTTTCATCCTCCAATCCCCAACATCAGCTGTGAATGTATATCTTCGTCAACAACGAGGCGTTTAACATTTCATCAAAAACAATAGATTTTTCAATGTATTCCTAGATTTCTTGATTGCAGTGTCACTATTTAATTTAATTTCGTCCTAGTTGAAATTTTGTTATTCACAGATCACTAAGGCAGTAGAAAAGAAAATTGAAAAGAACCTATACAATAAGCAGAAATAAATATTTTTCAAAACAGCTATTTTTTCAGGATATTCGAATGACTACCCTTATGAAGTACAAGTTGAACGTCAAACTATGAGGGTGAAAAATGGTACCCCTATAACCCTAAAGTGTCATAACGATTTTGTTAAGTGGGAATATAAGGTATAGTGGATATTATTTTTTATCATATTGTTGAAGTTTGTAACTTTAATTTTTCATGAACAACCAAAATTTCGAAAATATTTGGCCAAGCCTGCAAATTCAAAAGTTTGTAATCCGACAAGAACACAATTATATCATGATAACTTTTATTCAAAATTCATGTAATCATCTGTGCTCATCTGTGAATTCAGAACTGTTGCGCTTGATAGTTCTAAGGCCTTTGACCGTGTGTGGCATGAGGCTTTGCTGGCCAAACTTTGATGATATGGCTTGTGGGATCATTTCTGTGTATGGCTCTTCAGCTCCCTGAAAGAGCGTTCCCTGCAAGAGGCCGTCGATGGATATCTCTCGAATAGTTCCACCATCAACGCTGGTGTTCCCCAGGGATCCGTATTGTTTCCAACCCTCTTTTCATTGTATTTTATAGGTGTAAGAATCGAACCCAGGACATCGACGTGGTAGACGTTGTCCTTAGCCACCAAACCAACGTGGAATATTGAAAGTAATTGCGAATGGTTGGTTTTTATAGTGGAGGTTTTCTCGGGACTGAAATTGACTCATTCATTACACTTGACCGCATTTTTTTAATTTTCGTAGAGTGTACACTGTCATCCTGTGTAACACCGTCATCCTCACTGCGGTAGACATCCGATATTTCGCAGTAAGACACATGCATGATCTACATATGTTTGTATAGAGTTACTTTTTTCACATTGATTGCTTCTTTCTTTTCTTTGGAAGATTTTCACATTTTTTTGTTTCAAGATGGAGAAGTAGAAAGCCAAAAACCTTTCTTTCCCAAAAATGTATCTCTCCTAAAAAATATACTTTCAATTTGACGTCATATGATCGATAGATCCACTGTCTAGTATCCAATATCTCAATTTGTTTTATCATTCTTCAAAAAAGAACATTTTTTTTCATTTTCTTCGGATAGTACTCAATGCGAATTTTGAAAATAGTTTTTTTTGCAAGCGGAAGTCGATGATTGGTCATTTCACGCTGGTTTACCTCAAGGATTGGCAATAGAATATAATTTTTCTCTGACAATATGATACCTACTTGTTTCATCCTTCAATCCCCAACATCAGCTGTGAATGTATATCTTCGTTAATAACGAGGCGTTTAACATTTCATCAAAAACAATAGATTTTTCAATGTATTCCTAGATTTCTTGATTGCAGTGTCACTATTTAATTTAATTTCGTCCTAGTTGAAATTTTGTTATTCACAGATCACTAAGGCAGTAGAAAAGAAAATTGAAAAGAACCTATACAATAAGCAGAAATAAATATTTTTCAAAACAGCTATTTTTTCAGGATATTCGAATGACTACCCTTATGAAGTACAAGTTGAACGTCAAACTATGAGGGTGAAAAATGGTACCCCTATAACCCTAAAGTGTCATAACGATTTTGTTAAGTGGGAATATAAGGTATAGTGGATATTATTTTTTATCATATTGTTGAAGTTTGTAACTTTAATTTTTCATGAACAACCAAAATTTCGAAAATATTTGGCCAAGCCTGCAAATTCAAAAGTTTGTAATCCGACAAGAACACAATTATATCATGATAACTTTTATTCAAAATTCATGTAATCATCTGTGCTCATCTGTGAATTCAGAACTGTTGCGCTTGATTGTTCTAAGGCCTTTGACCGTGTGTGGCATGAGGCTTTGCTGGCCAAACTTTGATGATATGGCTTGTGGGATCATTTCTGTGTATGGCTCTTCAGCTCCCTGAAAGAGTGTTCCCTGCAAGAGGCCGTCGATGGATATCTCTCGAATAGTTCCACCATCAACGCTGGTGTTCCCCAGGGATCCGTATTGTTTCCAACCCTCTTTTCATTGTATATCAACGACTTATTGGAAAAAAACAAGAATCCAATATATTGCTTTGCTGACGACAGCACACTTGTCACGTCATTTCATTAGGAATCCAGGACATCGGCTCCGAATTGGGGTGAAAGTAACCAGGTTCAATTCAATGTCACAAAAACCCAGGCATCGGTTTTCTCCATTTGATTGTGTTAACCACATAATACTGCTGCGGAAGCTACATCATTATGGAATTGCTGGAAACTGCCTGAAATGGTTTGAATCCTACCTTACAGGACGTAGACGGTTTGTTAAAACCAATAGTTGCTCAAGTACAAAGAACGTGAAAGCAGGAGTACCCCAAGGATTGATCTTAGGACCCATACTTTTTTTACTATATGTAAATGACCTGGCTACTGTACGGATTTCTGGTAGTTTCACCATTTTTGCAGATGATACCACACTTTTGTGGCATAATATAAATCAACAGAATTTATATGAAAGCATCTGTAATTACCTCAGCGAAATTAAACAATGGTGCGATGCAAATCTGCTGCCACTCAACAGTAAAAAAACTAGTATAATCATCCAGAGATTCATATGGAAAGTACAGTAGTGGAAAATAAGATCTCTACAAAATTCTTGGGAATTAATATCGATGAGTGTCTATACATCAATGACCTATTGAAAACAATTGGAAATATAATATGTACTAATAACAGAATGGTACTGGATACAGCCTGAAAAGTCGTCAGAAGTTCGGATCCCCTTCTCTGCATGGTTCGTGACCATGAGAGAGAGCAGGAATTGGAGCATTTCTCCTTAGGGCAGCTGCTTGAGCAGCTGATGAACTCGGTATAGTTTTCGACTCTGAACGAGGTGACCACAACTCTGTCACCGAGTTGGAACCCGTTCAGCAAAAAGCTCAGATAAAAGCCGCAGATATCACATTACTTCTGCGGAGACACAAGGATAAGCCAATGCATTGGGTTCTTCTTCAATCACATTGGAGACCTTGGCTTATCAAAGCGCCTGACGTTTGCTTTTCTCAGGTCGAGTGGGCTAATGTCGGAAACTGAGGGGTTCATCATGGCTTGCCAGGATGGTGTCTTCAACACCTTAGTCTACCGCAGTGATGGGAATAGAGGTTCCTGACACAAGGTGCAGGGCCTGAAACCCTAATGCACTTGCTATCACATGTCCAGCATATGCGGTCTCGGCCTATATCCATCGACATAACGCGGCCCTAAGAGTGCTATATTACCATCTATGGCACTCTTACGGTATTGACGAGACATCGGTGTTGCCCTACGCTCCGCGGGATATTGAATCCGTTGTGGGAGACGAGAAGTGCCGAATTTATTGGAACTATTCGGTTCCCCACCCTCAGGCCCATACAAGCTAATAAGCCTGATGTCCTTCTCGACCACCAAAGCAAAACTATATTTGTCGTGGAGTTTTCAGCTCCTGGCGAGACAAATATCCTCAGAAAAGAGGAGGAAAAACGGATAAAATATCGAGATTCTCTCTTTGAACTCCGCAGACTCTATCCAGATCACTCTGTCAAGATGGTTGTTCTGATTATTGGAGTCCTTGGTGGAATGATCAAACCGGCTTGCCGCACTATACTATACGAAAAATAAATACAAATGTAAATATAGAAATATAAAATGTGAATATAAAAACACCTACAAAAAAGTAAAGTTAGAAAAAACACTATATTTCAATGCCGAAATTTTGTATCAACATGGTTGTGTACAGACTTGTTTGAAAATATAAACAACACTTATATAATAGACATATAAACATATATACTTATATATAATATTACATAAATAAAACACACCCATTGCACCAGACAATCAAGTGATTACACCATGGTATTTCTATCCCTCTTGGCCTCATTCTGTACAGTAATACCTCCAACATCTAATGATATTCATGAATCTTGCTTTCAGTATTGTGATTCAAACTTCTACGGACTGTTGTGTGATAATGGAAAGTGGCAAAAGATGAACAAAACCAGAGGTAGAATCCATATTGAAGCTGTTGCCGAAAAACACAACGGAATATACAGATGCTATCAAGACGACAAACTTTTGAAAGTGTTCATCGTTGATGTTGTTCGTGAGTATGATGCCTAACTACACTGCCGGGCATAAAATTAGGGTCACTTCGTAGTTTGAAGTTATTTTTTAATTTTTTTCGGATCTCTTTCTGGTGTCACATATTTTTCTGAGTCCCGAAAAAAAAAATTGGTGTTTGCGCAAATTTATTTGTTAATACTGAAACTGAACAATTTTACTCTGATATGCATTTGGTTGAAAACATGTAAGGGCTTCAGTAACGAGTGTTTCCCCCTCTTGCAGTGATAACAACTGGCAAACGACGAGGTATGCTTTTGATCACCTCAAACATGTTCAACGGGATTTAAATCTGGATTAGGCGCAAGCTAAATGAATCGCGTGAGTTGAACCTTGTTCAGATACTGAGTAACGACCCGGGCAGTGTGGGGCCGTGCATAATCATACGTAAATGTGTCAACTCCAAAAAAAGGCATGTATCGTGAAACATGGTCTTGTAGAACCTCCACAGGTACCTATGCACATTCAGTGTCCCATTATCGATGAAGATTACCTCGGTGCGGGCGTCAAACGATATGCCTACCCATGCAATAACTGATTAGCCACCAAATGAAAGTCGTTCGGCGATACACGCTTGAGCATATATCTCACCTGGTCGTCTCCATACTCTTATGTGCCTGTAAGGCAGAATTGTGATTCATCGGAAACAATACGTCCAATCCGTTACTGTCCAAGCCAAGTGTTCTAGTGGAAAATGCAATCTTACAATAGGTGTTCAGGGGAAAACGGCGTTCCAGTAGAGATAATCCGGCAGAACGGAGTCGTTTCCTAACTGTCCTCTCACTTATCTTCACATTTCTGATTCTTGCAGTTGACCTCGAAGAGAAACTGCAGCAACTGGTCGGTTTCTCAAAGCACTAGATACGAGAAAGCGGTCATCTCTTGCTGTTGAAGTCCTGCCTCGCCCTGAACTAAGGCTTTGAGTTAGCAGACCAGCTTCCTAGTACCACCGCCGCACTCTTTGCACACTCGAGAGACTGACACCAACCGCCACAATTCTTGCCCCAAAAACATGATTTAGGTTCATCTAGATACACCAACATTGACAGAAATGTCTACCCAAACCTACCGTTCGGAATGAGTCTGGACATAGCAGATCACCTCGTGATGTAATACAAAGGCTAAGGCGTAAGCGCATTTGCGTCGCCAAGGCCAGAAGGGGAAAGAGAACGAAAGTGGGAGGAGTGGCAGCAACTATAAGTGCACCCTCCTCCTCCCCCACTCCACCTCCAACAGCAAGGGCACTTCCTGTGTCAGGCGCCAAAAGCTCCGCCTTGAATAAAGACAAGGAACCGGCTGTCCCTGCAGAAAAGTTCCCTCACTTGTGCACCTCTACGGAGGGAACCCCAAGATGATTGAAGAAGTCGCGCAACGATAGTAATGTCGCTGCACCTTCCAAAACCTTCGCGGAGGCCCCCATGAGACACATCAAGGTTGCCAAAGAGAGTGTGTGTTCAGCCTGTCTTGACCTATACCTGCCAATATAAAGGAGATGTCTCCCAGTGACCTGTCCACCTTTCTGGAAAGGACAGGATGGCCGATGACAGATACCCTCCTTACTCTACAGATACAGAGAGATACAGTACATTCAGAATGATTCAAATAAAAACATAACTTTCTCAGATAACTTCAACTCATGGATGACCCCTAATTTTATGCCCGGCAGTGTATTAGCTTAGTTTTTGATGATGATATTATCTTAGATGAAAGCAAATTACTTGATGATCACTCAGAACTTTGATGACTACAGATCAATAGCTTTTATTATCGCGCATAATGGAATGAATTTACAGACCTTCCAGTTGCTTACTTTCGTACTTTTTACACTTTCTTAGGGAGTATCTGACTCAGATAAAAACATGATCAGTCTAAGATGATCTAACCTGTTCAACTCTGTTCCTGCCTGGAGTGACTCTCAATTTAATTCTTATTTTTTGTGAGACCGATAAATGGCAAATTCTTACCGGATCCTACGAATCTTGTTTCATAATTTAAGGTTGTATATATTCAGGTTATCAGAATTTATTTTCGTGGGAGTTTGAGTACCTCTGCTGCCCTTACCAGTCCCCTACCTTGCCCCAAACTAAAAGCAGTATCTGTTAGGTTACGTCAAAAGTGAGTGGGCCTGTTCGACCCTCCATCGCAACCCGCAAGGGTTTATTGTGGCTCACACCTATTCACACTCGACCAAATGAACCCAGCTTCTTAACGAAGCCGATTAGTTTGTGTGGTGAGTGGTACTTCAGGTCAGATGGTGAGAGTAAGGCTCTGCCAAACTCTGAAAACCTGATTATGTCCCCGGCGGGGCAAGCACTAAGTATATGCTCTGCTGTTTCATCATTTTCCAAACAGAGGCGACACACACTGTCTCCCGACTGTTCGAGTCTCTGAGAAGGCCTGTTAGACATCGTAGTTCATCCCTACAGTAGTTCTCCAACAACTGTTTGGTTTCTTGCACCAACAACTGAACATGAAGTAATCTCTAAAATAATGTCACTAAAAAATCTAAAATCGGTTGGCTATGACGAAATCCCGGTAAAACTCTTGAAATATGTTGCACGTGAACTATCAACACCCTTAACAATTATTATAAACATGATGCTTAATAAAGGAATATTTCCTGACAAATTAAAAATAGCTCATATAAAAGCAATCTTCAAAAAGGGTGACAAGGATCAAATAAAAAATTACAGACCTATAGCATCACTATCAGATATTAGTAAGATTTTTGAAAGAATCATATATAATCGCCTTATATCCTACCTTGAAACTTAAGTACCTCTGCTGCCATTACCAGTCCCCTACCTTGCCCCAAACTAAAAGCAGTACCTGTTAGGTTACGTCAAAAGTGAGTGGGCCTGTTCGACCCTCCACCGCAACCCGCAAGGGTTTATTGTGGCTCACACCTATTCACACTCGACCAAATAAACCCAGCTTCTTAACGAAGCCGATTAGTTTGTGTGGTGAGTGGTACTTCAGGTCAGATGGTGAGAGTATGGCTCTGCCAAACTCTGAAAACCTGATTCTGTCCCCGGCGGGGCGAGCACTAAGTATATGCTCTGCTGTTTCATAATTTTCCAAACAGAGGCGACATACACTGTCTCCCGACAGTTCGAGTCTCTGAGAAGGCCTGTTAGACATCGTAGTTCATCCCTATTATAGTAATAACAAGTGATATTTTAATCTTCCAGATCCAGCTTACAATGGACCTCCGCCCCAGGTAGCCCCCTTGAAGACCTCCAATGTTTCTGGTCAAATCAACATGAAGTTCACCATTCAGTGCAACGTAACAAGTGAGGAACCCCCTACGATAATCTGGTTTAAAAGCTGTTACGGTCGCAAATGCGATTTCAAATTCAATGACGTCTGCTACTGCCATATCAACACCTCCATCAGCTACCACAGCATTAGGAACACCTACCTAAGCAAATTCATGATATTCAACGCCAGAGACGTGGACAGCGGCCAGTATGTTTGTCTGGCTGTTAATCAGTATGGGGGAGGGTTCCAAAATGCCACAATCGTGGTACCGAGCAATAAGGTGGAAGAAAATGAGTCATTTTCGCTCTTGTTTCTGATACCACTGATGCTGATCCTTGCGCCGGTTGTCTTGTGGTTGTGTTACTGCAAACGGAGGAAAAAGAAGTCCGTCGTGATTGTAGATCAACAGAAACAGCTCATTAGACCTGTCGTTCGCATTAATGAGATTATTTAGGAGAGTTTTTGTTGGGAGATTGTCTGTGATATTTGATTTATTTTTTTTTTCGATTAAATTATTGAGTTTGAAACGACGTTCTTATTGAAAATGTTCCAAAACAAAAGAGGAAAGTATTTTAATATTATTAGTTCGAACTTCCATTGTCAAATATGATTGTACTATGATTTCAAATCTATGAAAGAATAAATAAAATTAGAATGAATAGCCAAAATATCAATAATATTAAACAGTAAAACGTGAAATGAAAATACAATAAAACGAATAAAATAATCAAGATACAAAATGAAAATGACTACAGAGTAAAAAAAAAGGAAAAAAAATTAGCAAAAAATAAAGGAGTTGAATCAGATAAAAACTAGAAATAAAGCATTGATTTAATTAATATTACATAACAAAAATTTTTCAACAAGCAAAATAATCTTAAAATAACCACAAGATCATATCTTCTTTAGGAATGAGTTGATTTGAAGTAATCTTGGGATCCCTTTGGATCAGGTTTGATAGTTTTCCCACCCTTCTTCCAATTAGCAGGACATACTGAAAAAGAAATTTGGTGTTGAGCATATAAGAGTCACTCATACATCATTTACCAGTATTGAAAATGATTTTGGAAATTTGAACAAGTCATTTCAGTGTCAAAGGGAAGAACATCAGAAGGCAGGTGGATAGAGAGAAGAAGAGAAAAGAGTAAGAATACAGGAACTCACCTTCTCCATGTTCTTCCACAAATCGTATAGCCTCAATTATCCTGAGGGTTTCATCAACTGATCGTCCGATAGGTAGATCGTTGACAGTGATGTGACGGAGAATACCATTTGGATCAATGATAAACATCCCCCGGAGAGCAACACCATCGGATTCTAACAAAACATCGTAAGTCCTGGCAATGTTTTTGTTGATATCTGAGAGTAAAGGAAATCTAAGTTTTCCCAGACCGCCTTCCTGGAAGGAAAAAATCTTGAACGCTACAATTTCACTTAGAATAATTATATTTCTCCTGTTAATGAAGTAACGGCGAAATTTTATTCACATAAACAAGTCATTCTGGCCACTTATACATTTTCACTACCATGGAGGAAAAAAACATGAAAATAAATCTACTACGTTTCAATAAAAGTCAGATAGGTTAATAAAACTTTTCAGAGATACTTCTCTTCACTGATTTTGTGTATATACTTTGAAAGTTGAAAAATATATGAATTTCAAATGGAAATATTCCCCTTTTGGCTGGCTTTTAAGGAACTTCTGTTCTATTTTTCGAATCCCACATAAATATCAAAATCTTTCGACATTGAATGACGCTAAAATTGTTTAGGTCGTTTGTGTAGATAATGAAGAAAATTGGCCTTTAAATAGAATCTTGATTTACTGGAACAACGTCTTTTATATAAACATTGAATTACATGAAAAAAATAAAACTTTCGAAACAACTAATTGTTTATGAACATTGAATAATAAAACTCTTCTTCCTATTCGGTTTGTCAATTTGTTATGTTCGAACATAAATATGCAATTTTGAGTTTTTGTGAACAATAGTTCAATCTTCAGTGCTTTCATAACGTGTTACGTATTTTAAAGATATTTTTTTATTACCTCATGCCCGACTACAGTTTTTGTGTGGCTAGTCGGATAGGTTGAATGGATTGATGAATAATTATTTACTTACTCAGTGACAAATTGGATAAACCTATCAAATTTTTATTCAAAACGCAGTACCATTTATGCACTTGACATTTGACTTCAGGGGTGCAGAAATATACCAAGAAGAAACTAAAGAAGGTTAAAAAGAATTATTAACCGTGTCTAACTAAGGTGGCTCAAAGATTTTGTCCAGAAAAGAAGCTGATTCAAAAATACTCACTGATCTTTTAGTATTCATCCATCCTAAATGCGAGAAATGGGAATCAATTGAGCACCCAATCACTTCGGCATTCAATGCTTTGAAGTCTTCAATTCTTTCATCTAATGCTATGAGTTCCGTAGGACAAACAAATGTGCTGTAAAACACAAAGTGATTGATTAATGATGATTACTGATAATAAAGAAAACTATGAATATATTTGTTTTGGAAAACCAGTCGTTCTATGAAGTCGTGAAAGATAGAACTGGAACCTTTGACAGTATGAAACCAGAAAAAGCACTGCTCCTGATGATATCAACCAGGTTGACATCATCAGGAAGTAAACTTGATTAACTCACTCACATTTCGTTCTTTCAGTTCAGGAAGACATTACAAATAAAATACAATGACATAAATAGAAATTAATGCCATTTTTTTTGGAATCAGAATTTTCCAGAACAACGCATAATAATAAATGTGTTTACGAACACCTTTGACTCTTTTTGCGTTAGGAATCACACGTTGAAAGGAAAGACCTCGTTAATCCTTAGCCCGTAAAAGTTTCGACTTCTAAGGGTTGTCGTTCTGATAATGTAAAAAACTATGAATATATTTGTTTTGGAAAACCAGTCGTTCTATGAAGTCGTGAAAGATAGAACTGGAACCCTTGACAGTATGAAATCAGAAAAAGCACTGCTCCCAATAATGTAAACCAGGTTGACATTATCAGGAAGTAAACTTGATTAACTCACTCACATTTCATTGTTTCAGTTCAGGAGGACATTACGAATAAAATACAATGACATACATTGAAATTAATGACATTTTTTTGGTAATTAGAATTTTCCAGAACAACACACAATAATAAACTATGTGTCTACGAACACCTTTGACTCTTTTCATGTTAGGAATCACACGTTAAGTTATCCGAGTTATATTCAAGTAACATTCAACTAATACAAACTAATCAGCTTTGTTAAGAAGCTGGGTTTATTTGGTCGAGTGTGAATAGGTGGACCTAACCTAACATTCAACTATGACTCAGGTATTAATTCTCTATTATTCTTTACAATATATTGTTTTGGACATTCTATTTCTAATGTTCAAGATAAGGTAAAACACACTTACAAGTCAAGAGGATAGAAGAACAGCACCACATATTTCCCTTTGTAATCACTCAACTTGATGTTCTTAAAATCATCATTGATTACGGCTGTTCCACTAAAGTCAGGTGCTGGTTGTTGAACCTTTGGTGCCAAAAGTGAAGATGCTGAAGTCATAAACAATTATTGGTTGAAGCATTTTTAATGATTTTGTTCCCATACTTACATAAAATCAAGTTTCTTTGGGTTATGTGTTTGGCAGTCGGTACAGTAGACTTCAGTAATTGTGGCACCTAGAGAAATTCATTAAATATTGTTTCTATGAAGTAAATAAATGGATAATTTAATCAATTATTAGATCACAATAGTGATATTACAAAATATTTTGAATGACCTGCAAATGTACACAATCATCAGCAAATGTAGCAGAACCATTTGTATCGATATATGCAGGCATATCATTGAGAAACAACAGAAAAATCAAACGACCTGATATCGAGCCTTGGGGTATATCCAAGTCAACATGAAAGGAATCAATCAAAACTTTTTTAACTTATAACATTTAACCTCAATTTGATATTTCAACTTCTAAGAATATTATAGATTTGGTCATCAGTTAGTACTATTTCCGTGGTCACACTAACTTTCAACAGGAAAAGAACATATGTGCAATGTGTTTCTGAATAAATTTACAGCCCAATCCTCAACTTACAGGCCTTGAATATTCCTCAGTATTTTGAATGTTCTAATTCCACTGTGATTTTTAGCCCAAATTACCTTTTTAGACTCTAACCTTTTTATTACTTACCCTACGAATAAAGTTATTGAATAATCCAGCCATTGGGGAATAACCGAAATGAACAGGAAGATTTTAAAATCAGAAAAAATGACTTTTAACTTTACTGAAGTTCAAACAGTTTGAAAGGTCAGGCCACCGGTCATGTCACTGTCACTTGTATACGTCACAGTCACTGTCAGTTGTCCGTGTCAACGGATTTGTCTAACAGCAATCAGCATACATTGATTAGAGCAGCTTCAGAGGAAAACATAATTGAAATTGATAGTTTTTCCAGTTTCTTCATAAAATGAACGGAAATCATGGTTTCATAATGCAAGATTATTCAACGATGTGTTAACAATTATCATTTCATAGATGACAAATAGGTTGTACGATCATAAAATAATTTAAGTTCCAAACCGCTTTATAGGAAATACCTTGAACTAGAAATATCAGCTTCAGCAAACAAGGTACTGGTAGAGAAGCATGTAGAGTAAGATGTTCTCTTTCAATATTGGTTTCCAGTAGATCATTTTATTCAGCAAAACCACAGAACATGTAGTTATTCTGTGATTCCTTTTTCCATTTTCACTTTGGCAAGTCAACTAACTTGCTGTGATGATCTTCTTGGGATTATGTCCTCGAAAATCTTGCCCATAGTAGTTCAAGCATCTGAATATACTGACAGTCCCCACGGTTTTTATTCATTAAATTCTACTGGATGTTCACGAAAATTGACACACATATCCTGAAAGTGATAGACCTTATAGTTAACAGAAGGTATGTCTCTTCTCTTGTAAATAAGAGATTCAAGACCTCACCTCATCTATAGACTTATAAACATTTGGGTTACGCCATAGTGGGTTTTGAAATAAAAAAAATTGATAGTCCGCAGACTCTACTTTGTGAATAAATATTTTACGATGCCCTCACAACATATGGGGACACATCAGTAACTCTTTATTTAGATAATATGTATTTGGTGATCTGAAAAGTACGTAGACTAACACACAGATGGCGATATTAGTATCAAAGCCATGATTTTTAGTTAACCTTAACCTTCAAAAGGCACGTGTACAAATACATTAAACAGTATGTTATCAAATACGGTGAATATTCGAAATGTTGCTGTTACAGTGTGTTTGTACTTATGTGAAGTGATCAAAAGTGGAAAAACGATGCTTTTCCAGAATATGATGTCGAAAAACTCTGTATCTTTAGAGTAGGGAGAGTGAGTGTAGACTCACAGCACTTGTGAGCCATTATACATCCTCCCGAGGAGTTGTCCTTCTAGGTCATCGTCCATTCTGTCCTTCTCAGGAAGATGGACAGGTCACTAGGATACATCCCCTTTATATCGGCAGGTGAAGCCCAAGACTCGCTGAACACACACTCTCTTTGGCAACCTTGAGGTGTCTCACGGCGGCCTTTGTGAAGGTTTTGGAAGGTGCAGTGACATTACAGTCGTTGCGCGGCTTCTTCAACCTTTTGGGATTCCCTCCGTGGAGGTGCTCGAGTAAGGGCGCTTTCCTGCAGGTGCAGCCGGTTCCTTGCCTCTATTCAAGGCGGAGCTCTTGGTACCCGCCACAGAAAGTGCCATTGCTGTTGGAGGTGGAGTGGGGAAGGGAGAAGGTGCACTTATAGTTGCTGCCACTCCTGCCTCTACCGCTCTCTTTCTCATTTTGGCCTCGGCGCCTTAAATGCGATTACGGTTTGGCCTTTGTATTATATCACGAGGTGATCTGCCATGTCCAGCCTCATTTCAAATGGTAGATTGGGGTGGACATTTCTGTTTGTCTCCAGCCACCGCCATAGATTAAGGTGAGCGTTTCTGTCCAGCTTCGGGATTGGTTTTTGTTTTTTCAGTGTCTGTTTTTGTGTTTGTTTGTTTCATTCACGTGTGTTCCCACGAGTAGCAGGAAAAGAGTTGGTCATCTCTGGCAGAGCCCCGCATTACCAGAAGAAGGCTGATTACAATGAGGTTTCGTCCAGTTCCCCAAGGGGATCGTTCGTAACCGCATATCACCCTGCGGCCATTCAGCTGTCGGCACGATTCCTTACACCTTAGCTTGGGTAGTCTGGTCCACGGTGGCATGTTTCGCAAAGGCTTTCGGGGAGTTTTGATTCCCCTCACCCTACTTATTTCTGCCATTGACTAGGAGTCCGGCGACCCCGTCCGTAAGGTCACATTGGTTTTCCGGACAGGGCTCCCAGTCCCCTGGCCGTTCCCCAACCCACGGGTGTCGAAAAACTATTCAATTAATTTAAATCTCATTCGAATTTGTAATATTTGAGCTAGGCAGTAGTACCAACATAAATTTTTAACTTCAAATATGTCAATTGCACAATAAACTACCAGAGGAGCTCTGGAAATAAATTTTTTTCCATTTGGAAGGTTAATATGTGCGGAAATAGTATGAAGCAAGGTGTAACAACGTGTAAAGGTGACGTATTCGATAAAATCATGGGTATCCCAATCGTTTATTGGTTCAAAAAGAAGAAGTAAAATGACCTATAATTTCGAAATGAAGAAAGAGTACCGCGTTTTGACTTCAGAAACGTGTTCTGCTCATCATTTCACAGCTATCAACTTTTGTTAGTTTGTAGAAAATGGATAAGAAAGAATGCCCGCAGTAGACGCCCCAAAGAGGCTGTTGCCGACGAAACCATCAAAAAAGTCTACTAAATAATTTTGTATGACTGCAAAGTGAAGTTGATCGAGATAGCTGAGGCTCTGAATATGTCAATGGAACGTGTTGGGCATATCGTGCATTACCTAATATTTGGGTATGCGAAAGCTCTGTTCAAAGTGGGTGCTGCGCGAGCTCACAATCTACCAACAACAAAGAATTGATGATTCTGAACAGTGTGATTCACTATAACTTTCTGCAGTCGGGCTACACCATCACAGTAGAGTCCTTTTGTGAGGATATCGAAATGTACCGAAAATTACGTCAGCAGCAGCCGACACTGGTCAATAGAGGATGTCGGATCATGCTCCAAGATAACGCTCGTCCGCACGATTTATAAATCATCACCCAAAAATTAAACGAATTTAGCGTAGAAGTTCTCCTCCACCCTCCATACTTCCCAGACCTTTCGTCAACCGACTGCCATCTTTTCGAACACTTCATTGAATTTTGAGCAGCCAAATTTTATGGTGAAGGAATTAATGAACTCGTGTTACCTTAGCAAAGGTAACACGAGTTCAGCAAAGGCGGGTTGGCTGTCCTTGTTCCACTGCCTGAACCACTGTGTATGCTATTTTTGGCGAGTGCATTGGCTTGGGATGTGGGGGTTGAGCAAACCGGCCATCGGATGCCTGCTTCCACTTAGCCTTGCTGGATACGAGAATGACAGAATCACTTGTGGTTCTGTTATTCCCTAACTGAATGGCATCCTAACGATGGCTTAATCCTATGGTGTGTATATCCGTGCCGAGAGAATGTATAACATTAAGCCTATCAGCTGTCACTACGGAACCTTCAAGATACCGGGCGCCCTTTCGTCGTAGCATCGCCTTGTCACGGTAATACAGGGCTATGCCGTGATTGACATTCTTTCCCTAGCTACTCGTGGCACTTTTATGGACAGAGTAAACTTAATTTTTTTTTCTGACACTGAGTCTACAGAGGAGGTGGATGTGGAGCTTAAGACTCTAATTGACCTACCTGTAAATTTAGATCAAGAGCGAGTCTACAGAAGAGATGGATGTCAAGCTTACGACTCCAACTGACCTCCCTGTAAATTTAGATCAGGAGCGAGAACTTCTCAACTCTCCAACTCCTGATCAAATAACTGATCCTAAGAATCTGTCTCAGGTGGAGGAACAAACCTCCCATGAGCAGGTTAGCCAACCTTTGCGCCCAAGTCATGATTAATCAAAAACAGAGGCGAAAAAGCCCTGCACGGGTGAATCTAACCTAACCTAACCTAACCTAACCTACCTTAGCAAACGTGCATTGAATCAATTGACGCTAATTTCGATTTAATTGAATAAGAACTCATAAAAATGGATGAAGCTTGTGAAACAACCTATGCATCTTATACAGAAATTAAATATCAAAGTGTCTTTTAAACACGTGTGTCTTTCAGACAGTTCTATATTTAATTTCGATGTTTGCCTTGTTTGCTCCTCACAATCTTGTTCGTTTTCTACTCAATCTGCTACAAATATGTTTTTATAAAGCATGCAGTCAATAAAAGTATTCTGATAGAGAATTGGATTCACACAGTAGCTGAGACAGGAAGACAAAGTCTGTTATTATCTTCAAAATCCGTCGCTTTCGATACGCCCCTGAAAGTTATTAACGTTAAAACGCGCGTTGAAAAGTGAACCGCGAAATAATATGGCGGAGTTTATTCTGCATCCTCTTGGGAGGCATTCACGGCGCGAAATAGTAATGCATTTTCCTTATATAGCGTTTTTTATTATGTCTATCGCTTCGGATGCGAAAATAGCGACAATCTCGGATATTGCTGGCGTGGGTCTCTCCCTTTCTGTGATATATTGTTCGGGTAAACTGTCTTGCGCCTCCACACACCACCTGGCACAAATGGAATTTTATGTTCACGTTCCTTCACAAGATTGGTTGGGACTCGATCACGAATTTGTCCATTATGAGATGAAAATTAATGGAATACCTAACTAGTGGTGAATATTCGGAATGTTGACTGCGAAAGAATATGGAAGAAAGTTCATACTTACGTTAAATGATGAGAACACAATAATTCTTAAGTCGAAACGCGGCGCTTCTTCTTCGTTCCGAAATTATACTTCCTCAAAGATCAGAAGGTCATGTTACACCTTCGTTTTGCACCAGGAAACGATCGGGATGAACATGATTTCCTTACCACGTCGTCTTTGCACATTGTTCGATCTTGATTCATACTTCTCCCGCACAAATTTATTTTTTTATATGCTGTTCTGACATATTATTATGCGAATAATAAATTTGAGGTTAAAAATTCACGTTGGTACTACTGCTTCGTTCAAATAATAAAAATTCGAATGGGATTTGAAATATTTCAATTATTTTTCGACACCATTCCTTTCGAATTCTTCTGCCGGCAACATTTCGAATATTCACCAGATTTGATAACCATACTGTTGTTTAATGTTTCCTATTTGTAGAGATGCACACATACTGATTGCAGATTATGTAACGATCAATTAATTCTAGGGTTTGTTGCTTCATCGAGCACCACGTATGGATAAATCATACTGAACATCATTTTTAATATTCAGATATTTACTCGCAGAAATGATTGATATAACATTAGTCACAGAACAATGTTATATCAATTATTTCTGTGAGTAAATATCTGAATATTGAAAATATTAGTCACAAGAACACCCCTGGGTTGGACTACCTATTGGGCGCGTCCTCAGGTAGCAAATAGGGGAACAGTCAGGGAACTAGAGGCCCTGTCCGTAAAGCCAATGTGGTCTTACGGACTCCTGGTCAGTGGTAAAAATAAGTAGGGTGAAGGGAACTAAAACCCCCCAAAAGCCTTTGCAAAACATGCTACAGTGGACCAGTCTACGCAAGCTAAGGTGTAAGGATTCGTGCCGACAGCTGAATGGCCGCAGGGTGATATGTGGTCACGAACGATCCCTTTAGTGAACTGGGCGAAACCTCATTGTAATCAGCCTACCTCTGGTAATGTGGTGCTCTGCCAGAGATGACCAACTTTTCCCTTGCTACTCGTGGGAACACACATGAATAAAACAACACAAAAACAAAAACCAATCCCGAGGCTAGACAAAAGTGTTCACCTCAGTCTTAGGCGGTGACTGGGAATGAACAGAAATGTGCACCCCAATCTACCGTTTGGAATGAGGCTGTACATAGCAGATCACTTCCAAAAGCAAGGGCACTTCCTGCGGCGGGCGCCAAGAGCTCCGCCTTGAATAAAGGCGAGGAAGTGGCTGTCCCTGCAGGAAAGCTCCCTCACTTGTGCACCTCCACGGAGGGAACCTCAACAAGGTTGAAGAAGCCGCGCAACGACAGTAATATCGCTGCACCTTCCAAAACCTTCGCGGAGGCCACCGTGAGACACCTCAAGGTTACCAAGGAGAGGGTTTGTTCAGCGAGTCTTGGCCTGCACCTGCCAAAATAAAGGAAAAGTCTCCTAGTGACCTGTTCACTTTCCTGGAAAGGACAGGATGAACGATGACCTAGGGGGACAACTCCACAGGAGGATGTAAAATGGGTCACATGTGGCCTAAGTGATGTGGGTCTACAGTCACCCTCCATACTCTACAGATACAGATAGTCACAGAACACACAGATAGTCACAGAACACTTGATTTAATTTCATCAAGGCTGCGTTCAGATGGAACTCAGATGGAACTCTCTACATGGAACACATATTCAACTCTTAGCACGGTTACCACTATCTAATTTCCTTGGACTTCTTCAAGATGTCCTGGAAATGTCACTAGAACAAAACGGGGCTATTGGGATATATCTGAGGATAGAATTTTGCAATCTTGATGACTTCTTGTACCTGTTTTACAGGACTTTTAAGAGTAGTTTCTATATAATGATAACGTCCTCAAGATATTCCGTAGGTACTTGTCTCACGGGTCTTCCTGTTGGAAGACCCATGAGAGAGGGTGAAAAATAAGTGGATATACGTTGATTTCAAGAATGGAATAGGAAAGTACTTAATTTTTTATTGAGAGAGTATCAGAATGTACAAATCACGAATATTCAAAAAACGATGGAATACATTTCATTTACATATTATCTAATTTTCTGTAAAACATTCATTAGAGGGTACTTGTCTCCACAAATCCCTCTGAAATCGTCGTTATCGAAAGCCCAGACCATCATTCCTCCCAAGTTTTTCGAAATTGCGTAGTCAGTTTTATATGTTATCGACCGAACATCTTCGTATCCGACCCATTGGTTTCCACTTATTCTGTGTGGAACTTTTTGCTCGTCGTCCCAAACGTACGTCCAGTCTGAGTGCAATTCACATATCTGCAATTCGTTAGAATATTATGGATAATATTATACTATCTATAATTAAACTATACTGAAATTGCATAATAGTTAGGCACTAAATTCTCAGGAATAGTGTTGCATTGAAACGAAAACATTGTTGTCAGGTTGTGATTCTATATATTTTATCATATAATTATACTCGTATTAATATGATTAGTGCAATTTCCGTACGCCACTACAAGAGACAGAAAAAGGCAAAAACGTCACATGACAACAACTTTTTCGTCGCTTGTGTTTCCTCCACATCTAAAGTCTATCCAAATCCAAGATAGAGTAAAATAAAACAAAACTGAAGCGTGATGTTCACGTGATCGCCCAGTGTCAGATGGAAAGGGCAGCGTTCATTGGTGAATTCGCCTTCTTGGTACGAGTTCAGCACAGGGTTGTAATCAGTCGTTTGCGTGTTTGAGTGGCGCAATAGATGATGCTGATGAACATGCAATCAGGAGGAAAGTGCATGAGTACTTTTTCATTATTCCTTTTGATTTTACATAAAATAAAAATTATCAATAAAGAAATAATTACGTCTCTTTTCATATAATGCTTGAGTGCGCTGTGAAAAATCCAACGAAAATCTTTTTATATTACACATATCTGCATTTTTCCCGTTAAACTGCAAAACTTGTGCATTTCACTCGTTATTATAAAAAGTTTTCCTAAGTATGATATATCATTTGCGATCAACAAGATGTTAGTTCTGAATACGACCATGACCAATTCTTGGGATTTTCAATATGGGCAATAGGTCATGTCAATGTTTACATCCACTCTATCTTGGATTTGAATTTGCTTTAGCTTTGTTTTCGAAAAAAAAAATGAACCCACTTTGCATATCATGAACACCTGCTTTGGAGACCAGCTGACAGTGATAGCGTTGTGAAAGTCAGTGAAAGTCAGAGTTGCTAATTAGCAGTGATTCCATTATCAATAATTTTACTGAAACAAATAGCTGACACGCACTTTATTTATGGATTAGCTAATGGAAACGGGGAAGAAGCACGAAGAATTTACCAGAAGAGATATCTTAACAGGGTAATTCAATGTGCTAAAACATTTAGAACGCTACATACAAGATTATGTGAAACTGGGAGTTTTAATTGAAATGCAGATGGTGGAAGACCAGAAACTGTAACAACACCTGAACTAGAAGAAGCTATGTTTGATGGGATAGAAGAAGATCCTTAAAATAGAACCACAAAGATTGCACTGCCACTGGAAGTCAGCCCAAAAAACCACATGGACAGTTCTAAAAGAAAACCTTATGTACCCATATCACATACAGTGGGTCCAAGCTCTACCGTCTCAGGATTTCCACCCGCCGAGATTATTGTTTTGCAGGTGGTTGATTCATACGATGGCACACAATAATAATTGTTTACCAAATATTTTATTTACGGACGAAGCAAATATTTCACGAGATGTTGTTAAGAACTTTCACAATGACGAAAATCTTCACGTTATTAGAGAAAGTCATTTTCGGCAACAGTTTTCGCTGAACGTTTGGATAGGAATGGTGACTATCCGATTGCCAATTTTTTCTACCAGCAAGATTAACAGGTGAATCCTTCACGGAATTTTAGAGAGATCATTTACCCATTTTGTTAAAAGAAGTACCGGTACTTGTAAAAAGCAATACGTGGTTTATGCACGACGGGGCTCCAGCTTATTTTAGTGTTCTTGCTTGTCAGCATCTCGTTAATCAAAAATGAAAATGGAACTTATTTTTTGGACAGCGTACAAATTTTTCACATTTTTGTGTGAGTTCTGTTCATTACCTCATTATATCCTAAAATTCCTTCTTGTCGAGTGTACGGTCCTTCTTTACCCCCTCCCTGAATAGGGGCGTAAAGCTCAGTTTTGCTTTCATCTGCCAACGTGAAACTGCGTCCATAAGTGACTATTCCCAAGTTTATTTTCGATGGATCAGCTCCATTGTCCAACCAATATTGGATTCCAGAAGCCTACATAAGAATTATTTTACTAATATGTAGTTTTATGACAAAAAATCAAAAAAATACTAGAAAACAACAATTTCAAATTTTGATAATCGAATAGAACTGGCTGATAATGCATGAACATCCATATCAAAACTAATTAATATAGTTTATTGTATGATTTTCACTAAAAAGGGTTTTGCAAAAACCGCGACGAGTGTTTCGCTATACAATAGCTTCCTTAAACTGAGGACAATGAATCTGTTACCTGTATGAGACAAACAAAGATGACATATTTCAGAGGGGTGCTGTTCTGTTTACTTATGTTCCGAGTTCCGAGACATTCTGTGACATATGACAGTTTATGCACCTAACCTATCTTCCTCTATATGAATGAATAACAAAACAACAGTTGTTTATGTGGCATGTGGAGGTGATATTGAAGTATAATTTATATTTTGCCTGAATTGTTGATTTATAAAGACAATTTTCCTTTTTAAAAGTAGAATATTTAGGTACGTATAAATTATTTCAACTTGATATAGGCGCTGTTGCCAATATGTGAATTAGAAACAAATCCCTTTAAAAATTAAAACCCAACATTTGAAACATCAATTTGAATACTTTTCGAAGTGAATTTGAAAAACTCATGAACTAAACTCAACTTTATTTTGTTCAAACTTGCATTTGCTGTAATAATTCAAATTGAGGAACCTTTCTCATTGTAACATGGCCATCAACGCAACTTCCTTAACGTACAGGTCCAGAGGGGTCAGACCAGTAATTAATTCTATTGCTGCAGTTGGTTTCTCTTCAGTGCGAACAAATCTTTTGTCTTTAAGGTCAGATTATTGATGTTCATTAATAATAATGAGGAAGCTATTGTATAGCGAAACACGTGTTGCGGTTTTTGTAAAACCCTTTATAGTGAAAATCAGGCAATAAACTGTATCAATCAGTTTTAAAACTTTGAATTGCCATTTGGACTCGTAATTTTCAGTCCCCTACCCTTTCATCTTCAAGGGGTGTTATCTCGAAGTCAACACAAATAAGGACTGAAACTTTCCTAGTAGTCGAAAACATTACTTACCACATTATAAGTAACATTGTCACCATGCGAAGAATCTAAGGAGGATGCATATAAGGGTGAAACGTGTCCTACATATGGGTCGAAACTTCCATGGAAATCATAAACCATGATGTTTATGTAATCCATAAGTCTAAAATAAACATATTTGTATTCAATCCACTAAATACATGAAAATGACAAAATTACGTTCACTCTCAAAATTATTGAGTTTATTTAACCTCAGCTATTTTAGTACATTGAACATCAAAAAAGATCACATGGTCTGGATGGAATAACATCCATACAACAGGGCCGTAGCAAAAAGAAAAACCAGGAGGGGGGAATCCAAATTTTCCCAACTCCACCAACAAAATTTCTCAACTTTCGAAGAAACGAATGCCGAGGGATTAGTTACTACTATAATATATTAATTTTATTACTTAGCTATCTAAAGATTGGCTGAATGCTTATGCCCGTTAGGGTATGCACAAAAAAAATAAATTTTGGTATTAAAGACCCAATATTGAAGTCTCATCCTGCTGATCCTCCCTTTTCCCTCACCAATCCTTTTCCCCTCCTCCTACCACTCCCGTATGTGGGAGAGATGTAAATATTGTAAATATTCTGTACAGTAGACCTTATATTTGACAAAGAGAAATGTATAATAAAGTATTTTTGTTTTTGATATGATTTGATTGAAAGGTTGGAGATTTGTCTCTCTTTTGTAAAGTTGCTACTTTTGCATAGGCACCGCTCTTAAAGCGACTTAAGGATTTTTCTGGAGTGCTTGTCTTTTGTATTTAAAAAAAGATGCCAGTACCTAATGAGATTCATTCGCTCATTTTATTAAATCCCAGCCATAGGAATCTTGTTTAAATTGAAAGGCGTAAATTTACCGGTAGGCATGCCCCTACCTACTTGGAATGCACAATTTTTTTGTGCATTCCAAGTATTATAAAATAAGAATCCGAAAATACAGAATACTGATGCTGTAAAGATTATGGAGAAAGGCAATAATTGCAGTAAAGATTATGGAGAAAGGACATAATAAAATTTTCGGAATTGGGAGGTAATTTGCACTAATCCATAGTATTTATAGGAGTTTTTGCAATTGAAAAGTAATACATTCACTCACTTGTTCAGCGCTGGAATATCATATGAAATTTCAATTCTGTTAATCGCGCCTGAAACTGCACCAGATAATATGTAACCTTCTGGAGCGAGAACATCTCTCAAGTCCGACATCAAAGCTGTATAGTCATCCTGAAATACGGTATCATTGATTTATTCATTTATTTTGGTACAAAACTTCTAGACAGAAATTGTGCTGGTATAAGTACAGTAGTAAAAAGTAAAAATCGATAGCATTTTTTGATAATAACAAAATATAAACATTTAAATAATTATTATTCTCATCCATCTCCAGTTAAAAAAAATACTGTGACTGATGCCTCATGTAGCAAAGCTCATTTTGAGAATATCTACGTNAAACTTTCAAATTGGGATTTTGTTGCTTGAGACCCACCAAATGCTCGAACCCCTCTGTAAAATGAAGTTCCCCTCAATTTATCCGCGGCCAAACAGAATGTACTGATATGAAACTTACTAGGACCATAATCTTCGTTGGATTCCCAAGGATCTATGATGCGAACAGTTGCATTTTCTCCTACTCCAACAAATGCAAAGCTAATGTGAGTACAGAGAGAGGGGTCTATGTTACTCACGTCAAATTTCCCGTTTCCTGGTCTGTACGTTGTCCAACTTGCGAAGTAACAAAACACATTTCCACCTGAAACTGTTATTTCCATGTTTACTTTACTATTTGTTGATTGATAATGAAAATTTGAATTACAAAAAAAGCGAAGGAGAATTTGTGATGTCGATGGGAGATTCCTGATCCACAAAGTTGACAGAAATACGTAATTTTATCAACCATTTTTCATGGCTGAGTTGAACAGCTGAAGATCCATTATAATGGAAGATATTGCAGTTTTTGATAAGTACACTGACACGATAGACAGCACGAAATCAGCTGAACCGAGTCATCGATATCGGTTCAGGAGATTTGTATGTGTAGAGTAGACCCACAGCACTTAGGCTACATGTGACCCATTGTACATCCTCCTGAGGAGTTGTCCTCCTAGGTCATCGTCCATCCTGTCCTTTCCAGAAAGGTGGACAGGTCACTAAGATACATCTCCTTCATATTGGTAGGTATAGCCGAAGACTCGCCGAACACACACTCTCTTTGGCAACCTTGAGGTGTCTCACGGTGGCCTTCGCGAAGGTTTTAGAAGGTGCACCGACACTACTGCCATTGCGCGGCCTCTTCAACCTTCTTGGGGTTCCCTCCGTGGAGGTGGACAAGTGCTTTTGGCCTCGGCGCCGCAAATGCGCTTACGCCTTGACCTTTGTATTACATCACGAGGTGATCTGCTATGTCATTCAGCCTCATTCCAAGCGGTAGATTGGGGTGGACATTTCTGTTCCTCCCCAGCCACCGCCTTAGATTGAGGTGAGCACTTCTGTCCAGCCTCGTGATTGGTTTTTGTTGTTTCTGTTTTTGTGTTTGTTTCATTCATGTGTGTTTCCGCACGAGTAGCAAGGGAAGAGTTGGTCACTTCTGGCAGAGTCCCGCATTATCAGAGATAGGCTGATTACAATGAGATTTCGCCCAGTTCCCCAAGGAGATCATTCGTAACCGCATATCACCCTGCGGCCATTCAGCTGTCGGACCACCATGGATCACCCTACCCAAGCTACCTTAGCTTGGGTAGGCACCCCCGCTGGTGTTAACGGGTAGCTCTCTGCCCAACAGAGTCTCATTTCAGCTTTCAGTCAGAGACTTCCCGCTTCCTGCCAAAGCTTACTCGAGATTTCTCATGATATTGCGATTTCGGTACCTCATATATGAATATACTAGATGATTGTTGCAAGTTCATCACCGCTAGCCCCCTGGAAAAAGTTCATGAGAAAACCAGGAAAGAGTAATCCTGGTATCACGAAAATACGTGATTTATCTTAGCCAGCTTTTCCATGAGCTGAGCGCGATCACATTCGCGCCGTTCATGGAAAATATCAAGCATTTCATAAATTAACCCGTGTTTTCGGGGTTGATTATGATAACTCGTAAGCGCCGTGACGTCCCTCGTCAGCGGGCTTTTCGGTAGAAAGAACTTGAAGAATTTATAAGACAGCCTCCTGATGTGTTCAGTGACCGTCTCGACTCCTGCCAGATCTAACAGATCATTCAATGAAATGTATCTGTCACTGTTCGTGCAAATACGGAGCACCTTATTCTGCATCGTCTCGAGTCACCGCAAAGGAGTCTTCTTGAGGCTACATAATATGGGACAGGCGTACAACATTGCTGGTCTAATTATTTGTTTGTAAATTAGCAGCTTGTTGTCCACACTAAGCTTAGAGTTCCGTGCAATGAGCGGGTACGTTCGTTTTACCGCCGCACCCGCTTGTTGGATCGCCAAGCTCAGATGTTCCTGAAAATTCAGGCGCCTATCCAGGATAACTCCCAGATATTGCGCGCTTCTCTGCTCGTCAACGCATTTATTCTTGACTAGTAACTTCCTGAAGATCTTCACGTTGGTAAATTTCTTCGAGAAGTTGACGAGTTCCGTTTTGTTAGGGTTAACATCGATTTTATTACGCTGGAAGTACGGCACGACCAACCTGTCGAGGTGGATCTGAAGCTGTTGCTTCGCCACCTCGCTCAAGAACGAATGCGCGTATATCGCAGTGTCATCTGCGTATATACCGACATTTGTTCTCGGGAACATAGGAAATTCGTGCGTATACAGAGAGTACAAATGCGGTGATAGGCAGGACCCCTGCGGAACACCTGCTTTAATTGGATAATTCGTAGATGTGGTTTGGTCCACTCTCACGCGAAAAGTTCGGTTGCTTAGGTAGGATTGAAGAATCCTAATCACAAATAGGGGCATGCCTACCGACCACATCTTGGCGACAAATTCCTCTATCCAAACTCTATCGAAAGCTTTTTGGATGTCCAACAAAACCATAACTGTATTCTTCCCCTGATTGAAGGCTTCGTTCACCCCGTGAACAACCCGGATCACTTGAGAAGTCGTATTTCGACCTCTCCGGAACCCGAATTGTTCCTCGGGAATGAGTTTCATCCTATCTTCCAGGCGAAAAAGTCTACTCAAGAGAATTTTATCAATGACTTTCGCCACCGCACCGCATCCTCATTAAAATTTGCAACCTCCTGTTACCGGTGAAGATGTGCGTCCACAGCCGATGTCCTGGAATCCAAATGAATAACGGACAAGTCTGCTGTCGTCAGCAAAGCAATATATTGGATTCTGATTACAATGAGGTTTCGCCCAGTTCCCCAAGGGGATCGTTCAGCTGTCGGACCACCATGGATCACCCTACCCAAGCTACCTTATCTTGAGTAGGGTGGTCCATGGTGGCATGCTTTGGAAAGGCTTTTGGGAAGTTTTAGTTCCCCTCACTCTACTTATTTCTGCCACTGACCAGGAGTCCGGCGATCCCGTCGGTGAGGCCACATATTGGCTTCCCGGACAGGGCCTCCAGTCCAATGGCCGTTCCTCCATCCGCCACCTGGGACTCCCGATAGGTAGCCCAACCCACGGGCGCCTTAGGAGATGTGTGGAATTCAATATCAGCTTGAGAACTGAATTGACAGTCAAAGAAAAGGATTTTCTCTCCCTCTTTCAGTCAGCTGACAAACCTGCTGATAATGCAGTTACTTGGAAATGAAATGCATTCGCTCCAAGCTCCAGTTGACGTTATAATTGTGAAGAAAGCTATCAACAAATCACTAAATGCCTCATTAGCTCTTATTGAGGAGGACGTTGACTTGGATGACCTCTTGGTATTTGATTGTGGAAGAGCAAAGGTTGCAGGCATTCACAGGCTGTGACTCGACACACATGTATCGCAACAATGAAGTGGGTTTTGTTAAAACGTTCCAGAAGATGGTGTTGTTCTCATGGCTCCTGTGATGTTTAAACAAGTCAGTCGCTATATTTGATATACTTTTTGGATGGCCGTTGTTTGTAGAACTTTCGGTCCCCATGTAATGGCTCCGTACGTTAACATAGATCTTATTATTGCAGTGTAGATCCAGGTAACCACACGGGGTGAGAGACCCCATGCGCATCACACTGCCCTCCGACATTGCTCATAAGCCTTTGCTCTACTCTGTACATGAGTACATGTAGACATGTAGACATGTTAGGTTCCTGTCGAGGATAGTACCAAGGTATTTCACTTCTTCAGAGAAGTTTAGTTTGTTTTTGCTGAATATATAAATAAATTATAATGAATATTCTCATGCAGCACATAAATTGAGGAGGACGTTGACTTGGATGACCTCTTGGTATTTGATTGTGGAAGAGGAAATGTTGCAGGCATTCACAGGCTGTGACTCGATGTTCCACAAGATGGTGTTGTTCTCATGGCTCCTGTGATGTTTAAACAAGTCAGTCGCTATATTTGATATACTTTTTGGATGGCCGTTGTTTGTAGAACTTTCGGTCCCCATGCAATGGCTCCGTACGTTAACATAGGTCTTATTATTGCAGTGTAGATCCAGTTGACCACACGGAGTGAAAGACCCCATGCGCGTCCCACTGTCCTCCGACATTGCTCATAAGCCACATATGCTCTTTTTGCTCTACTCTGTACGTGAGTACATGTAGACATGTGGACATGTTAGGTTCCTGTCGAGGACAGTACCAAGGTATTTCACTTCTTCAGAGAAGTTTAGTTTGTTTTTGCTGAATATATAAATAAATTATAATGAATATTCTCATGCAGCACATAAATGTTGATATAAGAATATAAAAACAATAAAGCATAAAAATATAAAGAGTGAATGCAAAGAAAATAAAAGTAATTATCTGCTTCGTGAACATTTTCAAACTATACAGTTCAGAGCCTCCAGAGCCACAGTTTTAGTTGTTTGACGTGTTTTGTTTGATGATAAGAGGCATAAAAGTAAAATGTGTTTTGCGTATTAGGCGATTTTCTGCTATCGAAAAAATGGATCAAAGAATTTGCATCAAATTCTGGCCAAAAGTTCAATTGAGTGCTTAAAAACACTCGAAATGATAGTGGCATACAGTGATTGTACTCTGAGCCAGAAAAATGTTTACAAATATGGTACAAGCTTTTCACAGAAAGTTGAGAAATTGTGAATGATAACGCTCGCCTTGGACACTTCAGCACATCAACAGCCGATGAAAATGTTGAGAAAATGGGAAAATTTTTATGTAGAATCGTCAAATCATTATTAGAGAAGTTTCGGAAAAACAACACCGTAATGATGCCTCAGCCACCCCATTTACCTGATTTGTCTCCCTGGCGACTTTCTTTGGTTCCCAATATTGAAGAGACCCATAAAAGAACGGCGTTTTCTGACGATTGAGGAGATAAAAACCCAATTGCGGAGAGAGCTCAAGGGCATACAAAAAAACGAATATCAGTACAAGGTAATTATATCTGAGGGGACTACTCTGGAGGAGACAAAATGGAAATTGATAATTTAATGGATTTTTTCAAGAATTTTAAGGATAATCCACCTTATTTTTCAACAGACCTTCAATATTTCGAAGTTAGGGAGACTAAAGTCAGAAGACTTCCTGTATGCAAGTTCTGTTCGTTGATTTAGAATACCCGTGACAAAGTTTGGATAAGTCTCCAAAATTTCTGAGAAAAAACAAAACTAGAACTTGTAAGTTTTGAGGTTTTTCTGTATATCTGTCTACCAGAAGACCTAGTGTTGATATTTTTGTATCTTTTAATAATTCCCCCCGAACTTCATCTTCAGATGTTTACGAGAAACTCATTTACAGCCCCGAACTTATAGTCTTTCCATTCCCAATTGGAACGGCAATAAAAATAAGAGTACAGTCATAAACATTTTTTGCCTGTGGCCCCTAGTCGCCCAGATAGTAAACGTGCTATCAAATGTAGTTGAGGAGTAAAGGCTCGGCTAGCTGGACTGGCTGAATACTAATTTTTTGTCCGTTTCACAATATTTCTTTAACAGTGCCGTGTGTTCGTGGGGTTAGGTGAGGTAGTGGTTGGTTTTGCAAACCGATTTTTTAAAACTTTTTCTAGAGATCAATTACTCTAACACCAAACTGATATTTTTGCACTCAACGCGCGTTTCGCTATCAAGGTTAGCATCTTCAGGAGAAGCAAATTGATAAAGACAAGGGTAAGCTGTTTATATACCTAAAGTTTTTTGGTCCTTACATGTTCGAGTTGAGCGAGTAATTTTAAATATTCATGAATGCTTGAAGGAGGAAAACTGTCACACTTCACATAATGCTATTGTGAATAGAATATGCGAGTTAATCAAACTATCTCGTTCGACAGTTTTTCGAGTCATTGAAATAGGGGATGTCATTGGCCATGCAATGAAACGAAAACAAAGGAATAAAAAATTCGCAAACGTTGATGGTGCTACAAAAGATGTGATTCGGCGAACAATTTATGGTATATACTAAAAAAATGAAGTATTAACCTTGGAAATGATTTGGTATAAATTACTCGACTATCCCGATTACAATTACAAATCTTTAGAAACTCTACGAGGTGTCGTATTGTCTTTTGGTTTCAAATATAAAAAATTGATCAATCGGATGGTCATAATGGAATCGACACGCATTGTTCAACTCCGACAAGAATATTTGAGGCGAATGAAGAGCTACCGAGAATCCAGAAGACATATAATCTACCTCGACGAAACTTGGTTTGACAACCATGATGTTGTCAAATATGGCTGGGTAGACGAAACCAAGTATTGTGTTTTGAACACACCTTCTTCAAGGGGAAAATGTGTTATAATTTTGCATGCCGGGAATGACAGTGGTTTCGTACCTAACGCTTTGCTTCTGTCGACCAAAAATATAAAAGATTCGTCTGCTGATTATCACGAAGATATGACTGCGGCTTTATTCGATACCTAGCTCAGTGAGCAGCTTCTCCCAAACTCGGTTATTGTTATGGATAACGCTTCATATCATTCTCTGTTATTGACTACAATACCAAACAATAACACAAAAACTGCAGATATTGTTAATTCCATGCGAAATCATGACATGGACACAAAAAATTCCAACCAAAAAGGTAATACTGGCGACCATGAAACAACGTGATTTCGAAAAAGAGTATATTATTGATTCCATGTGTGAAATACGTGGTCATATTCTCTTACATTTGCCTCCATACTATTGTGTGTTCAATCCAATTGAAATAGTTTGGACCACAATGATAGAAAGCTTGCGGAAATGTAATCAGTCACCGACTTTGAATGCTGTAGTGCTTGACAATATAAGGCGAGTGGTGAATGAAGTAGGTAATAGTGATGTGTGGAAGAACACATTATAAACACATTATAAAAGAACACATTATAAAAGAAGAGAACAAATATTATGTGCAAAATTCTATAAATCCGATCGTTATTCAACCTGATGATGATTCCACCTCATCCGAATATAGCGAAGAAGAATTTTGATTTTTATAGCAATTTTGTTAGCCTCTATCATTTTGTAAATATATGTTTGACGAGAATTCGGTGTGATTATTTGTGTTTTCATTGTATTTCAGAGTTTTCGACTCGGAAATTAACTACCTTGAATTTCCACCCATGGTGGAAAAATTCAGTTGAGATAACTTTTTCATTAGGTGATCAATTGCTATGATTGTAAGAATAAGTAACTGAAAAACTACCACTGAAAAATAATATGCCGACGCCTATGTCGAGGCGGAAATTCCTTCTCTGTGCTGTTCCAATTGGTATTGGAAATACTATAACAAAGTTGAAGTTTTAACAAAGACAAAGCTGAAGTCAAAAGTGGACTACTGAATTGAATAGTTATGAAGTAAAAGTCCTACTTGATTCTCAAATATTGGAAAGTAATATTTTGAAGTGGAATATTTCAGTTACGAATTGAATATACAAAACAACTTCCAGTAATACCTACTGTTTTTGACGAAGTAAAATTCCTGGCATAAATGCCACTAATAACACATGTACCCGTCAAATAAGTTCCAAACAATATTCAGTATTACTCTAAAAGAAATAATTACCTGCGGAAATTGAAGAGCAGATTAGTACAAATAAACTCGAAGTCAACATTAATTGTTTCATTTTGACGGAAGATACTGAACACTCACCTAGAAACTAGAGTAATTTATACGAATACGCAATCTAATCAATGATATTTATGAAATAATTGATATATTGAATGTAAGGAGATGATTGTACACAAGATATGAGAAATTTCCCCATCAGCCATCATTCGTCAGAAAAACATGAGATTTTTTCATCTAGATGGTTTTTTCAATCTCTCGTAAACAAAATTTCATGCCGATATCCATTGTTATCAAGTCATCAATTACTATGAGACATTTGATCGGAGAGAAGTAAAATGGACAAAGGATAAGAATCATTAAATGTGTGAGTTATTAGCTTACTTATATTAGACTCTCTCAAAAACTTTTCCGTTTCAATATCATGTAGGTTCATGTCTCAATGATTATTTATTTATACAGTGTGTGACAACGAAAACTTAACAGAGCCGTTTTTGAATATAAAAAGTATAATTTTTTAAAAAAAGCTCGGACATAAAATGAAAACATTTTTGCTTTTTATGACAACCTGCTAATACGTGTCCATTTGATTTCGTAAAAAAAGTAAGAATTATTTGTTTATTACTAGGAGATTTTTTCGGGGGATGGGGTTCGTTACCACCCTTACATTTTAGGTAAATTGAGTGGCACCTTCTTCTGAAGGTTGCCTTTTGAGGTGGATATTTTATGCTTCTGATAAAAAAAGTGAATCATACTAAAAACTTACCTACACAACGAATATAACCTGCTGATTTCCTTGAATGCTGATGACACAGAAGAGTTTAAAAAACTGTTTTTGACTTAATAAATCCCAATAATTGTTTTTAAAGCACACACAAAAAAAGGAACACCTAATAAGGGTAACTCACGTAGGAAATTTAGAGTAAATGTTCAAAATGTGCGCCATTTTGCTCCATGCAACAATAAAGATTTTGTTCGAATTTCGCTCTTGCATTATTCAACATCTCAGGAGTTATAGCTCGTCATTCATCAATAATTCTACGACGTAATTCATCCAAATTGGCTGGCTGTGTAGCATAAACTTTAGACTTTAAATATCTCCACAAAAAGTAGTCCAGTGGTGTTAAATCTGGTGATCGTGCTGGCCATCAAAATGATTATTCAAAAAATTTTGAACCTGCTGGGCATAATGGGGTGGTGCACCGTCTTGTTGAAACTGGATAAATTCATTTTGACATCTTGGATCCTGTTCAATTATTTCAACTATACGAGGTTGTATTGCCTCTTCAAGAAGTTGTAAATAAGAATCACCGGTTAAATTTCCATCAATGAAAAATGGACCTATAACATGATTGCCTGATATTCCGGCCCAGACATTCAACTTTTGGGGATGTTGAGTATGTATTTCTGCGCATTGTCTTGGGTTTTCATCCGACCAATAAGGGCAATTGTGACGGTTCACACAACCATTTAAATAAAATGAGCTTTCGTGCGAAAAACAGATGTTATAAGCGGCTCGGGATTTTGCATTAATTTCTCATTCATGCCCTCACAAAACTCCTGTCTTCGGTCAAAATCATCCTCATTGAGTTCATGAACAAGTTTAATTTTGTAAGGATGGAATTTGTGGTTTTTGAGGATTCATTAAGGATGCGCTCATATGGCTTATTCCGGCCATTGCTGATAAACCTTTGATACTTAACCTGGGATTGGCGATGACTTGACCAATCACTCCAATCGCATTATCGTCCTTCACTATCCTTCTCAGAACATTTCTTTTCTTATTTAAAACCGAACCTGTCTCCTTGAATTTTGTGACCAAATCCAGAACGTGATTTCTGCAAAAGTGTTTACCAGGGTTTTGCTCGTCAAATAAAATTGATGTTGTAATAAAGCAATAACTGAAACCCTTTCAGCAGTAGTGTAAAACCCGTTTAAACAAAACAATCGAACGATGTTTCCGGGTTCTGATCCATGTTCTCCGGAACACGTCATATCGATGGATATAGGTTGAGACCGCGAATGTTGCACATGCCAACAGCAAGTTCATTGGGATTTCAGGCGCTTCGCTGCAGGCCCTGCACCTTGTGTATGGACTCTGCATACCCATCACGAGGTGGTGTTGGGGTGTTTTCATTGTTTTATTATTGGGAAAGAAAGGTTTTGACTTTCCACTTCTCCATCTCCATACAAAAAATGTAGGGAAGAACTATGCAGGTGAATTCAAAGTACAGGCCCGTTTTAGGAATCACACGTTGAAAGGTAAGATCTCGTTAATCCTTAGCTCGCACATGTTTCGACTTCTGAGGGCTGTAGTTCGTAGGGGTGCGACAGCTGATTAATGGAAAAACAGATTTAAAAAGATACAAAGATGTGTAGTTAGGTTAGGTTAGGTTAGGTCCGAAGTAAGCGTGTCTATTCGGCCCTCCACCGAAACCTGCAAGGGTTTATTGTGGCTCATACCTATTTACACTCGACCAAATAAACTCAGCTTCTTAATGAAGCCAATTAGTTTGTATGGTGAGTGGTCTTTAAGGTCAGATGGTAAGAGTACGGATCTGCGGAACTCCGAAAACCTGATTCTGTCGATTCATAAATAGAGGCGACAGGTTATGATCCGATGAAGCTGCTTGCAGCACCCTCCTTTGCAAGAGAGTCAGCAGCTTTATTACCTTCCAGGCCAGTATGGCCAGGAATCCAGATCAGAGACTATCTGTTAAGTATTCCTATCGAGGAGAGTTATTTTTGGCAATTTGCTATCAATTTAGACGTTACTTGGTAGGAGCCAAGAGCTTCCAACGACTGTTCAAGAATATTTTTATTGATTTGTGTATGGTTGGATTTTTTCAATCTCTCCGCACACAATTCAATAGCGTAAATTTTTGCTTGAAATACAGTTGCTCAGGTTCCTAGGCAGGTTGATATCTCTGTCCTGGGCCTGCGAGTGAAAACACCTGCACCAGAACCGAAAGGTGTTTTTGATCCTTCCGTGAACCAACAACTATCTGCTCTTAATATTTCCTTCTCCCGGATGATCCAGTCCTCTCTACTTAAGAACTGTACTTCATAAGGCAATTCGTAGTTGATAGTTGGAGGTATAAAGTAAGAGGTCATTTCCAGAATGCTGTGACTTTAAATGTTAAATAGCAGTCTATTGTACTCTCCATTATATATATATAGTTCATGCAGAGAAGTACCTTTCAGACATAAACTGGAAGATAAAGACCTCTCGAACCAAAAATTTTCATAAAAATACATTGAATTACAAAAATGTATACCTCTATCATTTAACGCATTATCAATTGGAATGGAACTCATGTCGAATGGTAACCTCCCAAATTCGACAATTTTGTTAACATTCATCCACCGCAGGGCCTCACCGCTGAAGATGATTTTTAGATTTGTTAGCGTGCAGATCCAAGTCACAATGCAAAACTCGCCAAGTTGTGGTCTGCGAAAAGCCGAGTTCTTGTGAGCGACACGAAAGCGACTGCCTCGGATTCTTCTGCACACTTTCACAGACATTAGCAATGTTTTCGGCAGATCTTGCGTTTCGTCGACGTACGGGTGTTGGTCGATCGTTTACTGAACCAGTGGACTCAAATCTATCCACCACATTGTCCTCTCCGAGGGACGATGATTATGGCGACCCTAAAATGGGCGAATCGCGCTGTATATTGCCGGCCCAAACAGAACACCCATTTTGATTAAACATTTTTATTATTTGCTCGTGTTGTTGAACGTTATATCCGTCCATGGGGATTTGGTGAAACAGACCGAATGAATGACAACTAATTTGACAGATGTAGCTTCCACAAGATTTATGTTATCGACCGAACATCTTCGTATCCGACCCATTGGTTTCCACTTATTCTGTGTGGAACTTTTTGCTCGTCGTCCCAAACGTACGTCCAGTCTGAGTGCAATTCACATATCTGCAATTCGTTAGAATATTATAGATAAAACTTTACACCATCTAGGAGTAATATACGCATAACATAATTGATCTGATGGAAAAACGGCATCTACTTCTGGGTATGTTTCTTGACTTGTCAAAAGCATACGACTGTCTAGATCATAATATCTTGTTAATCATTAGAGAAATATGGAATGAGAGAAAGCGCTCTAAAATGGTTTCACTCATATTTAGCAGACAACAGAGAATTAGTATTACTAAAGACTCAAAAACCTTCAAATCTGATATTATAAAACATCTATAGGCGTCAATCCAAATATGACAATACCATTTTCTTTCGATTTTCATTCTAACTTCTCGACTTTACATTCCAATTCTTTATTTTCCTTTTCCAAATATCTAATTTTCTCTTTCAATGACTCAATTTTCAACACAACTCTTGCTTCACTGGCTTCAATTGCATTTTTCAGCTCAGTTCTGCTCGCAACTATTTCGTTCAAGAGTTCATTAAATTGTTCTCTTTCATTCATTTTATCACGTACTTTTGACGGTGTATGGTCACCTTTATGTTGTTTGGAGAATTCCGCAAAAAAATGGTCGGAATGCCTCTCAAGGACTAATATGATAGGTGTTTCCCTGTGTTTTTCTCCCTTCTAACGTTCGTTTTGAGTGTTAGATACTATCAATTTATTATCGAAATATCTGCTTACAGTGTTATTTCATAAATGTTTGACTTTCAGAATTGTTTGTGGTCTGTTACATACCAAAATTTAATGTTTTTTGAGCACAATGTTTCGCTGATGTTCACACTATTAGGCAGCACACACACAATTGTGGTGTACAATGATAGGTATCTTATTGAAATAAGCAATTCAAATATTACGACTTTTTCTACCTACTCAATAACCAAACTTAACAAATAAATTTGAAGGAATTTGAATAAAATTTCGTGTGAAAAATGAAATTATGTGCTCGAAAGTACTTGAAATGTTGACAGTGGCATACGGTGATTGTACTCTGAGTCAGAAAAATGTTCACAAGTGTTACAAGCTTCTCTCATAAGGTCGAGAAGATGTGGATTCGATTTTTTTCTGTTCCAAAGATTGAAAGGATCCATGAAAGGACGGAGTTTTGCGATGATTAAAGAGATAAAAAGGCACATGAAACAGTGCATATTAGCTTCGCGGATTGGAAAAAACGTTTACACAAATGTATTGTATTTTAGGAGGACCACTTTTTTGTGAAAAATCAAGATTCAACTTATTTTTTGGAAATACAGCGTACAAGCAAATTTCTCACATTTCTGTGTAAGTTCTGTTGTTCATTACCTCATTATATCCTAGAATTCCTTCTTGTCGAGTGTACGGTCCTTCTTCACCCCCTCCCTTAATAGGGGCGTAAAGCTCCGTATTGCTTTCATCTGCCAAAGTGAAACTCCGTCCATAAGTGACTATTCCCAAGTTTATTTTTGATGGATCAGCTCCATTTTCCAACCAATATTCGATTCCAGAAGCCTACATGAATATTTTTTCACTAATATGTAATTCAATGACAGAAAATCAAAAAAATACTAGAAAACGACGATTTAAAATGTTGATAATTGAATAGAACTGGCCTATACTTGATGAAAAAACACATTAAGAATAAATAATACAGTTCATAGTTTGATTTCCTCTGAAAGTGGTTTTACAAAAACCGCGATACGTGTTTCGCTATACAATAGATTCCCCAAGCGTAAACTGAGGAAGCTATCGCTTGTGGAAGCTATTGTGTAGTGAAACATGTGTCGCGGTTTTTGTAAAAGCCTTTATAATGAAAATCATACAATAAACTATATTTATTGGTTTTAAAATTTTGAATTGCCTTTTGGACTCGTAATTTTCAGCCCCTCACACTTTCACCTTTAAGGCGTGGCAACCCCAACATTGAAAATTCGAACTAGCTAATACTGTTTATTGTATGATTTTCACTTGAAAGGGTTTTACAAAGAACGCGACACGTCTTTCGCTATATAGCTTCCTCAAGCGTAAACTAGTTTACGATTTACAAAAAACGCGACACGTCTTTCGCTATATAGCTTCCTCAAGCGTAAACTAGTTTACGAATGAGAAAGCTATATAATGAAACACGTGTCGCGGTTTTTGTAAAACCCTCTATAGTGAAAATCATACAATAAACTGTAATAATTAGTTGTAAAATTTTGAATTGNGTCGAAACTTCCATGGAAATCATAAACCATGATGTTTATGTAATCCATAAGTCTAAAATAAACATATTTGTATTCAATCCACTAAATACATGAAAATGACAAAATTACGTTCACTCTCAAAATTATTGAATTCATTCAGCCTCAGCTAATTCAGTATATTGAACTTCCAAAAAAGATCACATGGTCTGGATGAAATAACATTTACAAAAAAAAACATTTAAATAATAATATGCAGAAACATGGATGACAATTGATGAATATAGATATAAACTCAAAAAAAGATGAGATTACTTAATGAGATTCATTCGCTCATTTGATTAAATCCCAGCCACAGGAATCTTGTTTAAATTGAAAGGGGTATTTTTCCAGGAGACTTTGATATTTGGAAAAGAAAGGTTTCGGCGTATTACTTCTCCATCTTTATACATTTTCTGCGCATTTCGAGTATTATAAAATAAAAATTAGAAAATATAGAATTGTGGGGCTGTAAAGATTGTGGATGAAGGAAATCAGAAAATATTTGGAATTGGCAGATGATTTGCACTAGTTCCTAGTATTCACCGGAGTCTTTGGAATTGATAAGTAATATCTCCACTTACTTGTTCAGTGCTGGAATGTCATATGAAATTTTGATTCTATTGATCGCTCCTGAAACCGCACCAGATAATATGTAACCTTCTGGAGCAAGAACATGTCTCAGATCCGACATCAAGGCTGTGTAGTCATCCTGAAATACAGTATTATTTATTTACTCATTTATTTTGGTACAAAACTGTCGTACAGAAATTATGCTGGTATAAGTAGATTAATAAAAATGTTTAGGTTAAATTCAATAACATTTAAATAATTTTAATTCGATGGTCATCATTGAACTGAATTTCTTCTTTTATATTTTTGGAAAGTATATAAACTGTTTCGGATTTTTTTATTAGATTAACAAAATCTTCTAAACAATTTGAAATTGGATCATCTTTCTTTAGTAGTATGTATTACATCACGATGAACATTATTGAAACTTTTTGTATCATGATCAATTCATAATTTTTTAATAATTGAATATTACTTTTTAGTGCGCTTCGCCCATTTTACGGTCGCCATAATCATTTTACTGAGAGGTGGTGGATGAATTTGAGTCCACTGGTTCGGTAAACGATCAAACAACACCCGTACGTCGACGAAACGCAAGAAAACGCTGTCTGTGAGAGTATGCGGCAGAATCCGATACAGTCGCCTTTACATCGCTGACAAGGACTCGGCCTGCCGCAGACCACAACTTGGCGAATTTTGCGTCGTGACTTGGGCCTGCATAAGTACAAAATTCAACCGACACAGGAACTGAAGGTAAACGACCATAGACAATGACGTGTGTTCACGAAATGGGTTCAGGAGCAGTCGCAACTGCCCCCTAATTTTCATCGAAAAATCATCTTCAGCTATAAGGCCACTTCTGGATGAATAGGTACGCGAATGAACAAAATTGTCAAATTTGGGACAACACCAATCCACCCGAAAAAATCACTGTTTTGTGTGGATTTTCACGGCATCATCAGAGTAGATTTTTCAGGCCATCACTGTCAACAGCAAAATGTCAACAGCAACATCACTGAACCGATTTGGGTGAGATTGTCAATAATCTACTGTAGTGAACTTTATTTAACATTTAGTATTTGATGTATTTCCATCGGCCAATTCAAATAATCAAGATAAATATTTGTTGAAAAAATACTGTTCAATTGATTTGACTGAAACTTTAATAACTATATCTGCTGTTTCCAACACTAATTTCTTGAAAATCGAATACATGGACATGCATGAAAACATTTTGCTCTTAGAAATTCTGGAAAAACCCAAAAACTGAAGATCAAATGTTTCTAGAACGGTTTAAAATATCTAACTAAAGCAAGGGATACATGTTTGAAATAGAAAGTGATCCGGGTTTTTAAAAAATATCGGATTGGTTCAAACAGTCAGAACTTGAAGAAACACTGACACTTCGTCTGTATAGAATAAAGAATGAATTTCATTCATTAGACACTTTCCTGAAGCACATCAGCAACGTAGTCCCTCCATCAGTTTCACATGAAGAAGGAAGTCCACAACGAATTGCCATTCTTAGACGTATTGGTGGAGAGGACCGACACTAAATGGGAAACATCTGTATATCGAAAACCCACTCACACGGGACAGTATCTGAACCACGAATACAACCACCATCAATCGACTAAGAGAGGAATCATCAAGACTCTACTAGACCGTGCTTTCGGGCTCTGCAATACAAAGGAAGGTCTCGAAAAAGAACTAGGCATCATCAAAAAATTACCTTCGACGAAATGGTTACTCCAGGGTGATGGTAGAACAGGCTTCAGCTAGAAGACAGTAAGTGCTCCACAAGGAAGAAAAGCCGCCACAACCAGTACTTGTACTTCCCTACATCAGAGGATTGTCGGAAAGTATAAGAAGGATTGGAACCAAGTATAATTTCAGAACCTGTTTCAGATCTGAGAACACTATCCGTAGCTGTCTCACGAAAACCAGGCCACCAAACGCGGACTGCGATTCTAAGAATTGCATTTACCGGATACCCTGCGATTGCGGAGAATTACACATCGGTGAAACTAAGAGGCCATTGAAAGTTCGCATTGCGGAGCACAAAAAACACACACAGCGAGGAGAAACCTGCAAATCAGGAATAGCAGAGCATGTTTGGACTAATCAACATAACATCAAGTGGGCTCAAGCTGAAATCATCTACAAGGAGGAACACTGGTTTGGGGGAAAATTCAAAGAAGCCATATATATGTTGTCCAACAACGCATCCAGCTAAGCTAACGTAGAGATACGTAACATATGGAAATATCTAATCAAGCGGAACACGACCAACTACCGCCAAACGGTCAGCTCCCGCTAAAAACCAATGAAGCGGAGAGAAAAAAGAGGGTATAGGTGAAAGCAGTCGAATGACCTATAAATAGTCAGATTTTGAAGGAATAAGTCCATTTATCACCCGAAGACGATTGAGGATACTAACAATCGAAACGTCGTGAAGTAACAGATTTTTTGAACAAAACAGTGATACATTCTTCAGTCAATACTACTATTTCTACAGGAAAGGTGCTTCAATCAAAGTGTTCGCAGAAGTCATCAAGAAATTGCGGCCAAAAGATTTATCTGATATAGTAATACACACTGCCTACTTTTAAAATCAGATTTAAAGATTTGCCCCTCGATTCATGGGATCTGCCTATCAAGACGCCCAGGAATTCCTTTGATATATTCAAGAATGTTCACATGAGGACCTCAAAAGAACTACTGAGAAATCTAAACCGATCTCAACAGAGATTGACGATAAATTGAGCGATAGCGGAAAGGCGCAAGAGTCCTGACTGAGATATTTGAACATGAAAATTTTTAAGATTGTAGTCAATCTCGGTGGTCAAGTATGAAGTGCACACACTGTAAACACTCATTAGTAACCTTCGATCCTTTCTGGGATTTGTCTCTCCCATACCACAAAAAACTTGCCAATTGAGTTTGTCACAATGCTTGGATTCCTTCACAAGAGAGAAAACTCTGGATGGAGATGATAAACCAACATGCTCGAGGTGAAAGGAAAGAAGAATATGCACACAGTCCCTATCAATTCATAAGTTTTCCCGTGTTTTAGTAATTCATTTAAAATTATTCCCTCCAACGGATTCAGAAGCAAATTGAATATTGCCATTGACTTCAGAAGGATCAGATATGAGCAATTATGCAGCAGATAATGTGTCTCCTTGTTGTTATAATCTATATGCACTTTCGAATCACAGTGGAACTACTTACAACGGGCATTATACAGCATATTGCAGATACCCTTGTTATGACACGTGACATGAATACAATCATTCAAACGTGTTCCAAATTTCACCAAAATTGCTTGTGAGTGAGGAGGCATATGCCCTCTTTATGAACAGGAGGGAACGAAGCAGTACTCTTGAGGTGATTTTTTTTCTTTTTCTCTTTTTCTCTTTTTATAAACTGAATTCTGTTAATTGATTTGTATTTCATGATTCTTCTGCTTCGGTTATAGTGATATAATAGTTTTTAAAATCCTGATTAAATTTCTCAAAAATGTTGATTTTACTAATTTAGTTCATTTATTGATATCCAGTGTTTCCACTTGATTAGTTAATACTTCTCAGAAAAAGCATGCACATTCAAAAGAAAGCTCTAAAATACATTTTAGTAGATTACCTGGTGGAGTTATAGGCCCGGAATGGCCATTTTGTCATGTTAATCTCCAAGAGAAAATAGCAGAACAAGGTTGTTGAATTTTTCAGTAGATTTGCTGTAAATCACTAGATTTTCTCAAAAAGTCACCAGATCAACTGATAAATGTAACGTTGACAATTTTTTTGCTTTATGAACAAGGTGACGGTTGAAGAAATCTACTGACTTTTGCTGAGTCTAGTGACAAAGTTAACAAGTCAGACCAGTTATTATCTCATGAAAAATGACCATTTCAGTTTTAGAACTGTCGAGGTAATTACCTCGTTTTCTAATTGAAGAACTTTCTTTCCTAGGCATAGTGCCTGTTGTACTCACCCTATCGAGAGCTGGATTAGATCCATCCCTGAAACCAGGGTATTCCCAGTCCAAATCGAAACCGTCAAATTTCCACTGTTTGACGAAAGCCAGTACATTCGACGCTAAACGTTTTCTCAGTTCTGGATATCTGGCGACGTATGAAAATTTTGAAGATGATTCGTTCCAACCGCCCATACTTAGTAAAACTTTCAAATTGGGATGTTGTTGCTTGAGACCCACCAAATGCTCGAACCCCTCTGTAAAATGAAGTTCCCCTCAATTTATCCGCGGCCAAACAGAATGTACTGATATGAAACTTACTAGGACCATAATCTTCGTTTGATTCCCAAGGATCTATAATGCGAACAGTTGCATTTTCTCCTACTCCAACAAATGCAAAGCTAATGTGAGTACAGAGAGAGGGGTCTATGTTAGTCACGTCAAATTTCCCGTTTCCTGGTCTGTACGTTGTCCAACTTGCGAAGTAACAAAACACATTTCCACCTGAAACTGTAATTTCTACGTTCAGCTCATTCCTTTTTTGAGTCGAAGGAGATACGTACTACTGCACTAACTTGAAAAAATCAATAAATTGGAAAATCGCTAGAGCATAGAAATGCTAGTCACCAATCTTACTTTCAGGCCATACTGGCCTGGAAAGCAATGAGGCTGCTGACTACCTTGTAAAGGAGGGTGCTGTAAGCAGCTTCATCTGATCAGAACCTGTCATTGGCACCGCTCACAGGCTTTGCTAAACAAAGATGGAGCATCTGGATGGCAAGAAGATTTATGGACTTCTGGCAGAACGTTCCAGGACTGGCACACTCCAAGGCGTTTATTCACCCTTCAAAACTTGATACCAAACAGTTGTTGGGCTACAATAGGAATGTACTACGATGTCTTAACAGGTCTTCTTACAGGTCACTATCATTTGAGTCATCATATGCAGAGGCTCAGACTGTCGTAAGACAGTGTGTGTCGCCTCTATTTGGAAAATGATGAAACAGCAGAGCACATACTTTGTGCCTGTCCCGCTGGGGACCGAATCAGGTTTTTAGAGTTCGACAAAGCCATACTTTTACCATCTGACCTGAAAGACCACTCACCATACAAACAAATCGGCTTCGTTAAGAAGATGAGTTTATTTGGTCGAGTGGTAATAAGTGTGAGTCACAATGAACCCTTGCGGGTTGCGGTGGAGGGTAGAATAGACTCACTCACTTTGGACCTAACCTAACCTAACCCCACGAAATGTGGTTCAGACAATATTCAGTATTACTCTGTGAGCTAAAAGAAATAATTACCTGCGGAAATTGAAGAGCAGATAAGTACAAATAAACTAGAAGTCAATATTATTTGTTTCATTTTGATACAAGATACTGAACACTCACCTAGGAACTAGATTCATTTATACAAATACGCAATCTTATCTATGATACTTATGAAATAATTGATGTTTCGAATATAAGGAGATCACTGTACACAAGATATAAGAAAAATCCCCAACAGTGATCATTCGTCAGAAAAACTTGAGAATTTTTCATTTAAATGTAATATCATGTAATTTTGTAGTGGTCGATCTACAGTAATCTAGGACGAGGATATGAGGACCTTATAGGAGANTTTAATTGTTTTATTTGTCATTGTTACGGTCTTAGACATTTTGCATAATTTAAATATAAAAAATATACATATTTAAAAGTAAAATAAAAGCAACCTTCTAATTCAAAGCAAGTTTTATTCTCCGATTAATTGCGTAACCATTATTCACAATTTTCTAACTCAAAAGAATACTAATTCCATAATTAAACGACTTATCTTTATAGCCCTCTTTTTCTGTTTTGACCAAAATTATTTTGAATTCAATAATGAGGTGGGCTAATAGTGTTTGTACGTTGGTTAAACAGTTTATTCAGGATCATGTACATCTACACGAAGCAGAGACAACTTTATTCGCAAATATGTGCATCTTTGTTCCTCCGAATGCTTTCTAGTCCAGGCCGCAAAAACTGCACCCTTTTTCCTATTCTTGACCAACTGTAATATGTCTCAGACAGTGGTTTTGGAAAGGCCTTCCAATGGGCAATGTTCCTTAATTTGGGATATTACAGCAAATGCAAGTTTGAACAAAATAAAATTGAGTTTAATTAATGAGTTTTTCAAATTCACTTGAAAAGTATTCAAATTAATGTTTCAATTGTTGGGCTTCAATTTTTAAATGGATTTGTTTCCAATTCACATAATTTATACGTACCTAGATATTCTACTTTAAAAAAGGAAAATTATCTTCATAAGTCAACAATTAAGGCAAAATATAAATTATAGTTCAATACCACCTCCACAAGCCACACAAACAGCAAGGCATTTTGTCGAACTACTTGGGTCAATTGAGGTGACACAGGAAGATCTACTAATTAGTTTCGACGTGGAAAGCCTTTACACCAACGTTCCGGTCGAAGAAGCACTCCAAATCATACTAACAAGTTCTTCAAAATCTACGACTTTACCCTTGTGTTTTAATGATTTTTCCACTTGGTGATGGAATGAGTCAGCACTCATGAAAGTGTGACCAGTTTGAAGATATTTGAGTTTCAGTAAATTTATTGTTGTACATTCAGAATTAATGAAGTGAACTAAAAATCAGGACAGAGCCTAGTTTTTATTCTGGGCTGCACAATTATCCATCCAAAGTGTTATTTCTTTGGCATCTCTGTGTGATAATAGAAATTTATTGAAAGTTGATATTATGTCAGATTGTGACCTTCCAGCACCTGAATATATTCACCAAAGTTCAGTGGCAATGTGAAATTGTCAATTTTGTCGTTTTCAAAAACAATGTTCAACAAATGTATGGAAGTGATCGCTAATATTATTCGTAGAAATATGGAAGAATACATTCACCACGTGGAATAACTTTCACACACATAACCTCACTTCTGTTAAATTGAACAGGCGTAAGTATCACATTTCCAGCCAGATTTTGTACTCGTCATATTGAAGTCAATCTAAGTTCAAAAGTCGTATATGGAATTTTAAAGCAATATTACGATAATTTGACTCAGTGCAGGGCAGATAGGACAATTAGACCATGTATTTGTTTATCAAATTATATATGAATAAGAGAATAATAAGAGAAGTCTGAACTGTCAGATAGGACGACATGACTTAGCATCAACCAGATACGATACTTTGATTTAGTAACCGCTTGATATTCTCGAGATACGACAAATAGTGTATGTTATTTTAGGTATTTATACTGACTTTGTTGCATGGATAGGTTGTGTTCAAAAGAAGCGAAATATTCGAAAACCTTGAAATGCAATTTTTAGTTAATTACGACCTTCTGTCGTACCACGGCAGAGTACTTCAAAATGATATCATTCCAAGTTTAGCAAATTCATATCCTGATACAGGAAACCCTCAAGTTCCAGTGAATACGATATAGTTTCAGCAGGATGGTGCACCACCACATTACCAAGTTAATGTCTGGCAATATATCGATACAACAGTTTCCCAATCGGTGGATAGGGAGGTGAGGATCGATTGAATGGCCAGCGCGATCATCTGATCTTTCATCATTGGATTTTTTTTTCTGGGGATATGTATAAAACTAAATATTCAGATTTGAATGACTTAAAAGAACGAATAACGTTTGTGAATAGGTCGGTCACGCCTGATATGTTAAATAATGTAAGAAGACAGTTTTATTTAAGATTAGGAGGTTGCCAAGACGTTCATAGTGAACATTTTGAACATCTAGTTCGTTAACATCCATAGTTTTTTTCGTATTCTACATTTTATTACGTTTTGTGTTACATTTTAGTTTTTGAGTGTATTTTATCGAATTTCGGTAACCACATGATTTTAAATTTTGTTATCTTAATTATTGCAAAAAACTTGAAAGCAAATAGAAAATAAAGAGACCTTTCTAACGATTTATCACAAATCTATACTTCCCATTAAAAAAATTAGGGGTTGTACCTGTCATTCGAAGGGGGTTGAAGGTAGGGGTGGCAGTTTTAGGTTGAAGAATGTCAAATTATAATTATTTACATTTGACGTATTTCAGGATTATGTTGAAATATGTTCAGTAACCGAAATGGTGAATTAATTCCCTTTGGCTCTTAGGTACTGTATAATCATATTGTTATAGATAGTATAATTTTGATACGCCACTGCAAGTGATAGATTAAGGCAAAATCGTCACTCTCATTTTTGAGAATTCAGTGTCTACTATTTTGGAATATTATTCCTATGATAGGTACCTTATTGAAATAAGCAATTCAAATATTACGACTTTTTCTACCTACTCAATGACCAAACTTTACAAACAAATTTGAAGGAATTTGAATTAAATTTCGTGTGAAAAATGAAATTATGTGCTCGAAAATACTTGAAATGTTGACAGTGGCATACGGTGATTGTACTCTGAGTCAGAAAAATGTTTACAAGTGTTACAAGCTTCTCTCATAAGGTCGAGAAAATGTGAATTCGATTTTTTCCTGTTCTGCGGGGTTCTGGGGTTTTGCGATGATTAGGAAGATAAAAAGGCATATGAAACAGTGCATATTAGCTTCGCGGATTGAAAAAAAAAGCTGACACAAATGTATTATATCTTAGAGGAACCACTTTACAGGGGACAAAGACTACTTTGGAGGGAGCAAAATGAAAATTTATGAGTAAAGAGTGAAAAATGAAGATTCAACTTATTTTTTGGAAATACAGCGCACAAGCAAATTTCTCACATTTTCTGTGTAAGTTCTGTTGTTCATTACCTCATTATATCCTAGAATTCCTTCTTGTCGAGTGTACGGTCCTTCTTCACCCCCTCCCTTAATAGGGTTAAATAAAATGAGCTTTCGTGCGAAAAACAGATGTTATAAGCGGCTCGGGATTTTGCATTAATTTCTCATTCATGCCCTCACAAAACTCCTGTCTTCGGTCAAAATCATCCTCATTGAGTTCATGAACAAGTTTAATTTTGTAAGGATGGAATTTGTGGTTTTTGAGGATTCATTAAGGATGCGCTCATATGGCTTATTCCGGCCATTGCTGATAAACCTTTGATACTTAATCTGGGATTGGGGATGACTTGACCAATCACTCCAATCGCATTATCGTCCTTCACTACTCTTCTCTGAACATTTCTTTTCTTATTTAAAACCAAACCTGTCTCCTTGAATTTTGTGACCAAATCCAGAACGTGATTTCTGCAAAAGTGTTTACCAGGGTTTTGCTCGTCAAATAAAATTGATGTTCTAATAAAGCAATAACTGAAACCCTTTCAGCAGTAGTGTAAAACCCGTTTAAACAAAACAATCGAACGATGTTTCCGGGTTCTGATCCATGTTCTCCGGAACACGTCATATCAATGGATATAGGTTGAGACCGCGAATGTTGCACATGCCAACAGTAAGTTCATTGGGATTTCAGGCGCTTCGCTGCAGGCCCTGCACCTTGTGTATAGACTCTGCATACCTATCACGAGGTGGTGTTGGGGTGTTTTTATTGTTTTATTATTGGAAAAGAAAGGTTTTGACTTTCCACTTTTCCATCTTTACACAAAAAATGTAGGGAAGAAGTATGCAGTTGATTTCAAAGTACAGGCCCGTTTTAGGAATCACACGTTGAAAGGTAAGACCTCGTTAATCCTTAGCTCGCACAAGTTTCGACTTCTGAGGGCTGTAGTTCGTAGGGGTGCGACAGCTGATTAATGGAAAAACATATTTAAAAAGATACAAAGATGTGTAGTTAGGTTAGGTTAGGTCCAAAGTAAGCGTGTCTATCCAGGTGTTCAATCTTTGTTCGGCAAAGACTAAAGCGATGCCAATGACAGGTTGCGATCCGATGAAGCTGCTTGCAGCACCCTCCTTTGCAAGAGAGTCAGCAGCTTTATTACCTTCCAGGCCAGCATGGCCAGGAATCCAGACCAGACACTATCTGTTAAGTCTTCCTATCGAGGAGAGTCATTTTTGGCAATTTGCTACCAATTTAGACGTTACTCGGTAGGAGCCAAGAGCCTCCAATGACTGTTCGAGAATATTTTTATTGCCTTGTGTATGGTTGGATTCTTTCAATCTCTCCGCACACAATTCAATAGCGTAAATTTTCGCTTGAGATACAGCCGCTCAGGTTCCTAGGCAAGTTGATATCTCTGTCCTGGGCCTGCGAGTAAAAACACCTGCACCAGAACCGAAAGGTGTTGTTGATCCTTCCGTGAACCAACAACTATCTGCTCTTAATATTTCCTTCTCCCGGAGAATCCAGTCCTCTCTTCTTGAGAACTGTACTTTATAAGGCAATTCGTAGTTGATAGTTGGAGGTATGAAGTCAGAGGTCATTTCCAGAATGCTGTGACTTTCAATGTTAAATAGCAGTCTATTGTACTCTCCATTAGATATGTAGTTC